TCACATGTGAGTCTGTTGTGTACAAACTACACAATGTGCCTCCTGTTGTGGTAACTCTGCCTTTTGGTGCGTGTGGTTTGCGATGTTGACACTTTGCTGCTACAACAACAGACTTTTGCAGAATAATTTTTTTAAGATTGTTGTTCGGGTCGTTCTTTTACATATCTGTGATCCTCCATGGTTCTTTTATATAACTGTGGTCCTCCATGATCCCTTCTTCAAACTTATGAGGGCATGGTGAAAGTAACAATATCAGTAGCAGTAGAACCGAAAACACGATTCTCGCATCCTCTTTCTCCCTTATCCACCACTGTATTTCAAGATGCCGCATTTACATGCGGAGCACTCTGCTCTCATGGACATTTATAAGTGAAATTCTAAGCTTATGAAAACAATTACAACAACATGGTGTAGGTAAATATTCTTAACTAATAACATTTGTTATTAGTTACCATGTTTTTTCATATGGAGCAAATGTAAAAATTACACAGTGTGGCTTTAAAGCTGAGAAGCAACTAAACAATCACAAGTTTTCCTGCATGCATTTCTTTGGCCTTTGTTAAATCTTTAGATCAATTTTTTCAGACATGAAAAAGAAAAATGGACCATGCTCAGTCAGCCAATCAGCAAAGGTCAATGTTTCAAATAGAGACTCACAGGATTCTTTATTACAAGTATACAAATGATACACTGTTTTACATTAAGATAATGGCAACATGTTGTAATCTGATTTGCTTAGGAATATGCATCTTTCAATATCACTCAATCTAACAGCTTAACGTGCTCTGATTTGTTTGCTCTTTCTGTTGAGACACTGCAATAAGATTTAAGTCACCCCTGATTCTCAGTTATTATCCTTAACTTGAATTATTTATGAGGTTAATATCAACTACCATGGAATGCTATACATTTATTGCCCAGCCCTATATATATATATAAGGCTGGGCAATAAATCAGATTTAGGCAATTAATCGGCTTTTGAAAAAAAATCGAATTTGTGAAAACCTGAAATCGAATGAAGGATATTGTGAGAGCAGCACATGAATTATACTTTCAACATCAGCACAGTCTGTACAAGAATTTTGTATTACATTTTGGGGGAAACAAATTAAAAATAGTTTTGAAACTTGAATATTGAGCGGAAAGATCAAATAATTTGTTTAAGGGCAAAGTTTGTCTTTGGTGACTCTAATGAAAATCGATATCAAATCAAAATCGTCCGAAGCAGGAAATAAAATCGAGATTTTACTTTTTTGCCATATCGCCCAACCCTATAAATATATAATATATATATATATATTATATATATATATATATAGAAAAACATATATATATATATATATATATGTTTTTCTATCTATATAACAATCCTTTCTTATCTTTACCCCAGTTTTGGTTCAATCCACGCATTATAGCATACATACAAAAATTACTCTCCGGTCGGTTATCCCTTTCTCAGCTCGGGTCCTCCACCAGAGGCCTGGGAGCTTGAGGGTTCTGCACAATATCTTAGCTGTTCCTAGCACTGCACATTTCAAGATGTCAGAGGTTGTTCCAGGGATCTGCTGTAACCACTGTTCCAACTTCAGGGTCACTGCCCCGAGTGCACCGATCACCACGGACACTAATGTCACTAATCATCCAGGCCCTCCCCAGCTCCTCTTTGAGCCAATTGGTTTTTCTCCAGTTTTTTGTGCTCTTTTTTCCTGATGTTACCATTACTTGGAATATCTAAGTCTGTCTGGTTGGGGCACAAATTATCCTGGGAGAAGGATGAAATGGATTTTCTGGCGTAAATCCTGGCATACTTTTCTCTTGTCTACTCACATTTTACAACGCACAGAGAAAACATACAACACATTTCTTGACACTGGCTACATGGCTTCACTGATGGCTTTGTAGCTTTTCGCTCTCAGTCAGACTTTAGGTCAATGGTAGCTTGCTACTCATACAACTTGGTGCCTCGCCATGTAATCAACAAGTGCACATTTGACCTCTGGAAGCAAGGAGGAGGTGAAGACGGTGGTATTGACCCGGGACATTATATTTGGTGACATTTTAGTAGGTAGGTAAAAGTGTGCTTTATTAATCCCTGTAGGCAATTCATCCTCTGCATTTGACCCATCCTGATGCCAGCAGCAGTGGTCGCCGTAGTACAGCACCCGGGAACACATCTCCAGGTGTTGATGCTTGGCTTGGTCAGGATTTAACCTAGTGTGCACATTTTTAGTGGTAGGGGAAACACGGATGAAACATACACAGGCACGGGGAGAACATGCAAACGGCACTCAGAAAGACTCTGTTCCGAGCGGGATTCGGACTTAGCACCTTCTTGCTGAGAAGCGAGAGTGCTATCCACTCAGCCACCGTGCTGCCCCCGCTAGGCAGGTATCTAGGCTAGTGTTTTGTATTTACTTTACATTTGGGTAATCTTAATATTATTTTGGAGTATATTATTTCATGATTTTCTGTTATTGATTAATATTGTTTTTATTAGTATTTGTTTCAACACTGTTTGTCAGCGAGAGAGAGCGTGCCCCTGTGTGAGTGAGAGTGGAAAATAAACGGAAGAGCTGAACTTTTACTGTCCTGCCGTTTGGTTATTTTAGCAAGGAAAACTTCGAGATAGAACACTGTTTTTTATTATAAATTGTAACCCGCACACCCACAGCCTCAAGAACTGGTGAGCAACAAGAAATAAGGGTCACACTAGCTAGATAATATAAGATAAGACTTTATTAATCTCACACAGGAGAAATTTACATGTCACATTGGCAAGGATAGGAACACTCAAGAATTGTGCAAAAGTAAGAAATGTGCAGCATGTTAATGCAGGATATAATGCACAAAAAAGTGACGATTAGAAAGAAGTGTCAATAGTAGTGCAGGTTTCTTTCCAGTCATAGTGCAGTGACTTAAAGTGACTTGTTGTACAGACTGACTGCGGTGGGGATAAAGGCCCTGCGGTGGCGCTCCTTCTTGCACTGAGGGTGTCTCAGTCTTCCACTGAAGGAGCTCCTCAGCTCCTCTACAGTCCTGTGCAGTGGGTGGGAGGTGTTGTTCATGATGGAGGTGGCTTTGACTAGCACCCTCCTGTCCCTCACCTCCTCCACAGAGTCCAGGGATCAGCCCAGAGTGGAGCTGGCCCTCCTAACCAGCTTGCTCAGTCTACTCCTGTCCCGCTCTGTGCTGCCCGGGGCCAGTGATGGGAATAACGCCGTTACTAATAACGGCGTTACTAACGCCGTTACTTTTTTCAGTAACGAGTAATCTAACTAATTACTTTGACTGTAACTATAACGCCGTTATCATTTCCGACATCCCGTTACTGTGCGTTACTCAAGACGCACAATGAACTTCTCTTTTTACTTCGTGATAGGACTCGTGCGCGTGTTGTCATGAGAGAAGGGAGGATGAGAAAACCTCTCAGCAATAATTGGCTGATGTAAAACATATTTCCTTTACAATCCACATGACTACAGTTGAGAGGATGGCTCATAAATTGTGTTTTTGAAACAAATATGGGTCTTAATCGCGCTCAACCACGGCTTGTATCACCGTGAGGCCAGCCTCAGAGGAGCGCATGTGAGCGCAGAAGTCGGCTGCATACAATTCCATTGATAAGCTCCTTTCTCTTCCTGGTTTATCTGCGAAGGGCAGCAACAGGTTTGGCTAACATACATATAACACATTTTAAGATAATTTAAAATGTACTTAGGGTAATTTTTCAATGACTATAGGGATGATAAGAAAGAGAGGTGAAGTGTAAGACGGTTGATTTTAGAAATTGGATGCACTCGGCTGCAGCTAGCAAAACAGAGGAGTTTATGGAGGACACACGCGTTTTGTTTTACTTTTTAAAACTCATTGGACTCATTTCCAAATGGAGGATTACATATCTATGCTCAAACTATTATCTGGACTTAAACATGGAACTGGTCTGAACCGAAGTGGCCTGTGCAGGTCATTTATAAGGTAAGACCCATAACTCATAGTTTTGCGTTTTGTATGAACAAACAATGCGGGCATGAAACATTCTGCTGTAGCCAAACAAATTGTCCACTTGATTTATATGATATATATGTTCATCTGATTGGACTGAAGTCAGTGCTTCACCGGTGTTTCCACATTCACAGTGGCGGGTGTTGGTGTTTAGTGCTTACAGCACAGAGAGAGATGAAGAGTGAACAGGACTTTAGGCAGGAAAACAGTCTTTTCTAGATGGAAATATTGGCACTATTTCAAACTCACTGAGGTTAAAGGTCAAAATGTGCACGTCAAGTGCACATTATGTTCCAGAACAAAACGAAAAAGTAACGCAATAGTTACTTTTACTGGTAACTAGTTACTTTTACAGTGGAGTAACTCTGTTAGTAACTCAGTTACTTTTTGGGAGAAGTAACTAGTAACTATAACTAATTACTTTTTCAAAGTGACGTGCCCAACACTGCCCGGGGCCCAGCCCTAGCTAGGTAGCCTAGATACCTAGCTAGCATAGATAGACAGATAGATACTTCAGTTACAACCACGAAAGACAACCTTCATTTCACTGGGAAATCCAAAACCAATGGAGACCACGGTGAAATAGTGTAGACTAATAAATTAGCCCTGACCACAATGACAGTTTTGACACCCCTCATCTAATCGATTAATCCAGCAATGTTGTTCTTTGGATGAAGTGATTCATTGTACATTAGTCTAAATTCCAAAGGTAATGTGCTTCCACATAATTCATGAAGATATTAACTGTCAATATGTTGTCCAATCTAAAGCAGTGGGCATGGTTGAGAACTGCACTTATGTCAATATAGGCCTCTATCAATAATAAATTAATGTATTTCTTTGTGGGTGATGTTGGTTACAATGAGGATGGGAGAATGTTAAAAAGATTCAAATTGGGATTCACTAAAGTGTGGGCCTGTTCTCTACGTGTGGGCAGAGCCAACACCTGTGGAGCTCTGCAGTTGGCTGTCAGACTTGTGTGTGTTGTGGAGACTCACCCGTGCAGCCCGAGACGTGTAGGGGTCATCGAACAGGGCCCATGTTTTAGACTTCCAGTTGTGCCAGCAGCGCGGGCCGCAGGTCCAGGAGCGCTCTGCACAGTCTTCTAAGCCCAAGCGCCTGGGGACGTCCTTGTCATCTTCGCTGTCCTCTGGGTCCGGGGGCTCAAACATCTCCAGTGCCTCCTCTGCATCGCGGTGCTGGCGGTACGTCATCCAGCAGCACGGCTCCACGTCTGTCTCATCAATGCCCCAAAAGGCGAGTTCTTCTTCAAATAGAGGCCCACACACATCCGCGGGGCAGTGCAGTTTTCCAGTGCGGTAATAGTTCAGGATATAGGCAAAAATGCCCGGATGTCTATCAAAGAAAAACTCGGCGTTAGCAGGCGACCCAGGGACAGCAGGTGTCACAGGTGCAGTAGGTGGTGCAGTAGGTGGAGCGCCTGGCGCAGGCGCAGTCAGGTCGCTGTCCGAGCTCGCGGGGTCAGGGTCAGCCAGCCAGGCCAGCCTTGTCCCGGGAAGCGTCTTCAACGTACTCTTGTAAGTCTCGTGTCGCGTACCGCCCACGTTAATGATGATTTTCTCTGAGTCCTCTCCGCGGCTCATCTCTTCCTTCAGACATGTCTTTGACGGAGCTTTGTTGCCGGACTTGCGGCCGCGGTAAGAAGACACACACACGGAGCTGATCATGGTGGAAGCAGAGTTTGCACCAGGGTGATCCCGCAGAGACCGCGCCAATCACTTTTGTACACGTGGGGGCGTGGCCAGACTACAGCTCGAACCCACTGTAAATTGATATCTCCATATTTGGTGAACTATGGTTTCATCTGAGGATAGAACAGAAAAGTGAGAAGTGACTTCTTTGTGAGCACATGTGAAATCCCATCAGGGCTTCGAGGTCAAACACTGTGCACGATACAAATGGAGCAACTTACGTGTATCATCAGGTGTCATCTCAAAAACTGGAGCCTGCAGTATCTCTAGTCATCTCCGAACGTGAGTTGTTTGGTCCAAACCCCCTGACATCCGCTCGAACTTTTCCCATCCACAGGCGCTCAAACCCGCATCCCAGACAGCTGCTCCACAAGTGTGTTGAGCTCACGGCACAGCGCCTGGATCTCAGACCGAGATCTCAGACCTGGCTCTCAGAACTGGATCTCTGCTGTAGTCTCAGAGCTCTTGACAACAGCTCTGTGTTTAACCCTTCGTGGAGTCAGGAGCGCGCTGTGGAGCTGCAGGCGCGGGAGCCACTCCTTCTGCTTCTCATCCTCGGTGCGAGACACAAGTCACAGGTCTATTTATGTGCCTGAGTCTGAGCTGCAGGGTTTGATCGCTATTCCCACACCCACCACAGGCTGAATGAAGCGAGGCTGACAATCCTCTCCAATTTTATCCTTCCATCGTATTCGTTATATACTCGCGAGAGATCTCACATGTTACCTTTGTTACCCTAAATTACATTTTAGGTTGCTACGATTAGTTTTGTTCTTGAGAGGGGAAACGTCTGATTCAACAGGTTGCTGCAATACCGTCTTACCAGCCAAGGGAATAACAAGATACATACCGCCATCTACTGGACATGTCCTAAATAAATAAAGCTTAGAACAGGTGTCTTTAAAGTACTCCTGAGTTGTACTACTACTCAGTATTACTGAGTTACTGTTAGTTATTTTATCCTGCAACACTAATGCTGTTATGCATGCAATTTGAGTTACTTGAGTTAAAACATGATCCTTGTTTACTCAGCAACTCAAACAGAATGGAATAATTATAACTATTATTATATGAAACAAATTTCAGTAAATTACATTTGTACAGTATATCCTAAAATATAACACAAATCTCAATGACTAAAGCTGTTTTCTTGTATGATACTGATGAAAACGTTTTTATTAAAGGTAGTGTTTTGATTGAAGATTATCTATTCTGAAAATGACAAATCAAACATTTTGATTAAAATGACCTAAATGAGGCGAAATCAGAACAAACATCATTAGAAAGTTAGGATAGGATAACTGGAGAGACATTGCTAAAAATATTAACTATGAATATGAGACTGTGAGGAGGACTTTTCCCCTTGCAGTTATGAATAGATTAATAGAGATCATTTCTCGGTTTTCTGAACGTTGATCATTGTGCATGTGTTCTGGTATTTCTGGGAACTTATGGGGTATGTTAGATTTGTTGATTGTGAAATTGCAGCTTTGAGTTCATGTGAGAGAGCTGTGCATGTGTTGGTCCATTGTTCATCTATTCAGAATGTGAAACTTCTGTCTGCCTCTTACGTGAACCCCGAACTGAAGAATACAGCAATTCACTGTTGTGTTCAGAAGTTATTGAACTTAAACCAAAACTCTTAAACTAAAAACATCTATTAATGGATTTCAAGGTCTTCAAAAATGTGAAGTTATCTCAAAAAGTAATATGGTACTGTTACCATTCATCCATCCATTTTCTTCCACTTACTCAAGCTATTTTATATTTATTATATTATTTTTGTTTATTTGTTTGGGACTAGAGGTGGGTAATACCAAAATATTTAAAATGTATCAAGATATTTATTTGAATTTGATATAAATTTATATGACATATATCAGTCATATATTTCTAAACGGGGCATAAACTCTCCTCGCCATAAAGCCACTGCAGATTCCATCAGAACCATGAGATTCCATGGATCATCTTGAATTGTACGTTGTATAGTGGTTGCTCTACCCTTTGGGATAACACATTACAGTAGCACTCTACAGTTGAACTGAAGAAATCAGCCTATTTCAGATATTGTTTTTTTTTTCTTCTTGCTTTTATAACTTTTATCATTTACAATCATTGCCTACTTTCTCTAAAGAAAAAAAGGTGAACATTGAAATTAAATTATTTTTGAAGCTGTGGCTTTTGTATTGACCTCTGTTGACTCAATTACACTAATTATAAGTGGGAACAATCTCTGCTCTGTGTAGAAAAGAGGGTATTGGCTGTGGTCTGAGGGTTGATCTAATAGTGTAGTAAGACAATAGTTCAAAATATGGAGGGTACGGTACCATATGCTATCACATCCCCTGAAAGCCGCAAAGGCAATAGGTTGGGGGGGGTTCCTAAATTTCCTACAATGAGTAAAAAGTACGACTCTTTTTACATTCTGTGCAGTGAGTGAAGTGCCTGCACAGCGTGGTCAGTGCGCCCGCCGTGGGTGTGTTGATCTGTGTAGCCCATCATTTTCAGGGTCCAAAAATGACCAATTGTTTTACTAGAAATGTAACTGGAAATAATAGTTAGGGACCTGTAATTAAGTTTTTTGATTTGTATTTTTTTGTGAGTGGAATACATTTTTTGTATGTATGTATTTTGTATTGTTATGAATTCCAACTGGTCTTGATTCAACCCAAAATGTTTGATTTGACACAACTTTATTTTGATCTTTCACATTCTTCAACAAGTTCATTTTGAAAAGAATAAAGATAAATGCAAGTTAACCTTAACTTACATTTCCAGAAATTATGGTCATATTGTCTTAATTTAATTTACTCAACCCATGGACGATAAACAAATATAATTTGTCATGCTGATAATGTTGTTTTCATGTTGCTGTTGGCACCAGTACAATTATACAATAAATTTGACTGAATTAGAATTGTTTATAGTACATGCATTTTAGTCCACCTCTTCAATAGTGGGACCTTGAGCGCTGTCTGCCTGGGGGCCATTGGCACCTGGGACCCCTGCTCCCTGGTACAGCTTGCTGACAATAGGGTTGCAGACTTTCTCCAATTCACTCTGCTGATGCTCATACTCCTCCTTCTCCGCTAGTTGATTGTTTTCCAGCCATGAGATTGTCTGTTTGCATCTGTCAATGACCATCTTCTTGTCATCCTCACTGATCTTTCCTTTAAGGTTCTCATCCTCTACACTGCTCCTCATACGGTAGGCGTAAGACTCAAGTGAGTTCTTTGCAGCAATCCTCTCCCTCTGGACATCATCTTCTGCCTTGTATTTCTCTGCGTCTTGCACCATTTGCTCAATCTCCTCTTTGCTTAGTCTGCCTTTGTCATTGGTGATTGTGATTTTGTTCTCTTTCCCTGTGCTCTTGTCCACAGCAGACACATTGAGAATGCCATTAGCATCAATGTCGAATGTTACCTCTATCTGCGGGACACCTCTTGGAGCTGGTGGGATACCCGTCAGGTCAAACTTGCCAAGGAGGTTGTTGTCTTTAGTCATGGCCCTTTCGCCTTCAAACACCTGAATGAGCACACCCGGCTGGTTGTCAGAGAAGGTAGAGAAAGTTTGTGTTTGTTTGGTGGGAATGGTGGTGTTTCGCTTGATCAGAGCTGTCATTACTCCACCTGCAGTCTCAATGCCCAAAGACAATGGGGCAACATCGAGCAAAAGAAGGTCTTGGACGTTCTCAGAGGTGTCCCCCATCAGTATAGCAGCCTGGACAGCTGCTCCATAGGCCACTGCTTCATCTGGGTTGATGCTTTTGTTCAGTTCTCTTCCATTAAAGAAATCCTGCAATAATTTTTGAATTTTGGGGATTCTTGTGGAACCACCAACCAAGACAATGTCGTTGATCTTGGACTTGTCTAACTTGGCATCCTGCAAAGCCTTCTCAACTGGTTCTAGTGTGCCTCTGAAAAGCTCTGAGTTGAGTTCTTCAAATCTGGCACGAGTAATCGAGGTGTAAAAGTCGATCCCTTCAAATAAGGAGTCAATTTCAATGCTTGCTTGAGTGCTGGAGGAAAGAGTCCTCTTGGCACGTTCACAAGCCGTTCGCAGCCTCCTCACTGCCCTCTTATTTTGACTTATATCTTTTTTGTGTTTTCTCTTAAACTCTTCAACAAAGTGGTTCACCATGCGATTGTCAAAGTCCTCTCCACCTAAATGTGTGTCACCGGCTGTGGCTTTCACTTCAAAAATGCCATCTTCAATTGTCAGAATTGAAACGTCAAAAGTGCCGCCCCCCAGATCAAAGATGAGGACATTGCGCTCTCCTCTCTTTCCCTTGTCGAGACCATATGCGATTGCTGCTGCAGTAGGCTCATTTATGATTCTCAACACATTCAGACCAGAAATAACTCCAGCATCTTTGGTGGCTTGTCTCTGGGAGTCATTGAAGTAAGCAGGAACTGTGATGACGGCATTGGACACTCTTTGACCCAAATAGGCCTCTGCAATCTCTTTCATCTTAACCAAAACCATAGATGAGATCTCTTCGGGATAAAAAGCCTTTGTCTCACCTTTGTATTCCACCTGTACTTTTGGCTTGCCGCTGTCACTTATCACTTTGAAAGGCCAAAGCTTCATGTCAGATTGCACAATAGAGTCGTCAAATTTTCTTCCGATCAGTCTTTTAGCATCAAAAATTGTGTTAGTGGGGTTCATAGCGACCTGGTTTTTGGCTGCGTCACCAATCAGGCGCTCAGTATCAGTGAAGGCAACATAACTGGGGGTGGTTCGGTTGCCCTGGTCGTTGGCGATGATCTCCACGTTGCCATGTTGGAAGACGCCCACACAGGAGTAAGTGGTGCCCAGGTCAATGCCAATGGAAATGCCTTTAGCTGACATGTTGTTTTCTTCCAGAACTGAGAAGAAAGAATTAAATGAAAGCACTTTTTATACAGTGTGGAAAAAAATAAACACTTAAAAACAATCCCTCATGCCCAATCCATGCAAATGAGCATAACTATATTGTTCCTGAAATATATAAATTGACGCTCCAACAGTTATTCTGTTACATGCTTCTGTTACAATTCTAGTTGTAAGAAATTGGTTAAAATCTAAACTACTCTAAGATAATCCATTTCTTTATTTTTATTTTTTTATTTTTAAAGAAAAAGGGAATGATGCATAGCTATTTCATTCTGAGAATGTTTGTACTTACTTGTCTTGATGAGCTTCTTCAGTGGCTCTGCCCCTGCTCTGTCCTCAGCCGCTCTGTGTGAGTTTGTTTACTTCCTGCTCTGACTGCAGCAGGCTGCTTATATACTCACACAGGCAGGTTTCTAGAAAGGTCCCTTCTCCTCTATCAGCCCCCCCTGCTTAACCCAACCCAACTCCCTGTGACGTCCCGGTACCAGAGCATGACTCGAATGTTAATATTAGCCATAGCCACAGCTGGCGTTTTCCAGAGAGTGAAGGAATATTCCAGAACATGGGAGTTGACTATGGGACTTTTCAATAATAAGTAGTTCATTCAGAGGTACGTGAAAGCTATTTCAGGATGACCAAAACATTTCTTGATATTCTTGTTCCTCATAATAATCGGTTTTATATAGCGGTTTTTTGGACACTCAAAGACGCTTTACATGTCATTATTCTTTCACTCCGTACATGGTGGTGATGAACTACTACTGTAGCCACAGCTGCCCTGGGGCACACTGAGGGAAGCGAGGCAACCAGTCTGTGCTATCGGCCCCTCCGACCACCACCAACCATTCACACACACACACCAGACTCATTCTAGGCAATGGGAGTGAAGTGTCTTGCCTAAGGACACAACGGTAGTTTGTCACTTTACAGCCGCAGCCGCCCCGCTGTGGCTGGTGTTCCCAGAGGTTAAGTGTCTTGCCAAGGACACAGCGACAGCAGACAGTGGGAGTCGATGGTGAAAGTCAGGCTCTAAACCACGACCCTCTGGCTCAAAGGCCAATGCTCTACCAACTGAGCTACTCTCACCTCAATCACATGATCAAAATTTGTATAGGATTCTGTCAGTTAGTACCGTAAATACCAATGTCCTTGTCCCGTTATGGTCCATTATGATCACATCTGTGAGGTAATGTATATTACCATTTGTTATCCTAAAACCGTTTAAAGACGGCATAAGGAATACGACAATAACATGACAGCCTTCATTGATAAAAGCTTTATTGCACTTCACATATTGTAATCATTTAAAAAATGAGACATAAAGTATTTTAATCATTATAAGACTAATACAAACATAAAATGTAGTCAAAATAATTTGAGAGGCACCTAACCTTTTACCCCATAAACAGTATTTTTTGTTTTGTTTCAACAGAATCAGACCCCATGGCACTGTCTTATTATTAGAAAACATTCTATTTTGTGCATACTTTTAAGAACAGCCATGTGAGACACTATTTCACGCTTAAGGATCTTGTATTATAGATGTGACAGAGGCCAAAAATGCATGCATGTGAAAACAATTGAGAGGGAGAAATGTGTTATTTTATTACATAGTTCTTACTCAGTTACATTTTGTTGGTTTGAAAGTTAGGTCCTCCGGCTTTAATAACAGTATATCGTTTTAGAGAAGAGGATAAAACGTGTGTTATCGTCAAGGGAATGTATGAAAGTCAGTGCTTACTTAAAGGCACATTCATGCTAAGACCAAAAAGTAATATCCAGATACCTCGCTTGAATGCAAGAAAACCGTTTAAACATATAGCAATCTTTCATTGATTTAAATATTAATGATAAACTGTGATGCAGACAGTGTCAGTCTGATAAGGAAATATTAAAGTCTATGTCTCGTGACATAAATCAGATTATGTCGGATTAAGCCAGGCTGGATATTACCTGTAAGGCTTGCACGCCAATACCATTCAAAGAAAAAACAAACACATGATAAAGGGCACTGTCTCAGGCCTGGGACATTTCATTTATGTTTTGTAATGTTTCTTTTTGGTCACATTTTGGCACAGTGCATAAAAAGTAAACAAAATACGAATAATCAAAAGCAACTAAAATTTACAATGGGGGGGTGAAAATGTGGGCATCTCGGATCAATTTGTGAAACAAAAGAAAGAATTATAATCTCCATAAGGCATGGAGCTCCAGATGTGACTTATATATATTTATGCTGTGCTAGGAACAGCAAAGATAATCACCTGCAGAGGGCGAAAGATGTGTTTTTAAATTTATTTTATTCATATTTATTGTTGAAACACACATTTTTACTTTTTTTAAAGTAACAATAAAAGACAAAAGGTGTAAATTGACATGTTTCTTTTTTATATCCCTCATAAACCTAAATAATTCCTGAATATGTTTTGATGTTAAGGGAATGTCTGATCTGTGACTTAAAAATATTACTTGATCTGGGGTGCCCAATTGAACCGCCCCACTGTACAAAGAGCATGCAAGATGGGTTTACATAACAAGACATCCAAAATAGAGTAAGTTACAGCATGTATATTATATATAATCTCTCTCTCTATATATATATATATTAAATTACTATGTTATTTAGAACATCTAAACTGAAATTACAGTAATAAGTTACATTCATGTTTAAAATTATCTTTTCTTTGTTTCACTTTATAAACTAAAATATATGTCTCTGTCTCTAATATCTGTAGGAAAAGAGGACGGTTGTTAACATGTGTATTGTATTAGAATAATACATTTAAAATGATAAACAGTTACCTGTAGTAGTTTGGTTTGAAGGGACCATTCTTATTGAGGCCCATGTACTTGGCCTGTTCGTCGGTCAGCTCTGTGAGGTGGGCGTCAAAGTTTGGTAGATGCAGACTGGCCACATACTCATCTGGGAGAAACGTACACATCAAATTATCAATACAGCGATCATCATTTGGGACATATTTTTGGCATTATCTTATCTTTGATTTGTCACTTAAAAACAATAATAGTGATATATTTTCAGTGGCCATAAATCATAATTTGTAGTGTAGTGAATGTATTTACATTTTGTGTAGGTTTGGCCACAAGGGGGTGACATAATCTGAGTGGGTAACGCCAGGCTTACCCATTTTTTTGGGCAGCAGATAGACGTCCTGCTTGTAGCGTCCCTCTGGGGCATTGAAGAGCTCGATCAGAGCCAGAGCCTGAAAACATGAACAAGAGAGAGGTGAGAGCAGGAACCTGCTCAAAGGACTGATGTTCTGACTGTGAAATTCTCCTCCTTGTTTTGCTGTGCAAATGTGTTTTGTGTGATTGGCTGCATGTTTTGTATGTAACAATAGATAATGTTCAAAAGTTAATATACTATATACTTAAGACGAGTGCCACCAACCTGAGTGGTTGCGGTGATGGACAGAACAAAGGTAGGCACTGTTGAACAGCTCAGATTTAGGAGGCGACCCTAATGAAAACAAATGCACCAATATTTTATTTGTCGGCGTCTATAAGAGGCAAGACAAGACAAGTTTATTTGTATATCACAGTTATACATAATAATCATAAAAAAACAAACAATCACAGTAGATTAAAAAGAGTGTGGATATGATCATTCAGTCGTATGCACAGCAAAATAGAACTGTTTTCAACCTCATGTTTTGTCCTGACTCAGGGCACCAATAGGAGGTCAGTCCCTGTGCTCCTCAGAGTCAGAGTTGGTTCATATGGCACTAAAATATCTCGGATGTACTTTGGTGCAAGCCCATAGAGACACTTGCACACAAACAGAGCTACTTTATGGTTTAAAGAATGGTAACAGGAGCCACTTAGTGTCCAGAGACATACCTCTGCCAACATCACCACCCTCTTCCCGTCGGGCCAGATAATGTGGTCCACCTGAGAGCGGACCCTCTCCCAGGTAAGCTCCGGACTGCGCAAACTAGCCTGAGGACAAAGTGTACATGTGTCATTCCTAAAGTTAGTGAAATGTGAAATTCCCAGACAGACAAAACAGAAGTGTCTCTGAGTGTTTGTAGGAGACACAGATCAGAGACTCCACTGGCAAAACTATTGACACAAGGTCACACAGCAATACAGGAACAGAAAAGACTTTTCTATTTTACTCACCACATCTATTTCAGTGTTTGAGTGCCCCATGTTACAGACAATGCAGCCATTCTTCATTCTGTCCAGTTGCTCTCTGCTGACAACATTTTTGTTACCTTAAAAAAAAAAGACAAGAATAAATGACAAACTCATAACTAGTAAACATGTTTGTATATGTTGTATTGAAGTGTGGTCTGTACCAGTGCAGGTGATCACCACGTCCATCTGTCGGATTACCTCACTCAGCTTCACCACCCGAAAGCCGTCCATGCTGTGAAGAAGAGGACATTCACTGGTTTTAAATGAGTTGGAAGACTTGTTTTACAAAAGAGTTTAGAAAGAGGAGCTCACCAAGCCTGCAGGGCACAGATCGGGTCAATCTCTGTGATGCACACAATGGCCCCGAGAGCTTTCAGCGCTGTGCAGCAGCCTTTTCCAACCTACAGATAACAGTATGTCAGTAACTGTCACAAGAGGACGTTATTATAACATCACCTTACCTCTCCATAACCACACACCACCACCTGTTTGCCCCCAAACATAATGTCGGTGGTCCTCTTTAGGCTACACAGGAAACACATAAAGAAACTGTCATAGTGCCAATTTTTATGGTCAAAAAAGTATGGTTTCTTCATACCCATCAAGGATGGATTCACGGCAGCAGTAGAGATTGTCAAACTTCTGTTTAGTCACAGAGTCGTTCACATTCATAGCAGGAACACACAGCTTTCCAGCTTTAGATAGTTGGTACAATCTGAGGGGACACATGGGATAATGGTAACACACACACACTCCAAAAGCTAATTGATTCCTCAGAGAGCACAGAGAGAGCAGGTCATGCAGCACAAACACTCTTCTACACTTTGTACTCATACAAACAGTACCTCTAACCCAGACACCTAAAAGTCTGAAAGATTTAAAGTGTCTGGTTAAAGAATGTGGCCTTCTAACTAAAATGTTTGGACCCTTGCCCTAATGCTCTACTGGTTTGAACATTTCCCCACGGCTCCATCTACAGCACACAATACTGATTACTATTTTGCCTGATGGAAAAATACCTCAGAAGCTTAATCTGTTAAAAGAACAGTTCATAGAACAGTTCTATGTCAATTTGCAATATTAGTATAAGTATCGGAATAAATTAGCTCTTTTTAGAGACGACAGATGAATAATGTTGATGAATGGATAAAAAACCTGTGCACTCCGGTCACACTCTCCTCGACGATACCTCTGACCTTCTTGAATGTACTGGGATACTTCTTGTAAACCCAGTGTGTAAGGTCTCCACCGTCGTCCAAAATCTGCAGAAGAACCAGCAGCCATCACTCATTAGATAACGACTAAAGAAAATACAATAAAAACAGTCTGTGGATACCATATTAGCCTGCCAACCGTCACTGGTGACACAGCGATCAATGCACCACCAGAAGTCGTCCTCTGACTCTCCCTTCCAGGCAAACACAGGTACTCCTGAAGGATCACACATTATGTATGTTGTACACAAATAAATACCATGTGTAAATATAGTGAATATGCTTCCCTTACCTGTCTCAGCCAAAGCAGCAGCTACCTCGTTCTGTGTGGAGTAGATGTTACAGGCCGTCCAGCGACACTGAGCTCCGAGAGCCACCAGAGTCTCGATCAGCACCTGTCAGGAGGCTCATGGTCAGGGGAGCAGATGCAGAGACACACAGGGCCTCAGCAACAGGGTTGAGTGAACTATACTCACTGCAGTCTGAGCAGTGATGTGGGTACAGCCCACAATCTTGGCCCCTGCCAAAGGTTTCTCCCCCTGGGCTCTCTTCCGCAGGGAGATGAGGGCAGACATGTCTGTGGAGACAAACAGTGAAGTAAGGGCCCTGGACTTAAACTCTTACTGTATAACACCAAATGGCACAAAAACAATGCCATCAGCAGCTGTTTCCCCTGACTTAAGCCAGAAGAACACTTGTCCAGCACTCAGGACTACGTCTCACTCACATTAGCAATGTAAACAAGCAGAGGCAGCAAAATACAGCCTGAGGTGGAACAGCACACACTAGGAGACATCACAGTGGCTCACTGATAATGTGACCACTCACTGAGCCAACTCAAATGAGTGAACAAGGCCAAATATAAGTCAGACGCCAAGTCAGACCAGACAGCACTGAGTCGGGCTGACAAAGTTGTATTACAGATTTTAACATAATCCACTATTCATTAATTAAAACTACACTGGTGGAAAGATTCAATAAGTTAGGTGATTACCTTGCTCAGCTATTTCAATTTCACGGCGTCCAAATTCCGCCTGCTTGATGTTTTTGACACAGAAGTCACTGCTGCCGCGGCTGTTGGTCTGAGATTTTTCCCTGGGGGTCGTTTCATCATCAGAGCTGTCTGTGTAAGACGCAGCTAGAAGACAAAAGGTCATCGTCACTCACAAGAATGTTCCAATAGAAACCTTTCTTACTGTGATTTTAAGAGTCAATAGTACACATTAGAAAATCACATTATTTTCTGTAGCATTCTACCTGAGCTATAGCTGTCTGTTGAGGATTGTGAGATCGACCGAGACAGAGAACGGCGTCCAGCTTTGGTTGGAAACTTGCTGAATTCCTGTTTGTCCTCCGCGTTCACAAACTGTATCTATGGAGGATAGAAAAAGGACAAATGTCATGCTTTTCACCATGAAGTAACCTGAATCTATCACAGGAATCTATTTCTAGAGCTTTCTGAATTTGGCTTTGATCAAATACACAGGTTTCAATTGTGAGAGAGATGCATCATGTCAGGACCCTCAAATGCAGCTGGATCAAAGTCTGTCCGCAGCACTTGTGCCGGCAGACCACCACACAGCAAGCACTGTTCATGGGTGGATAGTGTCTAGTGTAAAAATGATTACATATTGTGGCATATAGAGTGCCAAATCTACAAGACAAACAGGCATCGACAATGATTTTCAGTGCCATATAAAAGATTAAACGATCTTTCCCCACTTCTTTTTTGTGCTGAGACAGTAGAAAAACATGTGTTTAATGGGGGGAAAAAAAGATTCTTAGATAACGGGATATACTTTTCTCAGACATATTCTATCACTAGCAGAAATTATGGTATAGATATCTAGAATCGTGAAACTGAAAAGACTATAATTATGTGAGGCTGTATTTGAGAAGTTCTAAAGACTTTGTTTGGAGTCCAAACTAAAGCACAGGGCAACTGAGTTGACACAACACACAAACAATAAAGTAGGGAGAATGCATGTAAACGGAATGCTAATTAAGAGATACATAGGTGAGCTTAATGCCTGTTGTATGCGTTTCTAGTAAGTAATGGAACAGTATACAGAGGCAAATAGTAATCAGCAATATTGGTGAAGAGAGTGTGGATGAGTGAAGATGACGCTTCAGTCAATACAGCTGATTAATACTTGTCCTATGGGAGAGATAAACATAATGTACACTCCAAGGTCTATGAATTGGTCCTAATTCAAGAAAAATTCAGAGTCTGCCACCCTCGACTATGCAGCAATGTATTTCTAAACCTGGGCCGTGCTTTATCAACCACTTGTAAAATAGCACTTTTATGTTTGACTCTTGCATCAGCCTCTTGAGAAGTTTGAACTCTTTTTTTTTTTACAGATTACAGGCTGCAGCAGAGTCAAAGAGTGAGTGAGATCAGAGCAGCAGGACGCACAGTATAATCTGATTAATGATGAATTCCCAGTGTTACTTAAGACAGCGTGGCCCTTCTGCCTGACCGTCACCGTCTCTTCATTGTCTGTTCAGTCCAGCGGAGCACCTCGCAACCTCTAGTTTTGATAGATAGTTTTAATTTGAGTGGCCATTGAAGATTATGGGACATCCAGAGAAATACTGAAAATGTTTTGGGAATATTATCTGATGCCAGAAGCCACTCACCCTGTCGTGCCCGTGCTTGTATGCCATGGCTGTCCTCCTCTCCAGCTCTCCAGATTCTCTATGTCCTCAGCGTGATGTCCCTGATGCTATTATTACCGAACACTCCCAGGCAGCACAGGGGGAGGTTCCTACCTATTCTAATGATTTGTGAATGGCCAACCTGGAAAGAGCGTGCAGGACCATTCATAAGTTTTTGCTACATTTTTATGTTAACCTCTGGCAACTGGCAAGTGGATACTTCAAGCAGAATTACTTCACTTTTTCATGAAAATATAATTTTTTTGTTTGTTTGAGTATTGTAAAAGTAAACAACAGCCTGTTTTTATCCTGTTAGAAAGATGTTTATATTTTGCATAGCTGTAAGAAAGAGCACATGTGAGCGGTGAGAACTGATTGGCTGAGTGAGGGTGGTCCTCTCCTCTTTGCTTTTCTCTCTGAAAAAGCGGATTTAGATGCAGGGGCCAAAAATACTGTATATATTGTCCATGTGAAAACCTGTGCAAGAACTGTTTTGAGAGCGAGGAATTAGTTAGTTAAACATAATGTGGTTTTAATGTTACACACCAGCTTTAATCCAACTAAAATGGTTGTTTTAGTTAACACAAAAATAATGGACAGAAAGTAGGACAAATCTTTCAGCTTTTTGGCCTTTCAAGCTAATTCCCGATTTGGACCCGGAACATAAAAGTGGATTGACAAGCCAGTTAAAGCCTGTTCCATTAGCCGTGAGTAACCATCAATAAGTGATCCATGTTGTCCTAAAATACACCTTCTCTCCTCGATCACAAGGGCTCATTACACAACATACAACTATCTGAGCACAAGGACTAAGCTGTGTAAATCTTATATTGTCTGAGGCGACTGCAGTCTTTACAAGTGGCCAGTGGCAGATTACGCTGTTGTTGTGAAAAAACATACAGACGGGCTAATCCCCCCTGCTGAACTATGTGACCTTAACTTAACATTCAAGGAGCTTGTCCCTTAGCCGTGGAGTTGCAATACATGGTTCTATTACTATGTAAGGGCAAATTCTTTTTACATTAAAGTAAAAACAACGTGGGAGGTGCCAACAGTAAAACGACGGCAGTGGTCAGTACGGATGTGTTGTATTTCTCATCTTAAAGTTACTTTTCTCAAATTCTGACTGTACTGGGAGACATAATGTACATTCATGAAGTATTGGTAGCTTTCTAACATGTATGCATTTTATAAATATATGTATTGGTTAGTCTTTTATTTATAATTGAGTATGTATTGTGTGTCATTGATATTATGTTAAACCTTTAGACGGCAAAGTAGTTACTATTAGTATGAACTGACCTGGCTTCCACAAACGTTTATACATACGTTTTTGTACATATTTTAATAATATTTATTTCTATTATGGATTTTTAGTAGTCCTTGATCTGTTGAAAACATCTGTTTCACAAAAAAAGTAAAAAATAAAATATGATTTTGTGGCTGTGAATTGAAATTAAAGTAAAAAGAAAATGGCGGTTCAATGTTTCTTTTTTGTGTGTGGCCATTTTGCAGGAGTCCTTCAAAAGAAAGCTAAAATACTGGGGACAATTGTGGTTAAGAGCTGAAGTTTAGAGCTCCATCTAGTGGTTTGGTCCAGGACTATTATTATCATCTCCATATCTTTGTTCAATCTCCTTTCGCACCAAATGTAGCATTTCACCTATTGCATTTGAACTGTATGCAGCTGCTGTGCGTGACTCACGGATGCTGGCTCTGGCTGGTTGTTTTGTGACCACGCTGCAAACAAATCAAGTGCAAGGTGGGCCGTTTGACCTTGATGTGCAGTCTGTGGGCGTCCCCTCGTGTCGGTTATGTGACAGATGCGAGAAGGTAGAATTGCTGCAGCAGCCCACACGGGTCACATACACCAATGATGCATGAATAAATTAGAGCCAGTGTGTCCCATTCCCAGAGGGCGGATTGTGTAACCACTGCAGAGGGATTTCAAAGCCGAGGGAGAAGAGAGCCAGACTTTACTCAGGGAAATTGATGTTTTTAATGATGTAGAGCTGTCTTTAGTCTTTTAGTAGATTGTTAGATGACCTATTTTATTTTCAGTAGACCAAAATTGTGTTGTAATTTGTACTTAAAGTAAAAGGATTATTTAAAATACAAGGAATTCTGTGAGAAAACGGCCAGCATGGAGAAAATTTGCTGAAGACGTTGGTATTTACTTATATATGAGTGTGTTCACAGTAAAGTGACAATTGAAGTATCTGGACTTTAAAAGGTTATAACTTAAAAACTAAAATTACTTTCATAGATTGGAAAAAAGATTTCAAACACAGACACATTGAAGAGATAGTGTGGAAAAAATCAAAAGGAAAGATTGACATAAAAATGTTTAGCAACATTTTAAACGACCAAATTAGCCTCTGATTGGACCATTCTACTGTGACGCCAGTTACATAGAAAATAAAATGTCCTCAGTCTGAAAAAGCAGAAGATGAAATCCCACAGATTTACATGGTTAACACAACATAAGTATGATTGCTTGATTATAAAAAGGAATCGTGAAAAAATAAAAAATAATTAATTAATTAAATGACCCCTGAAAAATTTATAACGGACGTGATGAGGACGGTCCTCTTTTCTCTAAAAATTTAACTTGAGAAGAAAAAAAATCTGGTCTGTTTTCACATTTAATTGGTTGACAATATGAAAGTATCACTTTGCATCTACTTTGTGTAAAAAAGTAGAATCTCTGAATCAAATGTGGACATCTGAAAATACCTATCAAACTTCCACAAAGCTCATTCCGTCAAATCATCACGTCCGTTAGATAAAATAAACAGGGTCGCTATAGGAAACTTGTCTAATGTATAAAACAGTTATGTTCTAGCAACTTCTAATGAACAGAGGAGGTGTTTGGAAACATGAAAAACATAAAATATCTTCTGATTATTAAAATCTAATTTTTGGCCTTTTGTCACACTTTTGTGCCCTTTAGTGTGAACAAGCCCATATTACTTTATATTCAAGTCAGGAGAAACTCTCAATTCACCAGATTCTCCCTATTTTGTACCAGCTGCATTATTTAACTTGACATCATTTGTGTGTGCTCCTCATTCCTACTGTTCTGTAACCCGTGACACAACAGTGAAATTGCCCCACTGAGGTACAAATAAAGGAACTCTTAATCTAAAAGAAACATGTGGAAAATGAAGACAAAATGAATGTAACTACAAAAACTTGTATAATTATTTTTGTGATTCATGGTTAAGGTGATAGTCTGTAACTCTAAATGAATTACAAATTTTAGGAAATGTGTTAAATTGACCTCCTGGCCTTAAATGTTGATATAAAATAAGTAATTTTATTAATTCTAATATTACGGGCAAGTCCCACCTTCCCTTCTCTTAACTATAGCTCAAAATCCATGATGCCGTCGAAGTTAACCAATCGAGTCATGCCAAGGGCTGTCAATCATGCTCAGTTGTTTGTTTTCGCGGAACCTCCGACTGGAATTCTAGCCCATTCTTCCTTGCAAAACAGCTCGAGCTCAGTGAGGTTGGATGGAGAGCGTTTTTGAACAGCAGTCTTCAGCTCTTTCCACAGATTCTCGATTGGATTCAGGTCTGGACTTTGACTTGGCCATTCTAACACCTGTATACGTCTATTTGTGAACCGTTCCATTGTAGATTTGGCTTTATGTTTTGGATCATTGTCCTGTTGGAAGATAAATCTCCGTCTCAGTCTCAGGTCTTTTGCAGACTCCAACAGGTTATCTTCCAGAATGGTCCTGTATTTGGCTCCATCCATCTTCCCATCAATGTTAGCCATCTTCCCTGTCCCTGCTGAAGAAAAGCAGGCCCAAACCATGATGCTGCCACCACCATGTTTGACAGTGGGGATGGTGTGTTCAGGGTGATGAGCTGTGTTGCTTTTACGCCAAACATATCGCTTTGCATTGTGGCCAAAAAGTTTGATTTTGGTTTCATCTGACCAGAGCACCTTCTTCCACATATTTGGTGTGTCTCCCAGGTGGCTTGTGGCCAACTTTAAACAAGACTTTTTATGGATATCTTTGAGAAATGGCTTTCTTCTTGCCACTCTTCCATAAAGGCCAGATTTGTGCAGTGCACGACTGATTGTTGTCCTATAGACAGACTCTCCCACCTCAGCTGTAGTTATCTGCAGTTCATCCAGAGTGATCATGGGCCTCTTGGCTGCATCTCTGATCAGTCTTCTCCTTGTTTGAGATGAAAGTTTGGAGGGACGGCCGGGTCTTGGTAGATTTGCAGTGGTCTGATACTCCTTCCATTTCAATATAATTGCTTGCACAGTGCTCCTTGAGATGTTTAAAGCTTGGGAAATCTTTTTGTATCCAGATCCGGCTTTAAACTTCTCCACAACAGTATCTCGGACCTGCCTGGTGTGTTCCTTTGTCTTCATGGTTCTCTCTGCGCTTTAAACAGAACCCTGAGACTATCAAAGAGCAGGTGCATTTATACGGAGACTTGATTACACACAGGTGCATTCTATTTATGATTTATTTATCATCAGTCATTTAGGACAACATTGGATCATTCAAAGATCCTCACTGAACTCCTCGAGTGGGTTTGCTGCACTGAAAGTAAAGGGGCCGAATAATATTGCATGCCCCACTTTTCAGTTTATTCGTTAAAAAAGTTTAAATTATCCAATAAATTTCGTTCCACTTCAAGATTGTGTCCCGCTAAATTAAATTTGATATCTTTATGTTTGAAGCCTGAAATGTGGCGAAATGTTGAAAGGTTCAAGGGGGCCGAATACTTTCGCAAGGCAACTGTATACACATACATATATATATATATATATACATATATATAAAAATTGTCCACTCACCTTTGGCCCTCCGCGGGCGGTTATCCCTCTCTAAGCTCGGGTCCTCTACCAGAGGCCTGGGAGCTTGAGGGTTCTGCGCAGTATCTTTGCTGTTCCTAGCACTGCACATTTCTGGACCGAGATGTCCGAGGTTGTTCCGGGGATCCGCTGTAACCACTCATCTAGCTTCGGGGTCACTGCCCCGAGTGCACCGATCACCACGGGCACTACTGTCACCTTTACCCTCCAGGCCCTCTCCAGCTCCTCTCTGAGACCTTGGTATTTCTCAAGCTTTTCATGTTCTTTTTTCCGGATGTTACCATCGCTTGGAATTGCCACGTCCACCACCACGGCTGTCCTCTGCCCTTTGTCTACCACCACGATGTCAGGTTGGTTCGCCATTACCATTCGGTCGGTCTGTATCTGGAAGTCCCACAGGATCTTCGCACGCTCATTCTCCACCACCTTTGGAGGAGTTTCCCACTTAGACCTTGGGGTTTCCAGCCCATACTCTGCACAGATGTTTCTGTACACTATGCCAGCCACTTGGTTATGGCGTTCCATGTAGGCCTTCCCTGCCTGCATCTTGCACCCTGCAGTTATGTGTTGGATCGTCTCAGGTGCCTCTTTGCACAACCGACACCTTGGGTCTTGTCTGGTGTGGTATATCTGGGCCTCTATCGCTCTGGTGCTCAGTGCCTGTTCCTGTGCAGCCATGATGAGTGCCTCTGTGCTGTCCTGTAGGCCAGCCCTTTCTAGCCATTGGTAGGACTTCTTGAGATCAGCCACTTCTGTTATGCTCCGGTGGTACATGCCGTGTAGGGGCTTGTTCTCCCATGATGGGCTCTCCTCCAGCACCTCCTCAGGCCATTTGCCTGTGGTATACCGAGATACTTGTAACTGTCCTCAACGTCTGCTATTGTTCCCTCTGGGAGTGAGATCCCTTCTGTGTGGACTACCTTGCCTCTCCGAGTCACCATCCTGCTACATTTCTCGAGCCCGAATGACATCCCGATGTCATGGCTGTAGATCCTGGTTGTTTGGATCAGAGAGTTGATGTCTCTCTCGCTCTTGGCGTACAGCTTGATGTCATCCATGTAGAGGAGGTGACTGATCTTTGCTCCGTTCCTGAGGCGGTATCCATAGCCAGTCTGGTCAATTACTTGGCTTAGAGGGTTGAGGCCTATGCAGAACAGTAGTGGGGACAGAGCATCTCCTTGGTAGATACCACATTTGATGGTCACTTGTGCGAGCGGCTTGCCATTTGCCTCAAGGGTGGTCTTCCACATTCCCATCGAGTTTGCAACGAAGTCCCTTAGAGCCCTGTTGATATTGTACAACTTCAAGCATTCCATGATCCATGTGTGTGGCATTGAGTTGTAGGCTTTCTGGTAATCAATCCAGGCTGTGCACAGGTTGGTGTGTCGTGACCGGCAGTCTTGGGCGACTGTTCTGTCAACCAGGAGCTGGTGTATATATAATATATATATATATATATATATATATATATATATATATATATATATATATACATACATACATACATACATACTACATACATACATACATACATATCATACATACATAGCTCATCCCCCCGGTTGAGCTGGAGAGAAAGTGTGCGGCAACGAATGAAGTGGAAGAAATTGGATGGATGGATGGAAATTACAAGAACCACTATGAAACCTTGTTGAGAAGAAAAGAGCATTTTGAAATGATCCCTGTAGTATGGAAAGTTTATTGTATGAAAATGGAGATTGACATGCTGGTATTGTGACCAGACTAGTGGCATGTTACTGCATTTTTGATGGATTGCAACATTACTGTATGAATATAATGACAATAATGATAATAATAATTATAACTATTATCATTATTATATAATTATATGAAAGAATGAGACTTTTCTATTAGATGTTTACTATGTTATCTTGTGTCTGCTTTGATTTGTCCAATCACTATAACATGTACTACTGCACAATAGGTTTTGAAGTGCAAGTAAAAGCAAATAAATAAATAAAATATTTTCTGAAGATAACACCTATACATCTAACAGAGGGTTGTAAATAATAGAATAGTTATACTTCATTGTGTCGTCATATTGAGAGGAACAGTCTGTATAGGTACAGCCCTGTGTGCCAAGGGCTTAATAGCCCAGAAATAGTTTAGAAGTATTTCCACGCTACAGATTGTGTCTTTAGCGTGAACAGGACGACATATCGTTCTTATTCCTTATCTTATTCCTGTAAAAGCTACAAGTGTAATGTTTGATCTGTTAAGATGTAAAAAGATGTTGTCTGCTGTAAAGTGGAATAAATGGTTATAAACTGGAATACTTGGCTTGAGACGCTCACTGCTGAAGTCTGCTTTTTCACACAAGCAGGTGGCTCAGCTTGACACCAGTCTCTCACGTTTCTTCACAACACGCAGCTTTGTTTTCATAAGCATTGCGCACATTCCAACAATCCAATATGTTTTGTATCAGGCGGCCTGGGGCGACTCTGTCCAGACGATATTGCCCTGTCTGAGGGGAGTCCGCCTAATACTGCTGTCCCACTGCTCCAAAAGCACACAACTTCGCTGTTCCGTTACATTTTCCCGGATAAAGCGTAAAGTGAAATGTACACACGGCTATGCTTTATTCAGAAGTCTCACATGTTCTTTCATACATGTGAATACAGAGCTGGGCTGTTACATAATTCTGCAGCACTAGTTAATTTATATGATGCACATTTATATAATCCCTCAGCTATGACTCTGCTTGGAGTAATTGAAATTGTAGTAAACGGATCATTCCGAGTGTTTGAAGACGACCAATGTTTTGACCTGAGTCAGAGCTGGCTTTTCAGCTTAATACCACTGCACACTGATCAAAGCGACATTCTTATTGTTGTTATATCATCAGTGTTTGATTTTAGTCTTTCTTTGTTATCAGATCAAATAATCTAATAATCAAATTGTGAAACATCAGTGTGAGTTCAGTCTGCTGACCCACCACACTCCCCCTGATAGAGGAGTCATTCTAGGAAACGGGAATGCTGTTTATAAGCTTTAGTGGGATTTTCGCCGAATAGAATTGCTCACATAAACACTTGAGACTATTGGTTGAAATGTCATAAAAGCAGGTTGAAATAGATTTCAGCCCATCCTCTTTGAACATTTAAGGAAGTCAAAATCATGTGACATGATAAACTGTGTGTACAACTTTTTAAATTATGGCTGACTCCTAACACAGTCTAAAGATTATCTGTCACGTTGCAGCTTGGCTGAGTGATCCAAGTGGGATATAGCTGTGACACACAGTAACACTGAAAGGTTGGATTAGTGCAGCATCACACACTGTACAATGTCACTGCGATTACCACTACTGCATATCAATAATAACCTAATCAAGCAGTCATCCACTTTGTCAGTGCTTCAGGCTACGAGCACATAGTAAAGGCATTGTACCAAATACTTTATACAGAATCATGATAAAGTGTGTGTGTCTAGCTAGTCCCGTCATGCACTTAGCGTTTGTTTATAATGTGATAGTAACCTTTGTGTTCCGCGCTGCGCAGTGAGGCTTGTACCCAGAGTACGCATCGCTTCTGCGGCGGCAGGATCACGTTTCTTACCTTCTTAACAGACTTCATGGAGGGCACTGCGGAGAAGGCTGCGGAGGACACTTCTCCCACGTTCATATTCACATCACTGCTGTTCTTGCTCACGGTCAAAGCGGAATATTTCTCCGCCACGTTCTCCGTCTCTTTGACATATTTGGTGCCTTGTTTGACCTCCGTCCTCCCGTCCAGCTCCGAGTCTGTCATGGCATGCGCTTTACGGGGCTTTACGGGGCTCTGCGGGCGAATGAAGCTGCGGTCGTGTCGCACTAGGAGATTAACACCCAGCGGAGGTAACACAGGAGGAAAGTAGGTCCTGTTCGGTTCTTCTCCTGTGAGAGTACAGTGCACTTGTCTCAGCTGTCATCCGCAGACAGCAGCATCTCGGAGCGATGAGGGGGCGTTGCGCTTGGGCTGTCCCCTGAACAAGTGCATGGAGGAGGGGGTTGCGATGTGCGCGTTATCGGTGCTAGAGCTAGAGAACCAATGCAATCTACGGAGATTTGTTTCTAATTTAATTTGTCAAATCTTTCTATATGTCAACCATCTTTGGCCCTCCAAATAATATGGAACACATTTAAAAAAAATGTGTCATGTCTAAAGCCAAGTACAACAGGTAATTTGTTCTTTCTCAATTTCAAAAACATGTTTTTTAACAAATTTCATTGTTGTAACGTTGTTGCTTTTCTTTAAATGCAAGATGGCCGCCACAGCTCCCTCTAGCACATAATCCGGTTAGTCCATAGATGGTCCTGAGTAACAATCATAAACAATGTATAGTACAGTAAGGAGCACCATCACTAAATATGAAGTGTACTGTGGCCCGCCCACTTGAATATGCGCCTGTGTCTTTATAAAGCCTTTCTCAGTCTGGTTCCTTCCTGTATTTGTGATTACCTTGTGAAACTGTGCAGCCTCAAATTCTCAGAACTCAACCTTTTTGTTCCTTGTGTAGAACTAAGAAGCTGCTTTCTGCCATTGTACGCCTTGAACTCATGACATCCTATGTATACTTTGAAGAGTCTGGTAGCTGCAGTTGATTTAGGAAGTTATGAACATTTTATATTATACAGTAAATACATGTTCTTCCTTTCTTGTAACCTATGTAACGTATTTTTTTATTTTAAGTTAGCACCGAGTTATAGCTGTACTTTTATTAAGTGGTAAGCACTTAGGAGCCACAAGTCAAATAATTCAGTAAATTCCTGAACTGTAAGCCTCAACACAATGTATTGAAATAATCAAGAGGTAAAAAGGGAGTCTCCTCAATGTGAGATGCCATGATTAAACAATCAAAAGGTCATTTAATAAAATTTTATCCATGTTTCATGAATGAAATATCCAGCCTTTTGCAATTATAAAAAACATTATGCAATTACAATACAAAAAAGCAAACACTCATGTGACTGACAAACTTAATTTCCAAGTACACAAAAGATGAGGTTAGGCAATAAAAATACCTGCCTTTTTTTATCTATTAACAATTATTACGTATCTAAACGTTAGTAAAAAATGCATCAACTGAAAGCACTATACAGAATCCATGCTGGGAGAAAATGTTTTTTGTGCAATTTCAAGGACATATCCTTCCTTAATAACAAATTGACAGAGCAATAATAAAGAGCACTCCCACAAAAAGTCACATAAAAGACACTTGAAAAGGCTGCACCACTCACCATAACTGAAGCAAATATACAAGGGAGAAAAAGAGGCTATTGTCTCTTTTGTTCTTAGTTTGTCCCGATAAAACTCAAAACAAAAGTAAAAAGAAAATTATAAATGCTCAACCATACACAGCTGAACATGGAAGCTTCCTCCGTATACTTGGAGCAGTCCAGTGTGTGGAAGCCCAGGTAAGGAACAAAGGGGTCTGGATGTTCGGGCAAACGGGAGAGAGTGGTGGGGCACTTTCCTCAGGCGAGTCGCTGAAGCAGCTGTGATCAGAGCGGTGATCAGGTCTATGATGGTGCTACGAGACTCTGATCATTTGAGAGACAGTTTCATCTCCCGGACCCATGTCCTAGAGTTTGAGAAGAGTCTTAGATATGAGCGATATATGATGCGCTGCACAAATGTTTAAAACAAGCCAACCTGTGAAAGCCCCATTTCTTCTTTTTCTTTAGGTGAAAAGAAACGCCCACCATCCCCTCGCTTGCGTTGCATAGCATGACGGTGTCGTGATTCATGCAGATATTTCTGAAATAAAGAAACAATAATTTACAAAACTACATTTTTCATTCACTTGAATAGTTGAGTGGGTAAAACTCTTCACCCTTCTCTCTTTAGGTATTTTCCCCTCTGCCTCCAGCTTTGCTCGGGCCTGTCTGCGCTTCAAGATGCGGTGATACTGCTTTGCGTTGACGTACAACGGCTCCTCCTCAAGCATCTCTGCCCCGGGAAGAGGAATCCTCTGCATAGTGGGAACACCACCGCCACCAGGCACCATCTAACCAAACACAAAATACAGGCTGCTCAATATACGCTACAGGAAGTGTACATTACTAGATAAGTGAAAAAACAGACCTTACATGTTAGCAGGCCCTGTACCCACTAATTGTTTTACTTATTACTAACTTCTACTTAACAGTTAACTTCTCACTTCATGTTTTAAGTGCTTTTTAGAATTTACAGAGTCCATAATTAGTTTTGCAGTTAAATAATACTTCTGTGTTCTATGTCTACGAGATTATAACTATGGTATATGTAAATTCAAAGTGCAGCACTATTTTGACATTAACAGCTACATTTATAGCATATCTGCGCTGATCTGTGTCAAACAAATATAGTTCCTGTACTAGAAGAGGGAATTAGGTATAGGGCCTTGAAGCTATCCAGTGTGAAAGGATGTCAAGATGAATCATAATTGATACATGTGATTACAGAAGTACAAATTAAATGTAACAACTAAAAATGCACTGATAAAAGTATTATAGTAGCAATGATCAGTGATTACTCAATCACAGTTACAAAAAAAGCATCATGATTGGACAAATATTGTCACAAATTGAACTGAAATCATGAGATATCAACCATTAATAAAAGGTAAACGACTAGTGTATAAAGAAACAGTTATTGTTTTTGGCATATTATTAGTTCATGCAAGTGTGATGTTTGTGAGAAAATTACATATCCACGATTGTGCGACCCCACCACACGTGAGCTGGTAATATAATGGAAGAACGATGTAGAGTACCTCAGCTCCGGGCCTTACCATGACCATTCCACCTGCATTCACCATGTTGCCGGAGACTGGCAGGGTGACGGTCACAGTGCCTTGGCCGCTGTTAGTGGTGTTGGTGTTTGCACCACCTGCTTGAACAATCTGGGCACCTGCCAAACTGGCTGCAGGAATCGTAATCATTCCTAACAATACAAACCAAAGGATAATCAGAATAAGGTAATCAAATATTTTCAGATTAGGCCTAAATAAATATATGTGGTACAAGATTTTTACAGAGCAAAAAGCATTTCTGTAGGACTCACACTAATGTGTTTGAAACTATTATTATTGTCTATAACTGAGCAGCCCTGCGGATTGTAGGTATAATTGATTACCTTGTGGAAGTACAGTGCCATCTGTGTTGACGGGCTGGTACACAATGGTTTGTCCATCTGCAGTCTGAGCCACCTGCTGCCCTTGTACACTGATCTGCTGCCCCTGAAAGGAACATATCACTCATTATTATCCAGAGTATAATGCCTAGCGTACATATCCGTCGCCTTTGAGTTGCTGCCCCGCACACATCGACAATCTGGCGAAAAAGGGCAACTCCTGGTAGCAGGCCAGTCTCGGGAATAACAGCGCGTCCATCGACAGCAACTGGCCGTCAACTACAGTGTGTTTTCTGGCATAAACTGTAGAGGGCGCGTAATACGTCACATGATAACACTCTCAGCACATGTTGGAGCGCGCACATCGGGTGATATCTCCGGATCTGAGTACAACTAGTTGCCGAAAAGTAGAACACGGACAACTGACTGAATCCGGAGATCGACTGTTTATCTCCAGTTGTAAGAGCGCTCACATTGACCGATTTTGGCAACTGATCATCTCCCATGATCTGCTCTCAGTTACTCTGTCGATGTACGCTAGGCTTAAGGGAATCACAGACCAAGCCAAACACATTAACTTCTCTTATATTGTGTAAAATAAAAGACCAAAAGTAGACCAAAAGTTCTTTACAGGCTTGTCTCAAATCATGACAACGTCACTATTCATTCACTCTGCAGTGACTGAAGCAAGGGCCCAGTCCGTCCCATCAGCCACATTCACCATCATCATCATCATTTCCTCAATACATTCAACTGCACACGTTTTGGGTGGTGTGGTAAACAGGAGCACCCAGAGCAACCGCCACACATCCAAACCACAACCATTTTAATGTGGGCTACCTATTCGGTCCCCCTGTAGCTGTGTACCTGGTTCTGCCCTGCAGTGATGGCGGCCTGGGGCTGCTGAATGATGATCTGCTGAGGCTGACCCTGCTGACCTTGGAGCTGCAGCGTCTGTCCACCCTGTAACTGGATCTGCCCCGGCTGTACGAGCTGAATCTTTATCAAAATATGTTAAAAGGTGTGTTAAAGTTACTCTTTAAGTGGCCATAGAGTGAATGAGAGCCTCTCACCTGTTGTAATCCCTGAGCTCCAGACACAGGCACCTGCATTATGGTCTGTCCCTGTCCCCCCGACATGGCCTGGACCATGATGGGCTGACCAGAGGATGTGATGAGCTGACCTCCACTCACCTGGACCATTAAAGGCTGCCCCTGAACCTGCAAACAACAACAGTTGTTACATTGGAGCCATTCACATGTGATACAAATAAAGCACAAGGACACAATACTCAATATACATTTGATAACACAAACATTTAGGAAACAAATGAGATAAAAGATGAGACTCAATGAAATAACTGCTTTTCTGAGTTTGTGCCATGTGATAATAATACAACAGTTACCCCTAAACCATTTAACCGTAATTAATATATTCAGGAAAAAAATCCTCCTGTGGACTCTCCACCTGCAGTCTCACCACAGCATTCCAGTTTCCTTGGATGGAAAATATTCAGGAAAGAAATTGTTTTTTTTTTTGTTTTCATCATAACATCCATTGCGGAAGAATTGGAAAAAACTTCAATGCACATGTAGAGCGCATACCTCCACCAAGTTCAATTTTTTTTTTTTTTAAGAGTTCCTGGATCCAGACAACCTCCAAAATCTAAATCCTTTGTTGTCCCATTTCTGTGATACTGTATACTGAATATTGTGCAAAATCTGCACAGGTTAAACATAAAATAGTAGCGTAATGTGGTAGATGCTAATGATCGGCTGAGAACAGACCAACACAGTGTACAGGCTCATGCTTAATGAACACATGCTGGGATGAACACACTTAGACATTGAGCAGATTTTCTGACAAGAGCATGCAGTCTGATGCTTAATGGCTCAAACTCGGACACAGGGCGGCGGTGACACCACTACCTGGAGTGTCTGCACCTGCTGGCCGGAGGCCGTCACTACAGGTGCCTCTGTCTGCAGCTGCACAGCTGTAACTGTGCCCTGTGTCTGCAGACACAGGACAATAGTGGCTCAAACATTGAGAGTGTTAGTTCAGGGCCTACTTTACTCTGGGAAACTGTTAACTGTAAAAATAGCAAATGTAAGAAAATGTCTACCTTACCAGTAGACATTTTCTTACATTTGCTTTCAATTCAGTTTAGTCTCCCATTGTGGCACAAATATTTGCTTATGTGAGGCATCCTCACGTGTGTTCCAGTGTTTTCCTCCCTAGTTTCCAACATATGCTGTATTTGCTTTAGAACGTGGTGCCAAATCCTTTTGAGGCCAGGGTGGGACATTGTAACTGCTAGAAAAGGAGTTCCTAATGCCTCAACTTCTGACATCACATGGACCTCCACATATACAAAACATCTGATACCAAAAGTTTGCTTTAAATCAAACACTTCAAATTTCTTGGATTTAATAGGAAATTGCATTAGGCTACTGAATAACTATTACAAGTTTAAAATTATGTTTGACAACTACAGTTTTAGAACACTAAACAAGTAGATAGTTTGACAGATCATAAATTATAAAATATGTGACGTAAAAGTCTTAGACAGTGGGCCTGTCATGACTCACCTGAGACTGGATCTGGCCATTAGCTGTCTGCACAACGATCTGCTCCCCAGTAGTGGTGGTGGCAGTGGTGTACTGCTCCATGGTTCTCAACGTCCCAAACCTGTGCCAAAAGGACACATAAAAGCTAAGCAGTATGATGGCAATCCATATATAGTCAGTCCGGGCTTTATCATAAAGCTGCAGTAAATCATGATATGGTGATATTAAACATGGTTAGTTTATTGCGTATGAAGTAGACAAGGAAACTGGGAGGACTGGAAGGAGCTGAAATGAGCAAATATGATCAGAGCCAAAAAAAATTGTAAAAACATTAGCCTATTTTCACACCCTATTCTAGATAACCCGGAATTTACCACAAACAAACAAACGTAATCGCACAGTAATAAATTAAAATGTCATAAATGAGCATGCCATCGGTAAGATGTCAGAGTAGTTTGGACGTGTTTTCCTCGGTGGACCCTACACCCAAATATAGATTTCGGTCAAGGCAAGAAAAAATAATTTGCACATTGACAAGGACAAGGTGTAATAGTCCACAAGCACTACAACATTCTCATAATTTGGTACGAGAAAATAATGATGTAAGCTGACGTTGTTGACATGGTTCAGGAGGTGCTTATGTATACACCACTGTTTGACATTTGCTTTGTTATTGAGAAACAGGAGCAAGAATGATTGTAAATATTTTAACAAACGGAGATTGGAGGCATGGGAAGTGGCATGGCCTGTGCACGCGCCACTTCCCATGCTGCATTATGGATAAACCACGGAAGACAGTCTATGGGCTGGACATATAAGGACTGGCATAAGTGTGCGGCTAATGTTCGCAACGCAAAAATAAGCGTGATGAAACAGCATTACGTCATATTTAGGTTATTTTCAGAGACACGAGAGAATATTTATTTGCGAAATGAGCTGCACGGCGTGTTCTGGGGTCATCCCTCTAGAAAACATGGACAAGTCCTTTGTCTGATGTGATATTTGTTGAGCTAACAGCTAACATTGGCGGGGCTTGTCGAGCGCCACAGATCATGTTCCTTCACCCAGCCGACATTAGGGACTTGGGGTTATTTCCACGTCGTCCCCAAATAAAATTAGTCCACGGCCGTTCACATTTAGCGCAGTTAGTAATTTGGTTGGTCCATGACAAACCAATCCGTGCTGACAACAACTACCAATGCCTTCAATCGGGTCTGCCTTACCGTGTGTGTGCTGTCCGGTATCCCTCTGATTGGCTCTGGTGTAGCTCGCCAAAGCCCAATCAACAAAGTGAGTGGACAAAATGGCGCAAATGAAACAACAGCGGCTGGGAGGAGGTGCGCAGTGCAGTGTGCGCAGCGGAGGACTGTGTGACTGGCTGCAGTGACGGGTGTAGAAACAAGGGGGCAGTATTTAGGTTAATTTTTCAGAGCAGATTCATCAGACACGCGCATTTTAACCATGGATTCAGTAAAAAATCGATCTAATTAAATAGTGTGGTTTTATCACTACACACGCACGCATTTTTGTAGGTTTATATCCTGAACAGACCATTACTACTACTATTTTTGGCCTATAACACGTTTGCACACTTCTCTCTTTTGCACAATCTGAGTGATTCTATCTATGGCAAGGCAAGGCAAGGCAAGTTTATTTATATAGCACAATTCATACACAAGGCAATTCAAAGTGCTGAACAGAACAAGAAAGCATTAAAATCATAAATAATCACAGTACATTAAAAAAAAAGATAAAAATATAAAATCCCTCAGTTGTATGCACAGCTAAACAGAACTGTTTTCAACCTTGTCTTAAACATTGTCAGAGAGGAGGCCTGTCTCACATCTTCAGGAAGACTGTTCCAGATTTTAGCAGCATGAATCTGAAAAGCAGCCTCCCCATGTTTAGTTCTGACTCTGGGCACTAACAGGAGTCCAGTCCCTGTGCTCCTCAGAGTCCGGGCTGGTTCATATGGTACTAACATGTCACTAATATAGTTTGGTGCGAGGCCATGGAGAGACTTGTACACAAGCAGAGCTGTTTTAAAGTCTATTCTCTGAGGCACAGGAAGCCAGTGCAGGGACCTGAGGACCGGACTAATGTGGTCGTACTTCCTGGTTCTAGTCAGGACTCGAGCTGCTGCATTTTGAATGTACTGCAGCTGTTTTACAGCCTGTTTGGACAGACCTGTGAGCAGGCCATTGCAGTAGTCTAACCTACTGGAGACAAATACATGGATAAGAATCTCCAAGTCTGCTTTAGACACTATGTTTTTGATCCTGGCAATGTTTTTTAGATGGTAAAAAGCTGCTGATGTTACTGATTTGATGTGGCTATTAAAATTTAAGTCTGAGTCCAGTATTACCCCTAGATTTCTGACCTTGTTTGAAGGTTTTAGGGAGAGAGACTGTAGGTGACAGATGACGCTCTCTCTTTGTTTCTGGGGACCAAAGACAATCATTTCAGTTTTGTCTGCGTTTAGCTGAAGGAAGTTGTTTTGCATCCACTCACTGATCTGTTGGATACAGTGAAGGAGTGAGTCCACTGGTCCATGTTCTCCTGCAGTCAGTGAGACATAGATCTGAGTGTCGTCTGCATAGTTGTGATAGGACACTTTGTTTCTGCGTATTAACTGACCTAACGGCAGCATGTAGAGATTGAACAGAAGAGGTCCCAGGATCGACCCCTGTGGTACTCCACAGGTCAGGGCCATATGATCTGAGACACAGTCTCCAATCTCCACAAAGTACTTCCTGTCTTCAAGGTAAGACCTAAACCAACTTAGGGCGGTGCCAGCGACTCCAACCCAGTCCTCTAATCTCTGTAAGAGGATCTCATGGTCGACGGTGTCAAAGGCAGCACTCAGATCTAACAAGATTAAGATTGAGACTTTGCCTGCGTCAGTGTTCAGCCGGATATCGTTTGTAACCTTGACAAGAGCAGTCTCAGTGCTGTGGTGGGGTCTAAAGCCGGACTGAAACATATCAAATGAGTTGTTAATTATAAGAAATCTAGTAAGCTGTAGGTAGACAACTTTTTCAAGGACTTTCCCCATAAATGGCAGATTTGAGATGGGACGATAGTTGTTTAAGTACCGTAGCATCCAGGCTGCTCTTTTTTAGCAGGGGCCTGATGACTGAAGTTTTCAGGGCCTTTGGGAATATTCCAGAATGAAGGGACATGTTTACTATCTGTGTGAGTGAAGGTAACAGACTGCTCAGAACAGACTTCAGAAATCTAGTGGGTAGTACATCCAGGCTGCATGTGGAGGAGCTCAAACTGGAGATTATTTCTTGGACATTTTTATCATCTACAGGTACAAAGTAAGTTAGCTCAGAGAGCCTTTCTGGCTGTTGGATGGTTATCTGTGGATTGGAGACAATGGCGTTTTTGATGCCTTGAACCTTGTCATTGAAAAAGTGTGCAAACTCATTGCATTTATGTTTGGAAGTAAGCTCTAATGGCATTTGAACAGGGGGTTTGTTAATCTATTAACTGTTGAAAACAGAACACGCAGATTGTTACTGCAGCCTTCAATCATTTCATAAAAATACCTTTCTCTCGTACTACGTAGCACCCGGTTAAACTCGCACAACTTATCTTTGAAGATCTTGTAATCAACCTGGAGGTTGGACTTGCGCCACTTCCGCTCGGCCCTCCGGCACTTTCTCTTTTGTGCCCTGACCGAGTCTGCTTTAGCCCACGGCGCCTTCTGCTTATTTTCACTATTTTAACCTTCACAGGGGCAACGGTATCCAGAACATTCAAAACACTAGAGGTGACAGAGTTAAACAGTTCATCTACAGTAGAATACGATGCATTTTCAAAGTTTATCATTCCCATAAATAGTTCACTTGTATTTTCATTTATGTGTCTTCTTCGAACAGTTGCAGAGTCCACTGGTGGTTTGTTAGTGAAACACATGTCAAAAAATACACAGAAATGATCCGAAAGAGCAACATCGACCACGCTTATATTTGAAATATTCACCCCCTTTGTAACTAACAGGTCTAGAGTGTGCCCTCTGCTGTGGGTGGGGCCACTCACATGCTGAGTGAGACCAAAGGTATCAAGTAAAGAACTCAGCTCTTTTGCATTTCTGTCATCAACATTATCCACATGAATATTAAAATCACCTGTAATAACTAAACTATCAAAATCTGTGCATACAACTGAAAGCAACTCGGTAAAATTATCAATAAAACTGTGACATGACTGCGGTGGCTTGTATAGGACTATGAAGAGTATTGGAGGAGATTGTTTTTGTTGTATTTTAAAAGACACATATTCAAAAGACGGAAACTTCCCAAGAGACATTCTATGGGAGACAAAGTGGTCTCTAAAAATGGCAGCTAAGCCTCCTCCTTTTTTGTTTTCCCGTATTTCAGATTCAAATTTGAAATTTGGTGGTGATGCTTCTATTAAAACTGCATTTTCTGTATTTTGGTCAAGCCATGTTTCAGCCATGCACATAAGATCAAGATTATAAGAACAAATAAAATTATTGATTAAAAAAGACTTGTTAGAAAGAGATCTGACATTTAGCATAGCAAGTTTCAAAGTTTCAGTATCAGCGGTTGTGGTCGGCTGATTCTTACACGGAACAAGAATTAGATTTTCCAGATTAGACTGATTAACTCCAGATGTCTTTCTGTAATGTATTCTTTGTGTTATCACTAAGGGAATGGCACAGGTGGCTTCATGACAGGGCCCCAGCCGGGTCTCTCCTCTAACTAGACTGCCAGTGGCTGCGAAGCAGAGACCCTGTGCATCCTAGGGAGAGGAGGGAGGAGGATGGAGAGGTGGGTGGTTCTTGGGTGTTGGACGAGGGGGGGTTGGAGGTGGATGGGTGTTAGGGGAGGGGCAGGAGTTGGGAGATGGACGAGGGGGGAGTGGAGGTGGAGGGGTTCTTGGTGATGGGAAACGAGGGGGGGGGTGGGGGTGGGGCTGGAATGGTTTTGGGGTTAGGGGAGGGACCTGTGGATTTTGCGGGTGAATTCGTAGAATTTGAGGGACGGGTGGATTTTGTGGGAGAATTTGAGTTGGACGCCCTAGGTGGCTTTGGAGGTACGTATGGGGAGAAGTTATGAATGTTAGATAGGACCCTTGATCTGGCTACAGTGGGCGTGAGAGGAATATTCTTCATCGCCGATCTTATCATGCCTGCAGAGTGTTCCGGTAAATCCAATAGTGATGGAAAACACAGGGAAAGGTCGTCCTCATGTTCCTTAGATGGAGTGGATGTAGCGGGGGGGACCCAAACCGGGTCCATGGAAGGTGATGAGGGAGTCTTTGGTGGAGACGGAGGTGGTTGAGAGGCCCCCAGTGCAGGCCTGACTGTAGCCTGTAGCAATGGGGGGGGCTTCACGGGAGCTGTAGGTGGGGAAGGTGCTGCTGAAGATGATGCAGCAGCCACAGCTGGTGCTGGTGGTGCTGATGCTGAAGGCGCTGATGACGCTGTGGCAGCCACTGCTGCTGCTGGATCCTTTGCTGATGATGATGCTGGTGGACGTGTTGAGTTCTTTTGAGGCGGTGGAGGTGCCGAGACCTCTGGGTTCCGTGGAGAGGGTCTCGCCCTTTGTATCCTCCTCTCTTTCAACGGCTGAACGCGCTGCGCAGGCTGAGGTCTTAAGGCAGATGCAAAGTTATCCATCAACACTTTTACTCCATATTTGTTCAGATGTGGGCCTTTCCCTTCAAAGAGCTCGAGCCTATTCCAGAACAGATTTAAGTTTTCAATGAATCCAAGTCCTCTGCGTGAACACTCATTGTGTAGAAATGAATTTAACTGGTACAGACGGCTAAACTTCTCGATTTTTCCATCTGCATTTGGAATGGGGCCACTGATTAGCACGTTTAACTCAATTTTTTTAAGGTCATCCAGCAGCAGAGTAAAATCTCTTCTCAACTTCTCGGTGGATTTGTCGTAAATGTCTACTGCCCCTGTGTGTATCAACAATGTACTTACATCCTTGGTTTGAGATAAAACTTTTGGCAACAAAGCTCTTATCTCAGACACTCTGGCTGCACAGAGCACAGAACAAGTCTGTACAAAGTTCAAAGATACATTCCGAATGGCTGAATCTCCAAGCAGCAAACACCGTGGCCTTGACGGAGGGGGAGACTGTGGCTTTGCTTCTTCAAACAGAGCAGCATAACGATTTGAACTTTTGCAAACATTTCGTGGCAGAATTCCACTCCCATTGTCATTCTTTGCTTTGTCAACTTTGGGGTTAGCGCCGCATTTATTCCAATAGTTCTCTTTGTTGATTTTGGGAAAAGTAATTACGTCATCATAACTTACATTTCCAGTCTGTCCATTCATTCCATTTTCACACATTGGAAGAGTCGGGTTAAGTCCCATTTCTGTTTCCAAAATATCCATCCGTTTTTGAAGAAATTTGAGCTCATTTTCCAGAGAGCAGCAGCCATCGCAGATGCCAAATGTGACATGTACATTTTTCCAGTGTGAGATCAATAAAGTCTATCTTATATTCTTTTAGTTATGACAATTATGGGCTCAACTGAATAAGATGGCCATTATTGGATAACTGGTCAATGAAGAGACCATGTTTCGATTTTACTTACGCAATAGTAAGTAATATTACCATTTATTTATACGTGCTCATCAATGATTACACTGTTTTACCCCCTCCCTGTTGGGGGCAGCATTACTGTTTGCGGACATCCTACATTTTTCCGCATGTAACATGACAGCAGCAGTGCATGTGTTTTGAAAGTCGTTATTTGACTTGTTTGTTGTTAGTGGAGCCTGGTTTCCCCATGTTTCGCCCGCTGCAGTTGTTGTCCTCGGTGCTCTCCAGCGGCTGCAGGACTGGAGCTCTTTTGTCCCCGTCCACAGTGACTTTGAGCCGCTGTCGATGCGCCAGTAAAGCGGCTCAGCCCTGGAGCCGGGACATGTCCACTGAGGACTTGGATGAGGAGGACCAGATCCAGCGTGTCATCGAGTAAGACTCAGCCTACATCTTTAATCTAACGTGACTAGTGTCTCTTATGTTTACTTCCTTCAACAGTGACCAGGTGAAACGACACAAGTCTATCAAGTATCACATCCTGAGGAGGAAGATGCGCCCCCTTGGACCCCCAGAGAGAAAGTTAACATGGCAAGCTATAGATGAAATCAGGTACATACCCAGCTCTTTATTTAGATTGGTTCAATGTCATTATATCTTTTGATTTATTAGATTACCCTCTACAAAGTAAGATTAATGTCAAACATTGAGAAGAAAATACTTTTTTTTTTGTAGTGTGTGTAAACGTTTGGCTGCTACTTTGTAATCATCTGTAAAGTGTGTTTATATGTGAACATTTTTCTTCATTTCATTAAGATATTTAAAGCAAGAGCAGCCAGAGGAGTGGACCGTGGCCCGTCTGGCTGAGGGCTTCTCTGTGAGCGAAGATGTTATCCTCAGAATCCTTAGAAGCAAATTTATACCAAGTTCTGAACGAAAAGCTAAGCAGGACACTCAAGTTGTGGTGAAACTCAAACAGCAGATGCTGCCACCAGGAGCCTGGGTGGAACAGAAGAAACCAAGTTTGCCTTCAAGGACTTCAAAGACACAACCATTGCTGCCATTGAGCAAAGGAGACGGAGCAGTGATTCCAGTGGTTCAACATCTTGCGCCACAAACAGTGCAAAATCTTCCTGCTCTTCATGTTTTGACAAACCAGCTTTTTACAGAACCCCCTAAACATGCCCCAGATTTGTGCTTAGAGGATAAATATTCAACAGAGAGCACAGCAGAGGATGAAGAGGGTGATGACGAGGATGAAGGCTGGGATGGACTGGTCTTTACAGAGGGGGACATTGAAGAGCTGATGTCAACAGTCAAGTCTTCACCTGTTCTTAAAGAAGGCAATGAGTTTTTTGACAGAAATGGCAACTTCTTGTATAAAATTTGAATGTTTTAATTTCTCCATTTTTTTTAAATCTTTGCAAGTCCATGTCATAAAAGTGCTTTGTTCAACCCCTTTTATTCATACAACATGGAGATTTGTATAAACTAGATACAAATTTCAAAGACTGATAGTTTAATTTTAGGCAAATTGTCAGTTTCATATTTACAACCATGACCAGGAGTCATCTCCATTAGTAGTTAATCCTTGTGCTTTCCTTGGGTTAAATTGACCTGCCACAATACCTAGTTTTAAAGCTTAACCAGCCCTGGGTCATCTTACATGCGATAGTATATCCTAGTGCTGCAAATGTACATCCTTAGTACTAGCCACCAATGACAGTTAATGTCTAATACAGCCCAAGAGCCAGCTTAACACTACCCTAATGAAAAATTGATTTCAGTTTTGGTACACCCACATAGCAAGCTTATTCATCTTGAAGCCTGGGTATCATTAGAACCAGAGTATTAAATCCAGCCTAGTCTTACTACTCCATTGTACTGTTCCAAGCTGGCTAAAACCAAGCAAGATTACTTTATTTGGACTTTTATGGTATGATTGAATCAAATGAGTGTAAGTGGAGCGGCAGAACTCTTTAAAAACCATCTTGAAAAAGTACAAACATAAAGACAAACTCAGTTTTGGACCATATCCCCATTTTATTAGAAATCTTGTCTAGTAGAGACGCTGCGGTTTTCCCATTGTGCTCTTAATGTAAAGGGCACGCACGTTCTGCCAATTTTTCTTCAGCAGCGAAACCAGAAAGTTAACTGCAAGATGGATGTTGTAAACCAGCTCATCCTCAGTCATTTTAATGTGTCCAACAGCCACAGCCAGACACAAGACCTAAACAAATAAATGAGTTAAAATTAAGGTTTTAATGTCAAGTGTTTTTTTCCAGTAGCTTTCTTCTATTACCTTCTTCATTTGAAACTTGATTGTGGACTTGACCTCATCCACTTTGGTATTCAAGTTCTCATTGTGTGTGAGGAGAGAGGGAAATTTGCCAGCCTTGTTCAGCCCAGGTCCCAGAATACGGGGGATCTGCTTGATCAGAGACTCTGAAGCCAAAAAGGCATCATACTTCTTGGCTATAGACAAAACGTTACATTAGCGTGGCATCTTTACAAGTTACATGCATGCAGTATATGTACACACCAAGTTTTTTGACCATCTTTTTGTTCTTGTTAAGCTTCTTAAGGGCCTCAATGTCCATGTGTGGCATTTCTGCAGCTTTGGCCTCATCACAGTGCTGCTGGTCTCCCAATACACACACTGAGAATTTAGGCCTGGGCAGAGTCTTCAGTCTATAATACACATACAATTACATTTCTTTTTAACCACAATAACATTTTCAAAGACAGTTGGCAGAGAAAAAACTGAAGACACAATTTAAATTGATTACTGGTCAACAATTACCATAAAACTTCTGCACAATACTCTGCCACCCGCCCCATATTTACATTGTAACAGAAAGGAGCTTACCCATACCGCTACCATGGCTGATGTCCTGCTCTGTACTTAAATTGGTCGGCATGAGGACATGAACTAAAAGTCCAGTCGCTCAAAACCTTCCCTCATGTTTTAAGACCCAGGGTAGGGGTCCGTCTGCTCAACTGCCCATATCAGACCAGGGCAGCTCAGTCAGACTACCCAAAGTACTTCTCCAAGTCTGCACTTGACCCATTTGCACTTTAATGTTTGAGCCAATTCAAAACTTCAGAAAAGGTCCGAGTGTAGACAGGGAAAAGGTTGGGTGGGACAGTAAAATGTCGAACCTGACGGTGCCGGAGAAACGCTTGTCCTTCTGAGGATCATAATTTTTCAGGCTGATTTGAAGCTCCACTGACTCCACAAATCTGAAAAAGAAATAAATACGTTTAATTAAATAAAATTATTAAGACTTATATGATTTAGGAACACTTACTTTCTTTGCTTGGTCTGCGAGCCCTGCAGCACCTCCTTCACAGCTTCATATAGCGTATCTCTAGAGACCTTACTGCAAATCAAAGTTAAAATGAGGATAACCTAATTAATGTGTACTTTCCCTTCAGTTGTACAGTTCAAATTGAAACGTTTGTCACAGTTGCAAGAACTTAAACGCGATTGCATGCATCAAAGCTCATTAGCAAGCGGCTCGGCAAACGTGAAATGAACTGTTGTATACACAATAATCATTCAAATGGTGAATGTAGAATGAAATACATGTTCATCATCGAAACGGAACTGTGTTTCCACAATGATAGAAGCCCGTTAATGAACGGATGACACTGGATTGGGGATTGGAAAATTGGAAAAACGACTCAAGACCCGCCATGAAACTGCGCGAATCCCATCCGCATGTTGTCAAGCGCTTTTAAACTTCACTACTCGGTCACAAAATTAGATTGAAGTGATGGCATGAAACCGTTATTCTTTACAGACCGTCTTTAGTCGAAAAATGTCTAATTTATTTTAAAAACCCACTGAATTAAAGTCTAACCTCATCTCTGCTGCTCGTCCCTCTCGTGGGCTACGATGAAAAGGACATTACACCGGAAGCTACGTCATATAAAGAGCGCCCAGCGTGACGTCAACAAGATGCGTTACAGTCTACAAAATATATTTTAATTTGATGTCGAGTTTGGATTCCGTTTCACTAATATTTACACTATAAGGTTTCAACCATAATACAATATATGGTCACATATATGGTCACAGTTAGTCACTATTATTTTGGATCTTTCATAATGTTTATAATAGTGACAATTACTGTGCAGTGCTCTTATTTGGTCGTGCACGTTGAAAAAAAAATAACACGATGCTATATCAAGGACATCAAATTCATAAGGCTAAACGTTTTTAAATGTGTTAATTTTTCATGACTAAAAAAGCACTATGTTATGTAATGTGTTTGAGAAGGGAAAAAAAATAATTTAATAAATAATAATAAATAATTTAAAAAAAATAGTTTATTGAAAAAGATATATAGTCACATTTTTGCCAATTTAAAACTGTATTGCAATATAGAATGATGTTTTATCACTAATGATGTTCACTGTAATTGCTTTTGCCCTTTACAGATGATTACTTTGTCATCATTATGACTTCAGCAGTAGTCTGTTTAACTATCCCATTATCTGTTTCATCGTGTGATGATGGGACCGCTGAACTTTATCAACATTTAAGAACATTGGTCGTCTGCCCCTCTGCTATTTTTTATCATTGCATTTCTTGTGTTGATGTTTAACTGTTGTGTTGACTGTTTGATTCTCTGATGTGTTGGCGAATTCAATTGTTTAGTATAGTCCTCAAAGAGAACTGCTGTTGTAATTTAGGACTATACAAGAATACATTGACTTTAATAGTCCTGTCTTCAACAAACAAGGACCTCAAACATGCACAGGAATAGTTTGCAGAGATGAGATGAAGAGCTCAGTCACAGGAGAGGAGCACAGAATAGAGCTAGTGCTCCTCCACATTGAGATGGCTCGTGTATCGGCTACGTCTGCCACCAGGATGCCACTCTGGAGGAAGTGCATTTGGAGAAGGAAGTATGAGCCGACTGCTGCCTCTCCCTTCCAGCAGTAGAAAAAGTGGGAGATAATGGATAGATGTGGCTTTTGGAAGTGATTTATTGGATTATTTCCTGCTTGTTATTCTTTTCAAAGCCGCTTGAAGTGACTTTTTGAGGAAGGTCTCATTGAGCATCAGGCATTTGGACAGTGTCTGAATGTGGGAAGCAGTAATCTGTAAAGAACATTTAAGGCTGTGTTAATAAAACACACTCAATCCTTTTAAATTGTTACTTACATCGCTGCTGTATTTGGTGAGAATGGTAAGTAACATTTTTGCAAACTTCACAGACTTTGTCATTTGAGAAGCCTGGCTCATGAGTTGTTCAGTAAATTCTGTGAATACGTCTTCATTGATGTCCAGCTAAAACAAAAACAGCTTTAATGCACATATTCCTCCTCCCAATAATAAAAAGACAAAGCTTTACCTTTAAGTCTAACAAGCAGTGTATAATGGATAGCACTGATTCTGTCCACTTTACTTTGAAAGTCATTCTTGTGAGAGAAAAAAAAGAGAATGTATGAACCCTTCCATTAAAAAAAACTAAAAGCAAGGAGTCATTCTTACTGAAGAGTCAGACGTTTGTAGTGAGAATCTAAACTCTCAACCAATTTGTTCAACAGATCAGCTTGCAGATTCCCTGATGGAGAAGTAATTAGCATTTGTTATGAATCATGTTTAAAAGTTTTCCAGCCACTCACCAGTGTTTTTGTCCATTACAACAGGCTCAAATAAAGCGTGGCACGTGGGTCTGGGGTAGCGGCTGCACAAGGATGTAACAGTCGACACCAAACATCTTGATGCTGGTTCGGACAATGACATTATCTGCAGGTTTCAGCAATGCACATAGTCCGTTTTATTAAATACACATTGACGTTATCGTAGGGTTGCATCAAAAGTACCTTTTCGAGCAGGAGGCTCCTGATAAATATTGTGGCGGTGCTAAAACTAAGATCAGGAGAGAGGGCCAAAACACAGCTACAAAGCTTTGGTAAGACATTTTCAGGTGTTTTTGGTAAATCTATTGTGTGACAGATCATCTCCAGCTAAACAAAAATGAGAGATTTTGCAATGGGTAAATTATTAAATAAAGATAAATAGTAATTATCACTCTGCATTTTACCTGAGGAGGATCACAGTCGTTGAGGATATTGACCACATCAGAAGAGCTCTGGTCCCACTGCACAAATATTACAAAATAACGCAAAAGTAATAATCCTATTTCTAAAATGATGTATGTTTACTGATAGATAATTAATCTTACCTCTGAATCACTTGCAATCAAGTCTTTCAATTGTAACACAGCAACCTACAAAACAAATGTCATCATGCAGAACAAGACTGAAGATTGCTCTTATTATAAGTAACCCAAAAATACATTACAGTTGGTACAGAATACTACTGCAGTACATTGTCCTTTTTCCCTCACCTTCATATGCTCAGGCAGAATGTCACTAGGCCCATCAAGGGGGGGGTCTATGGCCTCAGATGATACAACAGCACCTGGGAGTTCCTCTTCTCTGTCTTCCTCTCGTTTTGTGCCTACGTCTTCATCAACACAAAGATCTACTCTCATCCGTTTGTTCTGCTGGTTGACATCTTCACTGTCCGAGTCCCGGGAAATATCACTGCTCTTTCTTTTTCTCTGCGACGGCTGACAGGGGGCGGTTGATGCAGACTGAGTAGATGCAGGGTCCACATGAAAGGCTGTGGCCCATCCCTCAGCAGGTTTGTCATTGCAGGGAAGTGCCTGAAGCAGCAGTGAGAGCCTCTGGCTGCACTGTGCACTAAACAATGGTTTATTCTTGTCAATTTCTAGTTGTCTCTCCAGTTGTGTCACTAAAGATGCAACCCAAGTATTTGACGTCAAGTCTTGCTTGATGCATTCCAGCAAATGGCTGACACTCGACTGAGGCAGAATATGATGCAGGTGATAAACAAAGACCAACAGGTTTTGTTGGAGTAACGGTGGGAAGAGGCACACCAATGGTTTACTGCAGAAAACACAAATTGTTAAGATGTCAATCTATCATCATATACTGTTAAAGCAAATATATGATTACTACATCAGTGTATGCATAAAAATAGGATTGCATTTGGAATGTTCGTATTGAGGACAGGTGAAGGGATTTCACATGGAACCAGAGAGATGGCGCCATGTCAGGTGCTCTGATGTGTGCCGTCTTCTCTGTCTGGTGCACACTGGGGCAGATTTTTTCCAATGTAGTTTTACTGCAAATGGCAAATAATTTCTTGTATCTTGTTCTTCTGTAACTTAAAAAGGAGCAGTATATTAAAATCTGGGCAAAAGTGGTACTGCAACCTCTCTCACTCTCCCTGACTCAGGTTGACAGATATGCAGACGAATACAGGTGGGAATATAATATCTGAAGAGTTTTGTGAACAACAAATCTATAACGAACAGCTTTTTCACAAATGCCCCAATAGAAATCCTCGTTTTATTCCTTTCTTTGAGAATAATAAGGATGCAGTCAAAAAATACAAAAAGACTGTGAGGCTGAGGGTCACAGTCACTGTACGCGTACTCACAGAACCAGTGGTTGTGCATCTGCAGGACCTCCAGGACCTCCAGGACAGCTGATCTCATCTCGACACAGCGCCTGGATGAAGAGCTCCAGGGAGAAGCATGAGTTCCGCTGCTGTTTGTGGAACACCTCCAGAGCCCTGTGCGCACCCTGCACCCCGGACAGCAGAGCCCGGACCAACAGCAGCCTCTGACCCTCAAAGCCACCCACAGACATGTCTCATCAGACTGTTTATGTGGATATAAAACCGTGTATCTAAAATAGGTCCATCAACAAAACTGAACTCAACACAGACTTGACCGACCAGCTTCTTCTTCTCCTTTTTGGGAACAGGAGCGCCCTCTGCTGGTGGAAAACCACACCGTGCGATACCAGTCTACAAATACTAGATAATGTTTCCATTGTGCCCTAAGTACAAATACTAAGTTACTGTAAATTGATTACGTTTTACATACGTGTAACGTATTTCGTCCCCCAAAAGTTGACGTTTCTATTTCATTATTACAAATTGCATGTAATGACATCGAAAGAACCGCCCTCCTCATAGGGAACGCCTATTAAAACGTCGCATATCACCAGTGACCAGAATAATTGACAATTCGTAGGACCAATAGTCTATATACGATCCACCCAGAAGAATAACATCACACCTTTAACATTTAATTGACTAGGATATATCAATCAACATTTCAATCTTTTTTCAGGGGAGGACATTGGTGTTATAGTGGCAGTGGAAATCAGAACACCCGGGGCAAACCTAAACACTGGAACTTGCAAAGGCCACACAAAAATATCCATCTGCCTGAGAATCTAAACCAGGACGTCCTCGCCGTGAGGAGAAAGCACTAATGTCTGCATTTATCCAATGAGCTATTTTTAATTTTGTTTGTGGTAACATTTCCATAAAACTACACACCTTTATCACAACTAAGCACACAGCTTGTAAAGCTCAAATGCTTGAGAATATAAAAGTGCTTTTTTTATCAAGTTTGTTTGATTGACATATCTGCATATGGCTTAGTGAGTATTAAATGAGAAATATGTATAATGATCAGCTGTCTGAAATACTACCAATTATTTGTGGAATTTAAGTGTAAATTCCTCAACATCTTTGAGAAACATTCTAACTTGGATGTTACCAAAAAATAAGAAAATGCCTTAGACCCAGGGATACTTTTATATAAATAGAAATAAGAAAGTTCACATTCTTGATTCTAGAAGTTTAAAGATCTTTACTATTATCTACAAATTGTTTACATGTGGCTAAAAGTTGCTTCAAGTAATAGTTTTTTCTGCACAAGTCAATCAATCCATCACTGTCACAGCCAAAGAGGTAGTTAACACATTTGGTGTACTTTTGTGTTTTAGTCATCCACACCTGTTTCTTGGCACACTGCACATAAACCAAAACGCAGTAACAAAGGCAAAAAGTAAGAAGTTATATGAGACAGAGTCACAGATTCAGTCACATATCATACAGAGGTAGGAGGAGACAGAAGTGTGTGCAGAGGCGCCCGTTCAGATTAGACAGTGATACAGTGCATAATATGTGGAAGATATTGTAGGCTCTTGTAAAGCTTTGTGAATAAAAACGTTTACAGTAAAAACAAAAATAAGAATTATCAAGGCTGATTTGTGATCAAATATTTTAAGACAAGGTGTTCTGAAGGTCACCCAGAGCTTTTGATATATTTGGTATAACCTCCACCCCAAAAATCTGACAATGTGAGATATAAAACGGTATAATAACTCATATTTGCCCTAAATGCTAATCAGAAATTACAAAGAATTAGTTATATAATTACACTAAAAAGCTAAATGTTGTAATTCATAACATGACATGAAAACACGCTGTCCCTTGTACTTCACTGGGCAAAAAGCTGAAAGTGATTCAGCTCAATCTGTGCCGCAATGTCCCTTTGTTATCAGATGACAACATAGAACAAACACTGACAATTGAGGTTTCAACTTGAATCATCTTATACACAGATGTAGCCTAAGCAGTGCTTTACTTTGCTGGAGAGATTGTGGTATAGAACAGGAGTTCCCAAACTTTTAGACAGAGATCCTAAAATAACACAAACTGACCCCGACCACAAAACTGAATTTAAAGCGCTAATAAATTGAAGCAATAAAATGATGTTAAAATAACCGTAATATTTCTTGGTTGAGGCACGTATTGTGCATCCAACCCAATAGGATTTTTACTAAATAAAATTCTATAATTATATTGCGTCTAAAAATAATCTTACAATTCCCATTTTAACTTCCTGACCCTCACTTTGGGAATCACTGTTGTATAATATAAGAAACATAGTTAGCACAAACTACACAATGTTGATAATGGACAGAGATCAGCCCATGGGACGTCAGACTTTAAAACCTCATCAAAAGCCGTCACTGTACAAATGTATTTTTGGTCATACGTGTCTCATGTTAATTGATAACAAAACTATACAAGTTGCGTTGCACAGGGATAAAGCGGCAGAATGTTTCTCAACACAGGTCAGTTTACGATTAAGATGAAATAGGAGCAGCCTTCGTTTAAAAAAACACATCATTCCCACTGTTAAGTGACCTTTGTGGGAAACTACATTTTCAGAAAATGATTCCAGATGCTGTTAACACTGAGAAGACGGTTCTGTTAGCCCTACAAGCAGACTTTGTCTCATCTGCACATGTTGAAATCCATGACCATGAAGTGGAACAGTGCTCGTACTTGCAGTGTATTCATTTATAAATTGAGTTTGTAACAGTATTGCAGAAAGAAGTCTTTGCGAGGAAAGCTAATACATGTCTTTGTAGATCTCCTGAAGTAGCGGGTGAAGTGATGCCTCAGACTCTGTTTTTTTGATCTTTTGGACGAGTTGAGCGTTTTCTGTGACCAGCTGTCGAAGGTCGGCCATCTTCTGAAGCAGTTTGGGAAAGAGGTAGAGAGAGTCTGAGTGGTTGGCCTGAAGATGGAGGTCTAGCGCCTGCAGGATGTTGTCCTGACTCTGCTCCACTTGTTTCACATTCATCAGCCCAGGACGATCTGTCAAAACAGTTAGGGACCACAACATTAGTTACTTTATCTATTTACATTATGGCAGTGCAGGCAACGTCTATTTGCCATAGACACAAGATTGTAAATTTAACATTCAAGTGAATGGTGGCAAATTTGGACAAATCAAAAGCTATTACTGAGTGATAAAAATAGATGCCCTACATTAGTACAGGCATCTTTAGATATTTGCTTTCATAAATACAATATTATTTACTTTCATAAATACAATATTATACAATCAAAGTTGACAGTAGATCACTGTGTACTCATATATTTTACCTCCACAGAGAATGATGGCAGCAACAAATAAGGCCAGGTCACTGTCATCCAGCTCCAGGGCGTTGAACTTCACAGCAAATTCAAATTTAGGCTCCATAATGTCACTGAATGGCTTTCTCAGACTCCGCAGAAACTCCCTGGTAACGAATCCTTTCCCACTGGCCACCAGTAGTCCATCTTTGTTCATAAGAGATGGCAGCATGGCAAAAATTGCCTCGTGCACACCATACTTGAGCAAGGTTACCTAAACAACAGATACAAATGCATTCATGAGGCACATTTCAATGGACATAACAAAGTCACAGCAAAGTCGATTCAAAATTAAAAAATGTGTTTAGATGCAATATTGTGTCAAAACGAAAAGTTTAGACCATATCACTTTGCCCTAAGGGAGATGTACTTATAACGTGGAATGTTTTATACAACTTGTCTTGTTCTCTGCAAACCAACAGCTGACACGACCACCAGCTTTCACAACTGCCTTTATCTTATGCATTACACCAGGAATACTACTATACATTCTGCTGCATGTGCACAAGTGAATGTCTTCACCACAATCATTTTAATCATTTTCTCACAAAGTGCAAAGGACACATGACTAACCCAGTCCCTTCATACTTTGTGGGATGTGATTTACCTGGTCATTAAGATAAAGGTCCACAAAACCAGGAATGGACTTGGCAAACTCTGTGAGCTCCCGCACAGTCTCCACTGTAGTGCACTGACAGCGATAAAACACATGGACCCCGATTTCCTTTGTTAAGGGAGCACCTGGAACTAACTGGCTCCATACCAGCCCACTCTCTGCCTTCCACAGCGTGTCAACATCGTAAATCACAAATGGCTGAAAGAACAAAAAAAAACAAATAAAGAAATGTATCTGATTAAACATATAACTTGTTACTTATTAACTAATGTTGGCTGAACTTATTCAAGTCAATATTCTACTGCATCTTTAATACAATAAAAGCCATACTGAGGTGCTGCTGGTTTTGCCCATGAGGATACTGCGCGCCCTCTTCTTGGTCATGCTCAGGTTCTTCTGGTAGGCCGTGTTCACTTGTTTGGCCAAAGTCTTGAGATCAGAACCCCCGGGTTTGAGGGTCAACTCCTCAGCCAAGAGACCGGCCACTAGCTTCTTCTTCTCTGCTTCAGGCATACGTCCATATCGGATGGCTACAAAAACATGTGCATGCTGGTTTTAGCGTTTAGGTGAGGGTTTGCAAAGAGGGGAGAAAACACTCATCACATCTCCTGAGGCCAAAATACCTCTGGTCTCTACAATATTGTTGCAAGTTTTAAAAGAAAACTAGTGTGGCATAAAATGTTACATATATTGACCCGTTATAAACCCCATATTCCTATTTCTCTAAGAACATCTTTTCACTTTGAGTTTAACTGCATGAAATTTTAGTTTTAGGCACTATTTGATAAAATGTAATTTTATCTAGTTATTTGTTCTATACTTTCATGATATTTGTGATGAATTAAGAAAATCAATCAATCAATTCATTTATCCCCAAGAAAATATAATAATAATACATTTTATGTAAAGCGCCTTTCAAAACACCCAAGGACACCGCACAGGACATAATAAAAACATTAATAACAGGAGCAACAGAATAAAACAGTTGTGCAGTATGGAATGGTGGGTAAGTGTGTGTTAGGTGGGGTAGGACAGTCTGAACAGATGGGTTTTGAGTCTGGATTTGAAGAGTAGAAGAGAGTCAATGGTACTGGTCAGGAGGGAGAGAGTTCCAGAGCTGGGGGGCAGAGTGGCTGAAGGCTCTGTGTCAAGAGGAAAACCTACAGACACTGGACTTTAAAATTGCTCAAATAAAGTTCAGGGCATCTGAAAACATGAAATCCAATTTACAAAACCATGATGCACACCATAAATATATAATTGATTGGGAAAAACAAAAACAGTATTTGCCTAAATTTAGAAGTACTTTAATATCAAAGTGTATCTCAGTGTGTGGCGTTAACATTTGGAATATTTGAAATAAAACAGATTTAGAAACTATGGAAGAATTATGTGGAGGAGTGACCTTCCCTCAACACAGAGTGTGTAGTGGAAGAGGTGTCGCATCAAAGAGTGTTTGGGCTTTTATCTCGTCTGAGTGATAGAAGAAAGTGATACTTACTCATGAGAATTATGAGTAATAACGATAAGTTATACTCATTTGACCGGCATAGTAAAATTGACTATTTTTTGTTTGAGTGGGTCTGAGTCTTACCATCATGAGACATCCCTAAAGAAAGGCACTTCTGGAAACGACAGTATTGGCACTTGTTACGGTTCTTTTTCTGGATCTTGCAGGAACGTTCACAGCGCTCATACTCCAATTTCATCCTCACAGTTCTCCGAAAAAAGCCCTGAAATTAAATTGTATTCTTTACTTTACAGAAGAAGTGTGTAGAGAAAAGTTTTACTGCAGTTTGAGCAGCACACACCTTGCAGCCCTCACATGCATGTACGCCATAGTGGAAACCAGACGCCTTGTCTCCACAGACCTTACACTCCACGCTGATACTGGACGCCGCGCTGTCCTCTTTGCCCAGACGCAGCTGTTCAGACAGTGACGGAGAGGACGTGTGAGACAGGTCTGCAAATACAAAAAAGGTCAGTGGGGGATTCACAAGTCATCTAGATTCATGGAAACAACGGTTTTGGAAAACTAACAAGATTAGATACAACTAACATTGTATCTAATTTACCCATAGAGTTGAGTTAATCAGTTTCTGTCAAGACTTTGGCCACTGTGGTGGTAAGCTACTACTACAGCCACAAATGCTCTGGGGTAGAATCATGGCTGCCAATCTGTGCCATCGGGCCCTCAGACAACCACCACACACAAGGCTCACACTCGGCAATGTGGGTGAACCATGGTCATATGATACAATCCTTTTTTGTATTTTTTATAAAATTGAGTAGTTTAGTAGATTTTTCCCAGCGCTCTTTATGTTTCTAATTATATCCTTATTGTAATATTTCCTTCCCATAAAATTGTTTTCGGGCAGATTGCCCAGCCCAACCGATAACAGTATCAGAGTACTCTTAGAATTGTTGAGGTTCTGCCACAATGAAGAACACAAACACTAAGTGTGCACTGCAGAAATATAGATGCATAGGTGCAAGTACCGATGCTAAGATCTTGATTTCAATGAATGAATAACAATACTTGTTTCAAAATGTATAGTATCTAGGGTTGGATAATTTTGGGAATTGTCAAAGATGAAAACTTTCTATAGGAATTAACAGGAATTTTATAAAATAAAAGGTTGGCGCTTTGTAGAAAAACAGATGCCATTCAAAGACATTTGAATATCCATGTCATTCAGGGATATCCTCAATCAAATGCACCCTGCTTACTGCCTGGCTATTGAGACCACACCCCCCACTGGCACTGTGCACGCCCGCCATCACGAGTACAGAACATTTCTAGAAGACTGGACCACACTTGTGAGCTCAAAGCGCAAGATTATTGTGAAGACACAAATTTGAGCCTGTGGACTAAATAAACTGAAGTATGTTTTGATGATATTGTGGGGAACAATATCTATTGAAAATACGTGCTTTGATGTGATACAACTTAATTACATTACAATCAATTCTCATTTAGTTCCCCTAAATACTCATTATTCCCATAACACACTTCCAATAATGAATATTTAATAAATTCCAAATGGAATATTTACTAAATTCCCAAATTCACAGCTTAACCTATTAGTATCCAATTGCCTCTTATGACAACCCTCCAAATGGGGTCCCGTTTTGTAAATGTTAATGTATAAAGCTCATCAAGAGATATTACTATGAGTGCATGCATAGGAAACCTGTAATAATGAATTGGAATAAACCAAACCTACTCTGGTGCAGAGCAAATGGAATTCCAACATCAAACTCGTAATTGTAAAAAGTGCAGCCAATTATACCTGTGTAGCTGGATGATGAGCTGATAGCCGGCCTCTGTTCTCTCTCCTCGGGCTCCTCCTCCTCTCTTGTCTTGTGTTCCTCTTTGATCCTTTTACCCACACTATCCTCATCATCGCTGTCTCTTGTCTTCACTTCAGGCAGGTTGTCTCCCCCAGAGCTGTCAGAGCCTCTGGACTCTCTCTCCGCTCCAGACCACCTGACATTGTGCGTGTCCTGGGGAGACGGCGGCTCGGAGAAGCCGTTTGTCCTCTGCTGCTCCGAGGCTGCCTGCTCACACCCCTCCATGGCTCCTTTAGGAAGCTTGCTCTACACCTAACCTCTTGTCACGTAGTCATCATATCCCCACTGTAACAATTTGAAAGAAAAATAAATGTTAGTGGGCTATTTGGAAAGAAATGTGATAAATGATTTGTACGTATGGTCTTATTCTAAATATCAAGACAATTAGGCAAATCATAGCTAGTAACAATGACATGTTTGCTTGACAGTGAGTGTTCTCTTTTACACCACAAGGCCATCCTGAGCTGCAATTATTGGTCTGAACAATTGAGATAGATGGATTCTCTCAACTAGTACACGTTTGGAGCAAAGAGACATCTGTTATTATTGTTTGCCTCGGTTCATGGCAGGGTGCACATTGTACTGAGTGGATACATAAAGGGGACAGGGTGCATGCACTATGTACACACTGAGCAGTCTGTGTGGGGGAGTGGGTCAAAAGAGATAGGGCTACATTTTGTATTGGATTAATCTGCGTATGCATGTAAATGAAACTCGATAGATGCGTGTAGATCTCACCCCTTTATAATTCAATCAACGAAAATCTAAATTTAAACATTAAACAGCCTCGCATAAAAACGGTATATGGAAAAATCTCATTCATAATTTTAGGAATAAATCAGCTATGACTACCTGCTTAATATCATTGATTTGACACTGAAGCTCAACATTTGTGTCAGTAAAGCCAACCTGCCATACTGGTCCTCGGAAAAATCTGTTAAAGTGACTGAATAATATGGACATAGAGTAATACGATACGTGCACTGACAGCAGGACTGAACAACACCCATGTCCACTGAAAGTTCAGCTTTGAGTTGAGACAATAATATATGTAATATTAGTATTACATTCTACCCACATGTGAGACTGTAGTCAGACTGTAGTCAGACTGTAGTCAGACTGTAGTCAGACTGTAGTCAGACTGTAGTCAGACTGTAGTCAGACTGTAGTCAGACTGTAGTCAGACTGTAGTCAGACTGTAGTCAGACTGTAGTCAGACTGTAGTCAGACTGTAGTCAGACTGTAGTCAGACACTACAGCAGAGTTAGCTGGTTAGCACTAACCTTGAGTGCACTGGTAGATGCTGTTAGCGTGGCTAACCCACATTCCCGAGTGTGCCTGTAAATAACGCTCTGTGACAGCCAACAAGGCTTACCTCTGTCAATATTGCTACAGCCTCAGTGTGCTTTCAACTAAGAGGGTAGAATCCAAATTGCAAGAAAAAATAAAGAAAAACTCCGGTGTAGATCGATCTGCTGTTGACAAGTTGTGTGAAGTGTCCAGAGTGAGTTAGCAGGCAGTGGCTAACACCAGGATGCTAACTCTCACACAGGAACAGGCCATTGAACAGCGGCAGAGTTGACAAATGTAACCCGGAGAAAGACACTTGAGTTGGCTGCCAGACCACGCACAGTTAAGTAGACTTATTACTGATAATCCTTCACCGAGTTTTCCCTTGTTGTTCCCAGGTTTGGCTTTGCTTTGGCTGGCTCCCCCTCCCTGCTGTCACATGCCAGAGAGGACACAGCGCCGCCTGCCGCCTGCCGCCTGCATCTGTGTATACTATATTTACAGTCTATCTATGCCATAGATAGACTGTAAATATTGTATGGAATGTACTTTGACTCAGACGCACGCATACATTTTGGACTCAGTCAAGGTCTTTGTGAATATAAATGTTTGTACCTTTACTGATAGCAGAAAACTAAATGTGTCAAAAATAGATTCACGCCATACATTTAGAATACATTTTATTGATTTCCCAAATAGGTGCCATGGATACAGACTGTAATTAAAAAACATTTAAAATAATATTTGAGATAATCAAGTTATCTAAATGTATTCTATTGAGATGTACTACAGTGGAAAATGGACGTTTAAAATGGAGGTGAGGGAAAAGGTGTTTCTCTCACCTTTCTGTAAGGAAACTTCTGACTTTGTAGAAAGGAATATAAACAATAATATAATTCATAAGGATTAGATTCCTTATTATTGTGGCATTGGGCCAATATAACAAAGTTCTAAATTGTGCAAGAAAAAAATAATTGCATGTCTTTTTACATAATGCAAACTTTGTTTAACAGACTAAGATAAGATAAGAGTTCCTTTATTAGTCCCGAAATTTTGATGTTGCAGCGCACATACAGGACAGTAGTAAGAGCACACACAATATACACAATAAGTAGTAGCTATGTTGTAGATGCTGGAAATGCTTCAATACCAATGTATATATGTTATATATACATATATATATATATATATATATATATATATATATATATATATATATATATATACATATATATATATATATATATATATACAAGGCACTTTGACAAATATGATCTTATTTGTTGTAAATCGATTTATCTGATTACAGCAATACAATCAGTATTCATAGCCTAATGACAAGATGAGTGCAATGGGCTAAAGCTGAGGAAGGCAGGCAATATGACAAACATAGTAATGTAAGTTTATTAACAAAAGCAGCACCCAACAAAAAAGGAAGTTGAGGCATTACTGTCAGTCTTTCTCTCTTTCCTGTTTACTGGAGTCACACTGTTGCATTGAATACTGAATCTTAGTCAAAAGTCACACACATGTCAAAAAAAATATTATTAACATTATATTACAGTAATAGTACAATGTGAGAAATTATGAACTTGTTTTTGTTGTTTGTTACAGATGAGTGATAATGTTGATCAAACAGTTCAGAGTTTTTGTTTATTTGTTTACATAACACAATGGTTGTTCAAATGTTGGCACATGAGGGATATTTAATACATTTAAAAAGTTGTCAAAATGTAACACTTGTGAGGACAGTAATGTGCAAAACTTTCAAGTTAGTATCTTCAGAAGTATCTCAAAATCCTCCTACGTAGACACAAATGCTTTTGCACTGGAACTGTTGCATAGCTCTGTACATTTGCCACATCTCAACGGATTATCATTCAATGTCCATGTCTCCGTTTGAGGTGTGAGAGTGGCGTTTCTCTAATTCACAGCTGTTGTCCACATTTTCTTTTCCCTCATCATCTTGCTCATCCGATGCAGACCTCCTTAAGCGCAGACCTGGGTCCCTTTGTGATGGAATTGGGAATGTGGGAAAGGAGCTTCCCAGAGATGGTCGTTTCTCTGTAACAAAACATCAATAAAGGGTTAGTGTATTTAGATTGATCAGAAGAGATTTTATCTGCAGTAGAAAAGTTGAGCAAGTTGCGCTCAGTAATTCGGAATATACTGGCCCTCTATTCCAGAACATTATTGGGATGGAAGTTTTTTACCTACAAAAAAGTGACTAAACCAAATATTTTCAACAACTTATTAAACTTAGTATGGAAAGACAAAAACAATTTCATGATACAAGAAATATGATGGATCCTCCACCAGAAAAACCTACATAGTGGACTTTGCTATTCATACATTTTTTGAATAAGAACACCAGAAAATTATAGACAGAGTCTATTAGTTTGTCATGGTCGAGTTGTGTCTCACCACTGTTGAGTAGTCATGTGGAAAACACTGGGTTCAAATACGGTTGTGGTTTTATTTGCTCAATGTCATTCCCCTCACTTACAACCACACACACATGCGTTTCCTGACTTATGCCTCCATGAAAAACATGTGGTTAGTTTTGATAATTTTACTCTTACCTCCTGGACCAATTGGCCTCATCAATCGGTTCATCTGCACGTTCCAGTGTTTCACATTTGTGCTGGCCTGGCGACGTTTTCGCTGGGCGGCCTGTGACAAATGCATTTACACAATTCTGTTAAAACTGGCATTATGTACAGTATTTAGCAGTTAGTCACCAAAGTGGAAGAATTGCTCTAAGACACTTTCTATGCAGTGACCTGGCTTCCCACAAACGTTTCCTAACATTTCCCTTACACATTTTACTTATTTATGTTATTGACTTTATATCTACGGTATACAGTATCTATGCCCTATTGAGTTTCATGCCCTCATATTTTCTAATCATATTTTCTTGTACCTCTGGTAATTATATTGTATTAAAACATACACATTCTATTTTTTATTGTTTTGCCTAGAGTGCCACATGAAAATATTTAGGATTAAAAACTATTTAGAAAGTAAAACAAAACAAAGGAAACCCAGAACAGTCCTGACTAGGCAATACCATTTTCATGAGACAAGCATATGTCTAAAAACTGAAATGTATGCAATGAAGTACTGCAATATAATCTTTGCTCCTGATAATTGGGATTAGACTCGCATTTATCTCATCAAATAAACATTGTGCAGAGGTTATAATTAGACCCTCACCACTACGTCCTGTTCGACTCGATGGCGGTTGGCGCGGACCTCCTCCAGCTGTCTTTGCGCCTCCTCGAGAGAGCGGGACTTGGCCTCCATCTCCTGTTTGAGCTCCTGCTTCTCCCTTTGTGTCTTCAGAATATACTCCTCCTGCTCCTCCTGCAGACTCATCAGCGCCTTCATCTTCTCCTCTTCCTCAGCCAGAAGTCTGCAGCAGTCAATGTGGCACATCTTTAACCAGGGGTTGTCTTTTCTTAATTGTATAGTCCTGGTTATAGTATGTTTTTTATTCATTTATTTATTGACCTTTATTTAACCAGGAATGTCCCACTGAAATTTCAGAATTTTTTTTTTTTTCAGGAAGTCCTGGTTATCTTTTTCAAAATGTATTCTATTTCCTTGCAAAGAAATAGAAGACAAAAATACAACTGTACTATGGTCAGTTCAAAGTACATTTTAGTCCTTGTTGACATGATTTGATGAATCTGAAAAACACCCCCAGTGTGCTTAAGGGGGCTGAACTTTCCCTCAGTGCACTTTAATATAGTCAGAATAGCTGTAGTAGTTAGCCTGGCTAACACCAGACTGCATATCACAAGTTTGAAATGATTCGGGCACACACAGCAGCCTGGGTTTTCCCATACAATGTAGTAGTAGGATGTGGTTGGACATAACTCAAAATACTAATCATACATTTGTGTAGATGTGTAGTAATGAGAGCGGGAACAAATCAATGTGGATATGATTGGGAAACTGGTGTGTAAGGGTATGACAGTATTCGAACTTCCTCTGTTAGAGTTTAACTTCCTGAGGAACATAATGCAAGATGAGCTGTTTTTAGTGACTACTGTACATGCGCTGTTGCTGCGCATACAGACAAGTCCTCTTTTTACAGCAAACACAAGCATCTTACACATATCAAGAGTGTCGACTGTTCAGGCACTGGAGAATGCTATACAGGGATATCATAGCAAAAACTTTCCACTACCATTGAAAATATGATCAGTATCCTCTCAATGTTAAATATTGGCAGCATTGTTTCTGTCAATCCACCCCAGGGCATCTGTGGCTGCAATAGTAGCATACCACCAATGTGTATGGTATGACAGAATAATGCCCTGCCTTATTAATTACTCTATGGCTTTTGCCAGAAGATGTACTGTATTATTAGGTTTTTCTTGTACTCAACTCACTCCAAATAATTCCAAACCATAATACAAAAAAATGGACAACTGAAAACCCATAACAAGGAAAAGCCAATAAGTTTGGTGCATAATGGAGTGAAAGTGGGGTGCCACACAGACACACAACAGTTGCAGTGTGCTCTCTTGACAATGGGCCTCATTAATGGTCTCCAACCAACAATATTAGAATGCCCAAAACTATCCGCTGTCCAACTGAACCTCAAAGTGTGGATAAACAGTCAATTCGTCAATTCCCTCAGCACAGAGAAGGTGTGTAGCTGGAGAGTGTTTTTAGCCTGTGTCTTGTCTGTCTGAGTGAGTGTGGGTGTGTATGCGCCATGTGTTGTGTTGTATGAGTGAGAGGGGGTGTCGTCCAACCAAACTGTGTGTTGCAGTTTATATTTTTGTATCCTGTTTATTGTTTTTTGTCTTTTGCCAAAATAAACCCTACAACCATGTCATGAGCTTTTTATTTTTCAGAGGGATAAGATAAAACTGTATTAATCTCAAAATGGAGAAATGTACATAATTTATAAGGCTATAAAAATGTTGTATTTGTTTGTTTGTATCACCTATAGGAAATATAGCTTCTTTACAAAAGTCTGGCTTGTTTACACTGCAATTACATCTGTTCAGTTGATTATTTTGCTCAGTCCAAATAATCCAATAGACAGTTAAACTTAGTGTAATTAATAGTACTGTAGTGACCCAGCAGGTTATTGGGTTTGGCAGGTGCATTTCTATTGACACTACACTATTGCAACAAATCCTTGAACAAGTAACTGTTGCTTCATATTCATAGACACCCGGCCCGTACCCGGCCTGTGCGTAGCGGAAAGCCTCCTCATCGAGTCGAGCTTTGATCTCCTGCTGTAGCGCCTCCTCCAGCCGCTTCTGCATCTCCTCCAGCTCCTGTATTCTCCTTTTCTGCCGCTCGGCCTCCTCCTCCTTTAGAGCCATCTCTGCCTGCATGCTCACGCGTGCCTAATGTCACACAAACTTTCTGTTATGTCCATCTGATACATGAATAAGGCAATTATGAAGAGTGTTTAAGCAGTCTTCACCTCCTCCGCCTCCTTCAACTGCACCTCTAGAGCTCTCTGCAGTTGCTCATGTTGCTGCCTCCTCCTCAGCTCTTCCTCCTGCTGGAGGTCCTGAGCCTGTTTCTGCGCCTCCTTCAGACTCTCCAGTTCTGCTAGCTTCTTTTCGCGCTCCTCCTGCAGTGCCCTGAGCCTCAGCAGCTCCTCCTCTTTGGACTGCCTCCTCTGCTCCCGCAGCTCCCGCTGGTCACGACGCTTCTGCTTCAGGTCTTTGTGCAAGGACTTCTTCCCCTCCACGTGTAATCGAATGGCTGTCTGTATAGCTGCAGACACAACTTTGAATCTTTATAGGCTCTATCATTAGTTACTGTAAATAGACTTTCAGATGAGATCCAGACCCACCCACTCAGACATGGTTTGGCCAGTGATGGAAAACTTCTGATTAGTATTGACAAGTTCAAATGTGTAGGAAATATGCTCTCTTATTGAGATACCCGCCCATTGAAGCTAGCGCTAACGTGAATGCTACTTAATTGATTAAACATATACAGATGGAACAATTCAATCAACCATATTGAAAAAAACATGGTTATTCGTTATTGCTAATTTGCTATCAAACTGTATTATAGGTATGTACCTGACAATGAAAAAAATAAATCATTTATGGTATATTACCTGTGGTCCACTCCTGTCTTTGTTTGGTGTCCGAGGCACTCATCTCGTAGGTTTTGGTGATAGTTTTAAGACAGAACATACATCTCTTTCCATCCCGGTCGGGTAGCACCTGAGTAAGAAACAATAGCATGAACAAAAACTTCAGTAATAAGCATAATATGGTTGTTACTACAACTTTGGCGAAATGTATCAATTGACCACTACCACCAACAATCCATCTCAATTTTTTTTGTAATGTTCATAACTCTAGATTTGTCTTCTGCTTCCAAATGTATAAACACTCATCAAATGAGTCTGCCGAGTTTTGTTCTGAGGCATTAATGGCATTAATTAATTTTTCAAGCTCTTTCAACTCCCCAGCCTAAATAGCAATGCCAATGTTTGTGTTGTGGTAGAGTATCCCCCCGGAAGCGCAGGAGAGAATTTGGACATGGCGCTATCAGCAGTGGTTTGTGTTTATGTGAACAGGGCAGAAAAGGCTGACATGAGTAAGTGCGGGAAATTACACAGGACTTGCTTTTATGTGATTACGGTTGTTGCTTATTATTTTTACTCCACTTTTAGTAGCAATAGGACGCACATTTATTGTCAAAATAGATGAGGTAAATGACTCCCGACAGCCAACAGTTAATGTGTTTAGTAGCTGGTTATTTACCATTAGCTCTGAAACACACCTCATCATTATATCATGTTGTGTCCAGTTAAAACAGTCATTGTTTTTCATTTCCTTTAAAATATAGCCGGTGTATTGTTTGTATTATAATGTAGGACTCCAGGAAAAAAAGATGGCTGCTGATCTACACATTAAACTAAACTTATGTGATTTGCAATAATGATAAAAAGCTAAGTATGCAATAAAAGTGCGACAAAAACATGAATTCAGACTGAAGGGGTTAAAGGCTCCATCAGACCTCCACACAGCAGTTCTCGTCCAGGGCTATGCTGCCTTGACAGTCCTTCCGGTCCTCCCCCGTGTAGTAAGACAAGACACTGGGCCTCAGAGTGAACCAGCGCTCTTTCCAGTTTCTCCTCAGCTGCCCTTTTTTCCACACGTAACCCTGGGAACAAATCAACCATGACTCAAAAACAAAAGCCTCAGCATTCACAAGATCGAGACCTGCCACCATAAGTAATCTAAATACAAATTGTTCAATAAATAAGCAGGAACAATATATTATTATATGATATATGCATCATCTGGATTGTTCTTCAATTGTCTGGAGATATTTCAGATTCAGATTCAGATCAGATTCAGATTCATTTATTTGCCATTTTCAGTAAAACCACATTGGAAAACATTTGCAAAAGTCCCCAGTGTGCACAAGACAAGTACAAGAAAAAATTGACGCTGTGAAATTGATCGACAATAACAGTTTCAATACAAGTGCAAGATCATTAAAGTGTTCTGTTTAAACTGATGACAGTTTGTAGAAAGAAGCTTTTAGCATATCGAGATGTCCTGCATCTCAGCGAACAATAACTTCTGCCAGAGAGAAGAAGCTGGAACATAAATAAAAATGAGACTCACTGCTTCTCCACAGCAAGGCTGCCAACCAAAAAAGTGGATCAATAAATAAATAAATAAATGAAAAGTAAATGAAGAAATACAAAATAAATAAAAACCGCAAGGACTTGTATGTGTTTGTGTTCTATGTATTTTATTATTATTATTATTGTTATTATTTTTATTATTATTATTTTGCTGTTTATTTTATGTTTATTTTATTTTCATTTTTGTCTTGCCTGTTGTTATACATCTGTTGGCGGGCTTGTGTATTTTGTTTTGAAGTTGCCTGGTAAGTGGGTTTTGTCATTGTGTTATGTTGTGTTGTGTGTTTTGTATGTACGTTTGAGTGTCTGAAATAAAAATAATAATAATAAAAAAAGAAGCTGGAACAGGAGGCCATTTTCCAGGATGGCCAGAAGTCATTGATTATTCTAAGAGCTCGGTTTAAGAGTTTGGATTTATAAAGAACCTCCAGAAAAGGCAGCTCACAGTCCTCTTTGCAGAGCGGAGCACCTTGTTTACAGCTCTTCTTTGGCTGTGTTATTACCAAACCAACAGTCACAGAACCAAAAAGCAAACTTTCAATGGTGCAGCGATAAAAGTTAAGCAGAATCTTACAGTTAGTGGTAAATTCTCTAAGTTTTCTCTAAGAAAATGTTTGTTTCTTAGGGGAAAAAGTGAATTTATTTGTAAATTTCTCCAGTGTGAGATCAATAAAGTCTATCTTATCTTATCTTATCCATGACAAATTATTTCTGGGCCAGAAATCCAGGTGCTGCATAAAACTGTGGCCTAACAACACCATCTGGATCCCTACCTCCTTCAGAACATCGCCGACAATCTCCCGGTACACTTCCTCAATGGCCATGCTGACGATGGCTTTGTCCACTCCTCGCGTGATCTTCCCTGAGTTCATCAGCTCAAGAAACACCCACACTGTGATGCCGCTCAGCTGCACTGCCTCTTGGGAGAAAAAGTCGTCCAGGTCGACGCAGTTGAACTCGATGCTCATGGATGCACAGATTTTCTTGAGGAGGTACTCAACCTAGGACAGAAATAATAAGACATTTGTTAAACAGCGAAGACGGCAAAATCTTCATGGCAATAATCAGAGGATAATCCATTATAGTTGTGCTAAAACATGGTTAAAAGTGCATGTGTTATTTTTGAGTAGATGTTTTGAAGTAATTGTTGGTTGTGATTACATAATATATGTTTTAATATTGTGTTTATCAAGTCATTGTACAGGCATGCTCAAAACATCTGAATATTGTGAAAAGGTTAACATAGTGAAAATTAATTTAATGAATTAATGAATCAAATAATAAAAAATAAAAAGGTGATTACAATGTATTAACTTATTCACAATATTCTTATGAGCATGTTTAAACATTAAACAGCACAACTTCCTAAACATTTATGACACACACTGTGAATTTATCTTTGTTCAATTAACAAAAAAACATTTAAATAATAATATTAACTTGCTCTCACAAACTGCTCTATGATTTTTTTTAGAACACCTGTAACATTGCAGATAGATGGAGAATAAATTCAGCTAACAAACTGAGAACACTTCAAAGCTCACATCAACCTTCCATCCAAAGTAGCAGTTCCCCAAAAGGATGTTTACATGTAATACAATATTGTGTACATTTGTGTAACTATTGGCCAGCATAACCACTGGTTATGTTTTTTTTATTTGAAACCCCTGGTTATGGTGGCCAAAATAAAACAAGATATAAACTACAAGACAACTACTACATGACGACCCTGTACCTGTAAGTAGTTGGAAGGAACTGTAAGAAGAAGAAAAAAAAAAAACTCTCAACAGGAAACCAAAATGAGTGTTTGTGAGGAAGAATCAAGCCCACAGCTCTGCATGAAAAGAGCACAGTGTTCCACAACAGCATGAAACCGTATCAATGCTTACTACAGATCCAGCCCCATTTTTATGGGACTTTGCAATTAAAATGTCGTGCAAAATGAGCAGAGATTCAAATAATCTAGTTTGAGAAAATGGTTCAGCAGAGACGTGGACGTTAGTGCTGAACGTGGATGTCATGATAAGACTTTTTGTGCCACTATTCAATATATAAACAAAGATCTTCTTTTATCATAATGATAGAAAAGTTTATGGACTTTGAGAAATGTTGCATGATTAAAGATAATTGAATTGAACATAATTTCCACAAATATCAAAATATCCTGTGTAAATCTTTGACTGGAGACAGACTCCTGCTTTTAGAACATAAGTCAGTGATCAGTAAAGATAATAAACCTTACTGTATATTAAAAAGATCAAATAAAAATTTAGATTAAAAATTTGTTTTTGAAATGTAGGAATTCTTCTAGGCTCTAAAAGTAATCAATGGGTCAATGCTCCATGGACAGAGAAGGCTTTCACTTATGCATACACCCAAGTATAAGTACTCGTCTGTACCTCATCTGCCACCATCACCAGAGGGTATTTGTCCTCGGACAGAAAGTTGAAGAGGCACCAGAGTCTAAAGGCATCCGTCTCCGGTAACACTGTGCCACTGCTTCGGTCCGGCTGATAGTTCTTCTTTGCCGTCAGAGTCCAACAGAGCTCATCCACATTTTCCTTCTCAAATGTACCTTCGACAACCTAAAATAGAGAGAAAATTCCATCAAAGATTATTTGAGTCAGTTTTGACAAAGGGCAAAAAAGGGTTCTCTTGGTGGGGGTCAAGACAGCTAGAAAGAGCCACAAGGTGTAGGACCCTCACTCACTGTCTTTCAGTGGATTACGATAATTTTTTATATTGCCTGTAACCGTGTAACTGTACACAGTAGTAAGAAGAGTGCCATTAACAGTACTGAACACGCTAAAGGCAATATTTCTTTAGTTTTTTTTTATTTGCGTTGTGCAGATTTTATTTGGGTGGATCTGTGTGTGTGTGTGTGTGTGTTAAAAAGTACATTTGTTGATAATAATAATTATTCTCCATCAATTTAAGTTAGTGTATCATTGTCAGTGTAAACAAGATAAACAAGAACACACAAAGCAGCACAAGTACAAACACTTCTAATCTCTATCCATGGTTTTCACTACATCTATTATGTTTTAATAACATAAAGATAATAGTGTTATGATAACAATATAATGAATTAAAATGCTCCTTTCCGCACCTTGTCCAGGATGTATTTGTTGAGGTAAGGCATGTAGCCCTGACTGGACACTGGGCCGTCGTCATCATCCCTAAAGTGCTCCTCCAAAGCCACTGGGTCGTGCGGAATGGCCAGCACAGTGCACAGATTATGGGACAACACCTGCAAGATGTGCCAGATAGTCAACGAACATTCAGTATTTTCAGCTGATGAGGTTGATTTTAAGGTCAGTTCTAAAATAAGGCATGTGTCACACAACAGATATGATGAGAAAGACAGTATTTGCTGACTATACTGAAAGCAAACCTTGGAAACAGATGAAATAGTTTAAAATACAGTCAACTTTTTTATTGAGCTAGTCAAGAGGTGTTGATCTTTATTACAGCATTTTAGAAGGAAGTATGCAACATACTGTAGTTGGCACATGCATTTGACACTAGGTTTTCAAAGAAAGAAGACAATTATAGGTGTTTTCGGTTCCATCTGGGGGAAAGAAGGAGGTTCCTAATGTTTGGTATTTTTCTTAGACTGTTTTATTATAGAAAGAAAACGTAAAGTTACAACTATAAGACTTTATGTTGTATAACCCAGAAGAAACACTATTCGATAAGATTTTTGTCGGCTAAATATCACCAGACACGCAGCCTACTCATGTTGTGCCATAACCACATCCTGTCTCTTGTCAACGGTGCACATCTGTCGCTTCTGAAGTGCATGCAAACTACTTCTCAACTTGTTCTTGTTCTGCACCAGGGCAGCATGTGGAAAGTGGATAAGCCTTGTCATGAGGTTAAGCCTGTGAAAAGTGAGGGTGGCTGGTATGAGGTCTAAGCACAATTAAGTAGCAGTGACATAATCATGACTCCCCACACAATACAGTGGCACTATTGAAAACCAGTGACAACAGGCAGCCATCTCTAGCATACGTGTAAGCAGGGCCTGGTCTGGCTGTGTGTAACAATGTCCTTTTAACATGCTGCTGAACACTCTCCGATCAACAGGTTATTGTCTGCTCAGTGCTCACTGTAAGAGTCACAGGAGTCTCAGCACTACAAGCTGGTACACAGGGGCCCATCTGAATGCAACGTTGTGAGGACATGAGGCTGCCCATTCATATCAACACTGAGGACAAACTGTTACTCGCGTGCTCAGGCGAGACAGAGGTGTGTATTGTGTGTTTTCTGCACACAGAATATAGGAAGGAATTTGTTGCTTGTTGTTTTTACACTTTTACATCTAACTTAAATCAAAAGTTCAAGGGACTACAAGTTAAAAAACAGTTAAAGGGGAAAATGAAAGGACATTTCACATTTTACAAGGGATGATACAAATAAGATAAAATATGTTAAAAAGTTTTTACCAACCTTTAGTTGAGATTTGGACACCTTTCCACTCTTCTCCAAGTCTAGAGCGGTGAAGCCATACCAGATGGATTTGAGCAGCTCAGCACGCAGCTCCATGGCACTTGAATTGCGTTCAACTCTACACTGTCACAGTAAGGGCCCTGAATGACAGCCACACGCCCACAACACAATGCAACCACAACACACTGCTGCTGTTGATTGTGATGCTGGAGCGAAAGGTTGCCCAATTTGTAGCAACACCTAGTGGATAAAGAGAAAAATGCACACAATGATATTGCCAATGGTGGTTCTGGAGAAAAGAAGATGGACTTTGGAGACCAAAATCTGGTGCACGCTGGGGTCACAGTTTTCCAATGTGGTTTTGCAGCAAATAAATTCATGAATTCAAGCCTTGATTGCTTAGAGTTGAGGGATTTTCTTGTCTTGAGATTACTAAAATGATATTTTGAAGCACTCACCTTTTCTGACATTATAAAAGCAATATTTAAAAAGGAATTTAGATATATTCTTGGTCAAATCCTATTATTTTGTGTAACTGGTGTTGTGAGATGACAGTGACTCAGTTGGTAGAGCCTGAAGATTGTGGGTTCGAACCTACCACAAGGCCTTCTCCATTGACTCCCACTGATGTCTGCTGTCGATGAGTCCTTGGGCAAGAAGCCCCTACTGAGAGATCAAGGCTGTGCTCTCACTGACAAAGCAGCCAAACCTCCTGTGGACTCACCACCTGCAGGACAGGAGGATCAGTGAGGGGCTGGTGCTCTGTGTACTAGGTGCAGGTCCCCCCCCCCCCCCCATGGATGGATGGTGTTGTGAGACAACCACCTGTCCAGAGACTACAGTTCATATCGTCTCAGATATTGGAGAAAGGAGGAAATCTGAGGCAATCTTGATGAGCACCTGACAAAGATCCATAGTGCTCATCTCTCTTGAACCTTTCAGACATGTTGAGGTTCTTGCTTGTGATACATTGTTACAATTAAAAGGTAATTGCTTCAATTTCAATTTTATATGTTTACACTGTCCCTGCATTACAATGGGTCTGTAACGAATAAAGAACAATGTGTGTATGTATTCAACACATACAATACAAACTTGACTTGGTCATGGAGTTCGTATTTACATTTAACATTCATGTTGTATAGCTAGTTGTAACTGTTTTGTTTCCAAACGTACTCTTGCTTCAATGCTTACCTCTACAATGACATTCCAAAGCCGAGGCCTTGCCACAGATTCAAGCCATGCTTCAAGCATGATTCCAAACAATTTGTGGGACATCGCAGGACAGTACGGTAAACAATGTATTAATATACGTAAGTGATTAAAACACTATTATACAATTTCTTCTGCAGTTGTCAAAAAATAATAAAACAGCAAATCCTCTGTCACGTGGTACGCTTCTTTTCGCGTGGTTGCCATAGTGCTGTTTACCAAAGTCGGCCTCTGATTGGTTGAGAGCTGCGGATTTGGCCAATTGCAAAGCGCGCTTTTTACAAACTTGTGGAGGTCCAGGAAGTTGACAGCACTGCTGCTTCGCGATCAGTCAGAGGATCTTTAAATGTCCACAAACCTCTCCGTGGTCACAAGGTTTGATAAGAAATACAATACACAACTTACTGCTATATATCAAATGTATTATTGCGTTTAGCTGTGGTATTATGCTTGTGCTAACTTGTTGCATCTATGTTTTGTGTGGCTGCTTTCCTTTTGTTCTGCAAAGATTTCTACGTAGTCTTGCTAGTTTTTATTTTTATTCTTACAATTGACCAGTTCGTTTGAAGGGTACGGAACTATTGCACCTGTGTATGTAACCTATGTGTATGTGTGTGTGTTTGTCGCAATTACATGATAGCGTTGAATTGTTTGTAAACATTGCAGCTAATGTGGTATTCGCTTCTTACGGCTTCACATTAACAGCTCTGTCCTCCTGTTGTGAAATATGGACCACTCATCTGTGCTGAGGCAACAAAGTCAGAACACTATTTTGAGGTGAGTTTATCATTGCAATTATACAACTATAGGAGTGCATTATGAAGAACTGTGCTTAAGTGTTATCATTGTAACAATGTGTGTGTGTTATTTTTCCGTTCAGAACACGTCATGAACAAAACATCAAGGTAACAGATACAAAACCATCAAAAACGTTGCAGCTTAATCAAGAATATCAGGACCCAGGAGCATCAGCTGGACAGCGTGGTCCCCCCCATCCTCGACCGGCTGTGAGCAGACTCCCAGTGCTTGCTAAGTCACTTCCTCTTCAGACTCCAAAGGACTTCACTCAATCCCATTGTAAATGGGAAAATAAAGCCCTATCTGTAAGTATAACATAACATAAGCACAGAATATATTTGAAATCAGATCTACATTTTTTCTACCTGAAATATGTTATATTTTGATTTAAAAAGTAAACTTAAATTTACTAATCTTAAAAAATATTTTTTTCTTTATAGGGTAAGGTGAGATCAAAAAAGCCATGCACCAGGCCAGTGCCATTCAACCTGTCCCACCCAAAGCCCTCTAGAATAGCATCAGAAAACCAACCACCAAATACAAATTCTACCAAGACCAATACCCTGATCAAAAATATCCGTTCCTCTCAATTTAGTGCAACACGTATATATCTAAAACATTCTACAACATTAAAAGCAAATACTAAGTCCACAAATTTAAAAGAAAATGCATCAGAGACACAGAGGAAATCAAGACACATTAACTCTCACAAGACTCCAGCAAGTGTGTCCAAACCTGCGCCATTTGCTTTGAACTCTAAAGAGAACAATGTTGGTGCTGATGAAGCCTGTTCAGAAAACATGAACCTCCTAAGTTTGAAAGATACAGCCAGCATTCCTAAAGGTAAGTTATCTGTACTACTACTACTACCTTTAATTGTGTATCATCAATCTTGTTCTTGATGATAATTTTGATTTGATGCAAATTCTGAAGGTGATAAAGTGGAGGACTTTCAGCATGATCATGCAGCTTTGCTTAGAATTCTCCGCAATGAGGGAGAGTCCTTGGCTATGATCCCACACGGCAAACCAAACCATTTGGTTAGTAATATTTATCTTACTATTAGTGGTTTATTGTCTTCAAAATTTCCATCAGTATTTGAGGGGGGAAAAAGTTACTTTGACTTTGTTGTAGCCCCAGCGTGTATCAATAATGAAGAGTCGTCAAAAACCGGACACCATTCCACATCCAGGTTCAAACATTTATTCACAATCATTTCTTTTGATTTAACCTTTTTAAAGTAAAATGTACAAAGATGTGTGTGAAGAAAGTGTGTATTATTATTTTTACTTTGCTAATGTCTGCAGGGTCTGTAGGGTCTGTAAAATCGGTGCAATTTTCCAGAGACATTGCTGCTATGCAGAGCATCACTAGGGATCAGGGAATCAAGGCTGGGGTTCCTTCAGACAGAGCCCCCTCCATCTACACAGTGTGTACAATCAAGTGGTTGATTTTGTCTATGAAACTCAGTGTAATTGCAGATTTTCTTTTCTACAGCCCATGAGAGTACCAGTTAAAAAAAATGCCTTTGACACAGGACTCACTGGTAAGAAACTTATCTGCATTATCACCAAATAATGATTATGATGGCATAATGTTAACCTCTCTTCACAATGGTTCATCTATGAAAACAGTGCAATTTTCCCGAGACTGTGCTGCTATGCAGAGCATCACTAAGGATGAGGGAGTCAAGGCTGGAGTTCCTTTAGACAGACCCCCCTCTATCTATACAGTATGTATCGTGCTGTACTTATTGTGTCTATGAAACCCAGTGTAATTTCTGATTCTTCTATAGCCCATGAGAGTACCAGTTAAAAAGAGTGGCACTGACACGGGCCCAAGACTCACTGGTAAGAAATGTGACCAATAATTATTAAGAATGCCTTTATTCGTCCCACAGTGGAGAAAGTGTTATCACAAGTTACAGAACTAGGCGGCTGCATATATGGAAAAAACACCTAACCCTAAAAAAAAATCTAACAAAAGGTTTGTCAGATGTTTTTTTGTAGTATTAGGTGTCCTTAATAACATACTAAAAGTTTACCAAAGTTTGACCACTAGAAAGGTGTAATTTTCAAGATGGCGTCCAAGATGGGCAGGAAGCCCTTAACATATCCTAACTTGTTCATTAGTTTACCTAGCCAAGTAATCTTGGTGTCTAACCCCATGTTTTCTGGGTCTATGAATCTATGGGATTGTCTAAATTGCACTGAGATTATTTCATATTTATGGAATACATGATTTTGTGATATTACTGTAAGGTTTTATCTTTGGGGTGAACCATTCTTGAAGTCCTTAAAGTAATTGATAAACATGCCCCATTTAAAAATATTCGCGTAAAAGGACTGCATCTTCCATGGATTAGCTCTAACTTAAAGCCACCCTGTGTAATTTTTACAGCTGCTCCATATGAAAAACATGTTAACTAATAACAAATGTGACCTTTTTAAGAATATTTATTTCTACTGCTAAGATGAGCTTAGCCATGTCCTGCCGCGGCTGTTTATGTGTCGTGCTTCTCTGATCACCGTAGTTTTAGGCCCTGTCCACACGAAGTCAAGCTCAGGCCTAAACGCAAAAATACTTTATCAATCCAGTGTATCGTCCATACGAGGCCGGCGTTTTGGGGGGGTGTAAACGAACATTTTTGAAAGTAGGTCCCAGAGTGGAAAGATTTCAAAACTCTGTATATGCCGCTCCGTGGTTACTGCCTCTCCGCAATGTATCTGAGACGCTTGCGTCATCGCCCCGCCTCTTGTTATAGCACGCATGCGCCGCACTCAGAAAATAATGACAACAACAATGTAGCTTGTTGGTTTTGTAATCCAGTGTGACCCGAAGCAACAGTTCAACCTCATCGTCCGTCCATACTAATGTAGTACCAGCTCGCCCACTCGCCATGTTGTCTGTTTACAAAATTCCGCGCATGCCCACGGAACTTTGGGCTTGATCCCGTCATTGCGTCACAGCGCCACCAACAGGTCTGGCATAGTTTCACAGCGTTTTCAGGCGTATTGACTACATTCATATGGACGCACACATTTACTGAGCTAACTCCGTGTTTACAGAAAAAGTTTCTGAAATTATAAGCGTTTTGTCTTCGTGTGGATATAGCCTTAGTCAGTTTTCAACGCTTTCACCAAATTGAACAAATTATACATCGTTACGACCGGCTTCACCATGTCATTATTGCTATTACTTTTCACACTTCCACCTTTTGCACGTTTTCAGATATTTACAAAAGTACAAGCACTTTTTCCCATTGACTTACATTGGACCAGTACAATAATTGCCCCACGGACAACGCATTCTTCTTCTTCTATGCAGCCACTCACAATGGTTTCAGCCATTGTACCATTTCTAGTTAATATTTCTTCTCCATAAGTAGTACAAAGCACTCTGGTCATCTACCTAATCCACTAAATGACGTTCCTGAGGCATCATTTTCTTTTAATCAGATTTCACATTTGGATGCAATACAAGCTATAAACAAGCTTAAAACTAACAGTGCGGCTGGTCTAGACGGCTTAGAAGTAATATACCTTTTATTGGGATCCAGTGTGCTTATCTATCCACTAACCGACCTATTTAACCTGTCACTAATTACAGCCGCAGCCGCCCCACTGTGGCACATGGTATTTCCAGAGGTTAAGTGTCTTACCAAGGACACGACAGCAGACAGTGGTGAAAGTCTTGAGGTGGGCTTGAACCCACGATCTTCAGGCTCAAAGACCAATGCTCTACCAACTGAGCTACTGTCTCCCACTATCACAAAAATAATGGAAAATATAATTTTCTGCCAACTGTACAACTATCGTATAACTTTAACATCTTATCTCCCCATCAGTCAAGCTTCCAGTCTGGCTACTACTACTGCACTACTTACATTTACATATGATGTTTTCACTTCCTCTGAAAATAACCAGTACACGGGTGGCATTTTTTTTGGATCTCTCCAAGGTTTTTTATCTAGTAGACCACTATTTACTTTTGGGCAAACTTTACTCAATAGGTCTCAGTAGAAATGCTCTTTTATGGTTTAATGCTTATCTTCACAGTAGACGACAGTTTGTAGTTTTTAATGGTTCTCAATCTGATCTCTCTATCATGGAAAAAGGGGTACCACAGGGCTCAACCCTTGGACCTCATTATTTTCTATCTTCATCAATGACCTACTCGAAGTGCGTAGTCATTGCCAGACCTATCTGCTGATGACACTGTCGTCTGTCAGGTGCAAACTTATCACAACTGCAAATGTATCTACAAGAGGACTTTCATTCAATTCAAAAGTGGCTCAACAAATATGCTAAAACTGAACATGCTCTTTGAATAAGAGGAAATAACTGAAGAAAATAGAAAAAGATTTGTATAAATAAGAAATAAATATATATTTTTTTAAACGCATTATGAAATATATATTATAATAAATTATATGTGTATGTATGTATGTATGTATGTGTGTATATATATATATATATATATATATATATATATATATATATATATATAAATATATATATTATATACCATCACAGAGGCAGACATCCGAGAAAGAGTCTCAGGTATGAAAAACTGGACAGCACCTGGCCCTGATATGGTCCATGCCTACTGGCTAAGGACACTCACATCACTCCATGAGCGCCTAGCAGCACAAATGAACCAGCTGCTGAGAGATGGGACTCACCCAGAATGGCTAACCGAAGGGCGAACGGTCCTGATCATGAAGGACCCTGTCAAGGGTGCAGTCCCCTCCAACTACCGGCCAATAACCTGTCTCTCCACAACATGGAAGCTCATGTCAGGCATCATTGCGGCTAAGATAAGTGGGCATATGGAACAATTCATGTGCACAGCACAGAAGGGCATTGGTAGGGACACCAGAGGAGCCAAACACCAGCTCCTGGTTGACAGAACAGTCGCCCAAGACTGCCGGTCACGACACACCAACCTGTGCACAGCCTGGATTGATTACCAGAAAGCCTACGACTCAATGCCACACACATGGATCATGGAATGCTTGAAGTTGTACAATATCAACAGGGCTCTAAGGGACTTCGTTGCAAACTCGATGGGAATGTGGAAGACCACCCTTGAGGCAAATGGCAAGCCGCTCGCACAAGTGACCATCAAATGTGGTATCTACCAAGGAGATGCTCTGTCCCCACTACTGTTCTGCATAGGCCTCAACCCTCTAAGCCAAGGACTGGCTATGGATACCGCCTCAGGAACGGAGCAAAGATCAGTCACCTCCTCTACATGGATGACATCAAGCTGTACGCCAAGAGCGAGAGAGACATCGACTCTCTGATCCAAACAACCAGGATCTACAGCCATGACATCGGGATGTCATTCGGGCTCGAGAAATGTAGCAGGATGGTGACTCGGAGAGGCAAGGTAGTCCACACAGAAGGGATCTCACTCCCAGAGGGAACAATAGCAGACGTTGAGGACAGTTACAAGTATCTCGGTATACCACAGGCAAATGGCAACCTCGAACAGGTGACGAGGAAAGCGGCAACTGCCAAATACCTCCAGCGAGTAAGGCAGGTCCTAAGAAGCCGGCTCAATGGCAAGAACAAGGCCCGGGCAATTAACAGCTACGCCCTGCCAGTGATCAGATACCCTGCAGGAATAATCAGGTGGCCAAAGGAAGAGATTCAGACCACGGATGTTAAAACTCGAAAGCTCCTTACCATGCATGGCGGGTTCCATCCCAAATCCAGCACTCTGAGACTGTACGTAAGCCGTAAAGAAGGAGGCCGAGGACTAGTGAGTGTGAGAGCCACTGTCCAGGACGAAACATCCAAACTCCATAACTACATCATGGAGAAGGCCAAAACGGATGACGTACTCAGTGAATGTCTCAGGCAGTGGCGAGATGAGGAGGTGCTGGAGGAGAGCCCATCATGGGAGAACAAGCCCCTACACGGCATGTACCACCGGAGCATAACAGAAGTGGCTGATCTCAAGAAGTCCTACCAATGGCTAGAAAGGGCTGGCCTACAGGACAGCACAGAGGCACTCATCATGGCTGCACAGGAACAGGCACTGAGCACCAGAGCGATAGAGGCCCAGATATACCACACCAGACAAGACCCAAGGTGTCGGTTGTGCAAAGAGGCACCTGAGACGATCCAACACATAACTGCAGGGTGCAAGATGCTGGCAGGGAAGGCCTACATGGAACGCCATAACCAAGTGGCTGGCATAGTGTACAGAAACATCTGTGGAGAGTATGGGCTGGAAACCCCAAGGTCTAAGTGGGAAACTCCTCCAAAGGTGGTGGAGAATGAGCGTGCGAAGATCCTGTGGGACTTCCAGATACAGACCGACCGAATGGTAATGGCAAACCAACCTGACATTGTGGTGGTAGACAAAGGGCAGAGGACAGCCGTGGTGGTGGACGTGGCAATTCCAAGCGATGGTAACATCCGGAAAAAAGAACATGAAAAGCTTGAGAAATACCAAGGTCTCAGAGAGGAGCTGGAGAGGGCCTGGAGGGTAAAGGTGACAGTAGTGCCCGTGGTGATCGGTGCACTCGGGGCAGTGACCCCGAAGCTAGAAGAGTGGTTACAGCGGATCCCTGGAACAACCTCGGACATCTCGGCCCAGAAATGTGCAGTGCTAGGAACAGCAAAGATACTGCGCAGAACCCTCAAGCTCCCTGGCCTCTGGTAGAGGACCCGAGCTTAGAGAGGGATAACCGCCCGCGGAGGGCCAAAGGTGAGTGGACAATTTTTTTTTTTTTATAAACACAACACACAAGGGGTTAGCGGTACTGAGCCTTCACGCCGCAGCCCTGTTATGACTAATTTTACAGTACTACACAGTTGAATTTATTCTTTATTGGAATCAAAAAAATGGTTATGAACCACAGAAACCACCAACACTCGGAAAAACAATATGATAAAAGAGAAATATGGGATTAGTTAAGGGAAATTGTACTTCTTTTTCTCATACATATTATATCCAATTGCTTTAATATATAATTGTACTTGTAATCACTTATTTTTTGTGCAAATATACTAATTAGAATATTATATGACCAAAACTGATATCACACACCAATATTCCTGGTCTAGGAGAAATACAAAGGAGTAACGGTCATTTTAAGGACACGATGGCCGCCATTTTGAAAATGGGGCCTTTCTTGGAGTCAAACTTTGGTAAACTTTTAATGTTTTTAAGTACATCTGATACTACTGTAAACCACTGATAAACCTATATTTGCAGCTGACTAAACTGTAGGAATGAGGAGCACACAACACAATACATTAAGTAAAGCACAGGTGTATCCTCTAGTGCAAGAAATATATCTGTAACACACTGTAGTGCAAGAATATTAAGGCATTAAGTCATTAGCTTAGGGTTCTAATATTCACAGTATGAATGTTAGTAGTAATGTGGACTTCTCTCTACAAAGGTTCATCTACGAAAACAGTACAGTTTTCCCCAGATGTTGCAGCTCTTCAGAGTATCTTACAGAATGAAGGAGTGAAGACCATGGCTCCTGATGGAGCTTCTCAAAGAAACTCTGTATGTCCGACAGGCAGAGGCACATCAATATATATGGTATCTGTTCTAGGGATTTGTCTGTGCCTGGTTTATTTTATACTCATGTTTCACTTTTTATTAATGCTCCAATCCAGGCTCAGAGAGTGCCTATTAGGAAAAATCTTGCTGATCCAAGTACAGGACTCATGGGTAAAATACACATTTGTTATGATTCTTTAAAAGCCTGATAATGGCACAACTTTTTGTTATTTTTTATTTGCATTGTTTTAATTTGTGTTCAGGCCCCACACTGACTCCTGGACAGAAATGGGCCGCACAGAGAGTCACCAGGCCCAAACCCATGTCCGTGATGGTGAGCACTCACACGTGAATTTATTCAGTCATTGATAGAACTGGAAGGTGGTACTTAATATTTGTTTGTATTACAGAGGTGGCAAACCTTATCACAGCAGTCACCATATGGCTCCACTCTTGGATTCAGGAACTATAAGGAAAACATTTGCACTAACAAGGAGGTACAAACACAGCAAGACTAATTCTGTAAAATAAAACAACTGTACTGTTTACATTCATAATTTCACTTAATTATTTATGGCACAGTTTACATGTTTTGCAACTTTTTGCAGGAGGTTGTCCAGAAATTATTTGTTGAAGACGAACAGACTCCTGATGAAGAAGCGGTGACTGAGTTGTTTCAAGACCACACAACTGTAGGTCTAATGTGTACTATTCGAGGCAGTCTCTGAGAAAGGAAATTGTATATTTTTAAATTAAGGAGTTGACAGAAAGGAGCTTTCATCATATTTACAGTATTTAACAGACATCCAACTGAAACCCTTTATATTATTCCTTGAATCACACCAGGCAATTATATATATATATGAAGTTTATGTACTTTCAGCACAAACAAGAAACGCAGAGTCCTGTTAGAGATGAGGAAGCAGAAGATGATTTGATGAAGGAGGACGATCGGGCGGTGGGACCGTTTGTTCAAGCTCTACAACGAGAATCTGTCATTTTCTTTTCTACGGGGAAAAAACTGTTTAGAGATCACCATTTTAAGAAAACAGAAAAAAAAGAAAAAGAGCCTTGGCTTGAGGAGGTGCCTGTGCTTCATCAAAAATGCCTGACCAGCGCTCTTGGCCAAAGTGTTACCAAAGGTAAACTTTGCTCTATAAATAAACAGTAAATTATTATTAAAGATGCGCCAATCATTCATCGATACATGTTATCTACTTTTTGGCCACGTGAAACAAATGTATCAATCATATGACACATTAGACTTTAAAACTTAAAACTATTTTAAGTATTTTGTTTTTAATTTATCTTCAACTTTTTTATGTCAATCAACAGGCGACTGATCAGAGCAACTTTAGTGAATGATATCCTTGATGTGTTGCTTTAGCTGTATTTTTTTGTGGTTGCAGATCAGACTCAAAAAACAAATGTGATGAATCCAGCTCGGCCAACGCAGCAAAAGCCGTTACCTCCTTTAGAAGAGCTGAGGCTGGATGAAGAGGTCGCCACTTACACCTCCACGTTTGTCCCATCCATGCCCAGGTTTCACGCCCCACAGCCGCGCTGTGGAAACCCTCTGGCCACACTGCTGCACTTTGAAGAAGCCACTGTACGTTTATTTACAGCCACACATCAGTTTGTGCTTACTTTTCTATTCAATGTTTCATACTAAATAGCTTTTTTTCTGAGCTTTCTGAAATTACGCGAATGATTTTCACAGAATTAGAATGTGTAATTATTACTTTTTATCCAAGGTCTCTACAAAAACTAATCCCATATGATTAAGGATATAATCTAGAACAAATTGTACTTAAAATTAAGCACCATAGAATTGTTTGTAAATCTGATTACCCCTTTGATAACAAGATGGTACATTTAATAAATGCGAAACTATAACTATAATCACTAAATTGTTTTTCAAAAATCTAAATGCTATTTGTTTTTTTTTTTCAGAAATTTGTACCCATCAGTCTGGACATGTCGCCCGTCTCTCCTCTTGAACGATGATGGCAGTACAAGTATATTGTATGTTCTGGTATCCTCCTGATATGTACAGAAAAGGGTAAATGGACCATTTCACTGGACATCAAAACTTAACCACCAGTAAGGCTTTTAATCCCGCATGCAAGAATACAGCAAAAAAAGTGCATAAAAAAAAATGTCACTATTATTGTGTTCCCGTTGCATTTCATGCCTCTCCTCAAACCACCTGCTTGTCTCTTAATATTAAACTGATCCATGTATTCTCATCTTCATGTTTCATTTTACTCATGCTGCTTTTTACGTCACAAAACAGTTGAGTGCATTTAGTGAAGTTGACACCATGGACAACAACATTGTGATGCTAATTTCACAATTCGCAAAGACTAATCCAGATGTAAAAAAAACATAAAGGGATATCAAATGAATGTTGTTACTGAAGTGTATAATAAATGTTTATATTAAAATGATACATGTTTATTTGGATTCTGTCCCAAGTGTTAAAACATTTAAGCCACTTTCCACTGTGAAATTATGTTGACATTTATAAAAAATAAAATGATTCCCACAGGGTGAAGATACAAATGTCTTTGATTGAATATTGCAGGTCTTACATTGTTCAATTTTCTTCCAAATAGCCTGAAGTTGCAATGAAAAGCCCAAAGTAGTATTATCCATGAATGCTGCATTTTCATCTAACTATTTTCCCACAAATCTTTAATGACATTTTGTTTGATATTGTTCCGATGTTTTGTCGTGTATTCATGGATGGTTTGTAAAGTATATAATGTGCCCCAATAGGCACAGACAAGGTCATGTTCTAATATACTTATCAGAGGTTTTCTGGTGCTGCATTGTGGCTGGTTCCCTGCTTGTGTCTGCTGCAGGTGTCTGTTCTGCTCTCTGTATATTTGGTGTGGTGGAGGATCAAGGGGAGGGGGCAGCTGTCTATAAAGCCTTGTGCCTTCACTGCTCCCTCGGCTGAGAACAAGGAGTTGTCAGGACCAGTTCCTGCATTGTCTTTTCCACCACTGAAGACATGTCCTCTACCACTACCACACTCCCCATGGACCCCACCAAAATGGGCCTAGGTCGATCAATCGCTGTGCTGACTTCGGGAGGGGATGCACAAGGTAAGCAAACTTGCATATTTTTTTCATAAACAGATTAAAGATTTACATTAGCCGTATTGGCAGTTTATCACAAATATGAATACAACATATATAAACTGTAAACAAGACACATACTATTAAGTGTTTCTTTTTGCTTGTCCATTGCACACCTGAGTCTAGTTACCTATTAAAGGCCCTGCTGTGTTGCCATGTCCAAATCTTTACAATGAAAATGAAAATAAAAATTGTAAACAACTACTATACTTCTTTGTCATGAGTGATTGTCCCAATCATCTGTGAACCCTTTGTCACTCTTTGAGGCTAATTTTAGAGACTGACCTTTCTCTGGTACGAAAAGGGGAAACGCCCACTTTCTACAGTTGCTGTCTCTGAAATGGGAGCTGTCATGTACAACAGCAGCCTGTGGTCTTAAGTTTGACCTCCAGCATTAAGATCAGACACAAGACGGTTGTGATGTCTATTTTTACAGCTTGTAAACAGATAAGGGCAAAAAAGGTTGTGGTGATATACAACGTTCAGAGCTAATAAGCCAAGGTATAAGACAAGCTTTCAGTTCTATGATTTAATATTTATATGCAATAGATGTGTGCAAAGTTCAAACCTTCCATAGCATATCTGGCAGTTTCTTTATAAATTGGATAATGAAAAGGAAATGCGAGTTTATCATGAGTATAGGATTCAAAATAAGTGGAGGGATATTCACTAGTGTGTGTGCGACTGTTTTGTTTTAGGCATGAACGCTGCAGTGAGGGCCACAGTCAGAGTGGGTCTTTACACAGGAGCTAAAGTCTTCTTTGTACATGAGGTACGATGACACTGACGTTAGTTTTAGTGTTAATAAATAAGTGAATTACATGTTTCGTCCCACAGGGTTACCAAGGCCTGGTGGACGGTGGGGACAATATCAAGCTGGCAACATGGGAGAGTGTGTCAATGATGCTCCAGCTGGTGAATGCAACCAATCGGGCTCCATTTCATGCATCATTTAGAATATTTTGTTTTAAATCAATCTCAAGAGAGCCATGTGACATTTGATTTAATTTAAGTTTATGTTTAAAATATGTTTCCCCAAATCCACTTCATTTAACAGGACAGACAAAAATGTGAGTTAGGTATTCTTCATAAGACAAATATGAAATTAAAGTTCATGTTGATATGGATATGGTTCGAATGTTGGTTGTGCCCCTTGACGGCAGTCATCCGCCATTTGATGACCATTTTCATATTGTCATCTCGGATATGAAAAGCATTTTGGCAGTGCAGATGATCTGACACATGCCCAGGACACTATAACTGTTTGGATATTATTTCAAACTAATGTCCTTCTCCATTATAACTGCTGTTTAAAAGCTGCATAATATGACAACTGATTTAACACTTTAAGTACCTAACTTTTCAAACCACAATGAACTAATCTTGTAATAAAATAAAATGGAACTCTCAACTGTTTTACAGGCATGCATTTTTGGCCTTTGTTACATCTTTAGATCATCCTTCTTAGTATATGCTCAGTATGCAAAAGATGTTTTAATATAGAGAATAAGGCGTGTTTGTGGTCTGATTTTGTTCAAGAAATGTTTACGTTTACAAGACTTTCTGTTGTGACAAACTATTATTTATGTATCCCTGGTTGAAGCTCTCATCATAGATGGACAATGTATCTTGATTGAAATTTTATTTTTTATTTTATAAAACTATATAGGGTGGAACAGTGATTGGCAGTGCTCGGTGTAAAGATTTTCGCAGCAGAGAGGGACGCATGACCGCAGCATGTAATCTGGTGAAACTGGGCATCACTAACTTGTGTGTAATTGGAGGAGATGGCAGTTTGACTGGCGCCAATGAGTTTAGGACTGAGTGGAGTGGCCTGCTGAAAGACTTGGTCAAAGCTGGTAAGAAAAATGGTAATTAAATCAATGAAGCAAAGTTATCTTTTTTATAATGTATATTATTTGTGCAGGTAAGATCACAGATACAGAGGCCAAAAGATCATCCCACCTGAACATAGTGGGGATGGTAGGCTCCATTGATAATGACTTCTGTGGCACGGACATGACTATTGGCACCGACTCAGCCCTGCACCGAATTATTGAAGTGGTGGACGCCATCACTACCACAGCACAGAGGTCAGATGATGTGCTTAAGTGTGATTAGGTGATTTTACAAATTAACAGAAGTGGCAACTATTTTATCATGCGATCAGTACTTTACTTGACTACTAATTTCTGTGTACCTCTTACTTATTTATTTAAAAGATAATATATGAACACATTTATTCTATCTGCAGCCATCAGAGGACATTTATTCTTGAAGTTATGGGAAGACATTGTGGGTAATTGTTTTTATCCATGGTTTTATTGTTTCTAAATTTATACTTTATATAGTGCTGTCGCAAAAGTAACTGTCTGTTATAGATACTTGGCCCTGGTCACAGCTCTGGCTTGTGGTGCAGACTGGGTTTTTATCCCTGAAATGCCTCCAGATGAGGGCTGGGAAGACCATCTCTGCCGGAGACTGACAGATGTAAGTTTCAAATGTATTCAATGTGTATTCTAGAAAACCGTAACAGTAATTGTATTTAGCAAAGATCCAGAGGATCCCGTCTGAACGTCATCATTATGGCAGAAGGGGCCATCACTCGGGAAGGTAAACCAATCACTTCTGATCAGATCAAAAAGGTAAGCTGTGTCATTTGAGTTAGTCCAATTAATCTAAAGATATTAATTTGTGTTTGTGTTTTAGCTTGTGACAGACAGGCTAGGCTTTGACACTCGTACCACAATACTGGGACATGTGCAGAGAGGCGGCACACCATCTGCATTTGACCGAATTCTTGTTCGTAATTACATATGCTTCAAAAACTGCAAATATTCAAGCTATTCCTCAAAATCAAGTGTGACTGTATTGTTGTGTGTCTTCAGGGCAGTAGGATGGGTGTGGAGGCGGTAATGGCTCTGCTGGAGGCCACTCCTGACACTCCGGCTTGTGTGGTCAGTTTGTCGGGTAATCAGGCTGTCAGATTACCCCTAATGGAGTGTGTGCAAGTGGTACATGTGGCTTAATACTTCGTCTTGCTTAATACATCATTATTTTTAATAATAACAACAACAAAACTATGTTTTGCTTTTAATTTGAAGACAAAAGATGTAACTGCAGCAATGGCTGAAGGAAGATTTGAGGATGCCATCAAACTTAGGGGAAAGTAAGTATTTTATTTATTTATTTATTAAAGGGACAGTGCATATTAAAATACATTATGCATGTAAATAAGCCAGAATTAGCCAAAAGGCTATTTTTCATCTGTAGTCCCTGGACAGTTGTTAAGTGTCTTTTAGGAGTTTTCAGTTGAACTGTAATTGATCATGTTAACTGAACCAGAAATTTACTAGTTGTGGAGGTTTTTCACACTTCTGTCTTTTGCACAAATCTTGAGTGATTCTATCCATGCCAAATGTGACATGTACATTTCTCCTGTGTGAGATCAATAAAGTCTCTTATCTTACCTTATTCCCTATTATGAGAAGATAAATCCAAATATGCCACTGTATAAACACAGTAAACAATGAACCGCATTGACTTCCATTCACTTTCCAGGAGTTTTGTGAATAACTGGAACACGTACAAGCTCCTGGCTCACATAAATCCTCCAGATGTGAAGGTGCAAAAACCACTTTAATTAATCTATTAGAATAGAATATATGTGTTTTATTTGACCAAACCATTCTCTTACCATACAGAGCAATATCAATGTGGCCATTCTGAATATTGGGGCTCCCTGTGCCGGGATGAATGCTGCGGTGCGTGCAGCGGTCAGGATGGGAATAATCCAGGGACACAGTATGCTGGCTGTTCATGATGGCTTTGATGGGCTAGCTCAAGGCCAGGTACTGATCTCTGTAGTAAAATAAGACTCAACTTTTGCATTTCATTTATTAATCTATAGCAATAATGGATGTAAAATTAAGTTCACTAATGTTTTGGCTAATAAGAGATGTCTAATAATAACAAGGAAATTGTGGGCCTTTTTGTGTTGTAAGATTGAGCCCATTGGGTGGACTGGAGTGACTGGGTGGACGGGAAAAGGAGGATCAATGTTGGGTACCAAAAGGTAAAACAAAAAAGCGTAAAATTGTAATATTAGCAATATTAATAATCATGATTGTTTGCTTTGTTTTACAGGACTCTCCCAGGAAAACAACTCAATGAAATTAGTCAGAATATAGCAAAATTCAACATCCATGCTCTAGTAATCATTGGAGGCTTCGAGGTCATTCTACTTCTTATGCTTTCATCACACATTTCATGTATCTGCTATCACATATTGACAAAGAAAATCCCCTTTTATCTCTTGATAATATGGCAATAATTCAGCATTCTGGCAGACACCTTTTCTTTTGTGTAGTAACGCATTTCCCTTTGTTCATATTAGATTAATCGTGAATGTTGTTTCTCCCCATGTCTGTGCATAGTTTGATATCTAAAAGTGAATTTCCCCGGCAGGCTTACGTTGGAGGTCTGGAACTGGTTCAGGCCAGAGAGCGATATGAGGAGTTGTGCATTCCCATGGTGGTGATTCCTGCCACTGTCTCCAACAATGTCCCAGGATCTGATTTCAGTATTGGTGCAGACACAGCCCTCAACACAATCACATCAGTAGGAAATATATTATTACCTCCATAAATCCGTCTCTATGAACTCATTATCTTATCCCTTTCTCCAGACGTGTGACAGGATAAAGCAGTCTGCAGCCGGGACCAAACGTCGAGTGTTTATTGTGGAGACTATGGGAGGTTACTGTGGATACTTGGCCACAATGGCGGGTCTTGCAGCTGGGGCTGATGCTGCTTACATATATGAAGAGAAATTCAGTATTAAAGACCTTGAGGTGAGTGTAATTTTAAGAAATATTGTACTATGGATCATTTGTATTATTTATTTTTTTCAAATTTATAGATGAATGTGATTCATCTTATTGAGAAGATGAAAACCACTGTTAAGAGAGGATTGATTCTACGGTTAGTCTTGAATTGCTTTAATCCATTTTACTTGTGTCCAAATTATTTACATATTATGTGTTAAATATTAGCTCCATTTAGAACAGTTCTATATGGTCAAGGTTCTACCCAACACTAGTAATAAAATATATACAAATAAAACATAAAATGTCAGTTGACAAACTGTCTACCTACTGTGTTCCAACCTTTTTCCTATAAAAGCCTTTTTTGCGTTTTATATATTTATTTTTGTTCCTTTTACAGAAATGAAAATTGCAACTCCAACTACACCACTGACTTTATTTTCAACCTATATTCAGAAGAGGGAAAAGGCACTTTTGACTGCCGTAAAAATGTCCTAGGACATATGCAACAGGTTTGTTGAATATAATGTTTTGTTTTCATTATTGAAATGTGTGAGTGGACTTGGCCATCTCCTGTAGGGTGGTACTCCAACCCCGTTTGACAGAAACTTTGGGACAAAAATGGGGGCCAAGACCGTCCTGTGGCTAACTGATAAACTGAAGGAGTGCTACAGACACGGTATACTTCCCTTACTTGTTTTACTTTATACATTTCAGATTGGCATCCAAATGATTTGGATGCCAATATGACAAAATGATTTCTGTTAATGCTTTGCTTAGGTCGAATCTTTGCCAACACACCCGATTCTGTGTGTGTACTTGGGATGAAGAAAAGGGCACTGACCTTTCAGCCACTTTCTGAACTTAAAGCAGACACAGATTTTGAGTATGATTGTTTTATTATTTTTTTGGTGCCAATATTTTGTTACTTTAAAACATTTTTTTTACTCATCGTGTTTTCTTTTTAAAGGCACCGCATTCCTAAGGCACAGTGGTGGCTTAAGATAAGGCCTATAATGAAGATCCTTGCTAAGTACGACATAAAGCTGGACACATCTGAACATGCAGACATGGAGCATGTGATCAAGAAGGGAGGGCATCCGTAACTAACCGTGTCTACGTGTCTTCCTTGTTTAATGTCTCCGTTATCAAGTGTCAATACTCATTAAATTCTAACTCGTGGTCAACAGTGCCTCATTGATTTATCTTTTAAATCTTCTTGTCCTTTTGGTCTTGAATCACCACAATCGTATTATCTGGATCATGTCGACTGTTCAAACAAGCTTTACGGGATTTATCTTTTTAGACAAATGTGTGGGATATGTCTGTAGAGAAGTGGGAAATGATTCGGGATACACCATTCAGTATATGATTAGGGCTTTCTCATTTCAGACAATTACACACGGCTATGCCTTGATGCAGACTGACTTGAAGCAGTCTCGGTACAAATCAATAAAAGAATGGGTGCGAGCCATAATACATCCATGGTGCGAGCCATGTGAGAGCGTGGTGAGAACCCGGAAAAGGAAGTCTTAGTGCAGAGGTCACAGACCGTGGTGGCCGCCGGGAGCAGCGGACTGAAGGAAGGCTGCGTGTCCCCAGTGTCCGCTCCGGTGCCCGGCGAGGAATGAGTCTGCTGACCCCGTTCTGTGTTCCAAACACTGGGAAAAACCTGTAGAGGCTGCGACCACACACGAGCCATGATGCTGCACCGTGTATAGCATTAGAATCGCAGCGGGAAGTTTGATTCCTTGGGTTAGCCACCGTTAGCTGCTGTTGATTCAAAGCGCTAGCCTCTACGGTGCTAGCGCAGGGAGCTATATTCAGTGCGCTACTGGCTAATCCAGTCCAGCGGGAGAAATCCTGCCTGCTCGAACACACCCGGTGTCCAACGGAGGTGGAGGCAACAGGGGCCGGGAGAACAGACGGGGTGGAAGTGAGTCAGGGACGGCCGATGAGTTCAGAGCAGGGCCGAGAGCCGCCGCTGCTGCAGGAGGAGGCTGACCCGGGACCACAGACCGGTGAGAAGGACGCGGCTCCGCTGCGGAGCGAGGCGGGCTCTGGCGGCATGGTGAGTGCGGCCTGCACTGGTGCTAGCATGTTAGCATTGCATGTTCCTCTCGACAGAGGTGATTGTATTCTGCCCCAAAGTTGCACTTAGATTTGCCAATTTAATTCCCCATTGATTTTATAGTGAATTGTGTTCCATAGATCATCTCGTCTAAGTTGTACTGTAACATGAGTTAACGTGCTTTTGGCAAAGTCCTACCCTCTGTATTCACCGGATCAGCACAGTTCCGCTGAAGCCGGTAGCTATGTGTTTGTGGAAGGTCTGCGGATTCTTCAGGTGACATGGGCTAACACTTAGCTTAGCCCATTGAAGCTCATTAAGCAGTTTGCTGAGTAATCATTTACACTCCAGTAAAGTTGACATGTGTGCGTCTTACCACGGGGCGTGTGGTGATGAAGTGCAGTGATTATTAAGACAAATTCGTGACTACTATAGTTCGATTAGTTCAACGAGTAATGTTAGAGGACGAGTTGAGTGGTAGCTAATCGCTCTGGGGGCTAATGCTAACGTATTGCACTGAAATACCTGGCCTTTGCGGCGCAGTCAGCTGACTGGAGTTTAACTTGTATACGGCCTCTCACACTGACATGCATTGTAACTGTAAAGCTGCGCAGCAGCGGCGTTAATGTTCTTTTGGGGACAACATTGAGGCCTAAAGTTTGGGCTCATCCACTCTTGTTAAAGTATAAAAGAAGTGACTTGAGGCACATTTTAGCAGCTGTTCTTGTCAGGCCTGGTGCTTTTCTCAAAGGGGAGGACCTTTTTGGCAGGTGGCAAATTACATGGGGAAGAAAAGTTGCAGCAACAGCTTAATGATTTTAATCGAATTTATGTATCTTTAGTTCCTTTAGGGTGATTGTATTGATATATAACTGAAATTATATGCATGCATGCACTTATAAGTGAGTTTAGATTATATACATCTTTTGTTACATGTCACAGAACACTTCTTTAGAGGACAGGACACATGAACGAAATAATTTCCTTTTGCCACTGCCGCATACCACTTCTTTGAAGCAGTCCGCAGAGCATGGTGTATGCAAATGTCTCATAAAAGGTGTTTGTATCGTGGCAGTTTCATGACTGATTGTGTACATTCCAATAAAACTTCCTTCTGCAGTTAGCACTGCGGCATTCTACAAATATCTCTTATTAGAATACACATTTACATGTAAAAAACATCATAATAAAATGTTTTTCTCCTTGAAGGTCACCTCCAAAGGCACTGGTCTGAATCCAAATGCCAAGGTGTGGCAGGAGATGCCTGCAGCCCCAAGTGAAGCTGTCAGTAACAGCTCCCAATGGTCTCCAACAGACATAAGTGATGGTAAGTCCTTTCCAAATGTTTCATAAAGATGCCTCACCGCTTTGTCATCGAAAAAAGATAAACTGTACCTTGTTAGCAGGTTACTCTAATCCAAATTCTGACGGATGCAAAACGTACACTGTTGGATTCACAGACCTTGATGTTGATGGCTCCACTGCAACAGCTGAGATAGCAGTCAATGGAATTGACCCTCCAGAGCTGGACAGTTCCCCTGCTGAGTCCAGTCCAGGGACCGAAGGTAAGTCACTTCCTAAACATTTAAATACAAAACGTGAATTAGTAAGTGCTTTGGTTGTCAATTGGAATTTTATTTTAATAATCTTAAAATAATAATATATGCACCCTTTTAAAAATCAAGCATATGCCCAGCTGTAAGACCATGTTCCTTATTTTGTTTCAAAGGTTTTTTTATTAGCATTAATCCAAAAAACAAAACGCAGAACATAGAATTTTCTCGTTTTTCAAAAATGTTAAGGTTCCCCCCATGGACCGTAGGCAGACATTAACGGGCAGCCAGCTGCAAACAAAGTAAAACCAAACATAAAAATGTATACAATGAAACAAACACATTAATAGGAAAGAAATATGGTTACATACACACACGCACCCAGACACACGTCTATAATACCCACGCATACCCGCGTATTTCCGAATGTAATGAATCCGAAACGATGAAATACATTCATATATACTCATATATACAGATACATACATATATACACATACACACACACATTCATACACATATTTCACATAAAAAGTCAAATAATAATCAAATAATAAAAATAAAAAAATAATAGTAATATTAATAATAATAAAAATAAATATATAAAAATAAAAATAAGATAAAAAAAATCACCCACACACATACACAAAACAGTCTACGTACATGGAGAGGTATCCAAAGAGAAAAAAAAAATAATAAAATAAAAAAAATAATAAATAAAAAAAAATTAATAATAATAATGATAAAAATAAATGAATAAAAAAATAATAATAATAATAATAATAAATAAAATAAAAAATAAGTAATATTATTATTAATAAAAGAAATAGAAATGGTAATAATACAAACATGCTATTTGAAAGAAGACAGAATTAAAAATGAAAAGATAATTAAAAATAAGAATACTAATAATAATAAATAAAAAAAATAAGTAAATAAGGATGGGGGGGGGGGGGGGTCCTCTATAGGCTAATCAAGATACGGTTGTAGTGGGTCTTTCAAAAAAATTAAGAAAAGGTTGCCAGAGTTTGAAAAATTTATTCTCAGACCCACGGACCGTGTATCTAATTTTTTCCAAGTTCATACATGACATCATGTCTTTTATCCATTGTGAATGTGTAGGGGAAAGAACGTCTCTCCACTTAAGTAGTATAGCTCTTCTAGCTACTAAAGCTGAAAATCTAAGCACTTTGAGCTCGGAGTTGGGCAGGTTGAGCTCTGGAGTAGCCCCAAAAATAGCACAGAGTGGGTCTGGCTTGATCTCATGCTGCAAAACCTCAGAGATTGTATGAAACACGGCCCTCCAGAAGTTGGCCAGTGATGGACACGCCCAGTACATATGGAATAATGTACCAGGGGCACTGCTACACCTCCCACAAGTTGGATCTACATCTGGGTAGAAACGTGCCAATTTTACCTTCGACAAGTGTATACGGTGAATGATTTTGAATTGGATGAGCGCGTGTCGGGCGCACATTGAAGTGGTATGAACCTGGCCAAGAATAGATTCCCAAAGATCGTCGGATATGATAAAGTTGAGATCTTGTTCCCATTTTGACTTAATGGCAGTTAAGGGTGAGCTTTGTAATTTTGCTATTAGATTATAAAGAGTTGAAATGACACCTCTAGAAGTTGGATTGATAGATAAAATATCATCTACATAATTGTCCGAAGGTTTTTGAGGGAATTCTGCTGTCATAGTTTGTATATAGTGTCTGACCTGTAAGAAACGGAAGAAATGAGTTGTTGGAAGTCCAAATTTTGTAGATAACTGAGAGAAACTTGCAAATTGACCGTCTAGGTATAGGTCAGTAAAACATTTAATGCCTTTTCTATGCCAAAAGAGAAATGTGCCGTCAGACATTGAAGGGGTAAATAAATGATTTGCAGCGACTGGGCTCCGGAGAGAGAGAGGCTGGAGACCAAAACTTTTCCTGAATTGAGACCAAATTTTAAGAGACTGGTGTACTACTCTATTATTATCAGGTGGGGGCAGAACTAAAGGGAGTGGCGCGCCCAACATCGCAGGTAAAGAAAACTTGCTATCCGACCGAGACTCCATGATGACCCAAGCTGGTGGTGTTGGTTCCAAGTAAAAATGTTTCCAATATAGCATACTTTTGAAATTTGCAGCCCAGTAGTAGTATTGAAAGTTGGGAAGAGCCATACCTCCAACCAGCTTGGGTCTTTGAAGGAACGCTTTCCTCAGCCTTGGGTGTTTGCCATTCCAAATAAAAGAGGTAATTAAGGAATCCAGAGACTTAAAGAAGGATTTGGGAATCAAGATCGGAAGACATTGAAATAGATAAAGAAACCTTGGAAGTATCATCATTTTAACAGAGTTAATTCTACCAATTAGAGAGAAATAATGGGGACCATTTTGAAAATATTTGTTTACATTGATCTAATAGGGGAAAAAAGTTACTTTTGAACAGGTGATTGAATTGCTTAGTGACACAAACCCCAAGGTAATTAAAGCTCTGTGACTACTCTAAATGGGAATTTTGCAAGGTCTTGCTTTTGAGCCTTCTTGTTAATCACGAACAATTCGCTCTTATTCAGATTAATTTTATACCCCGAAATTCTACTAAACCCATCCAGCATTTGAAGCATTGGAGGTATGGAAGTGAGTGGGTTTGAGAAGAAAAGGAGAAGGTCATCAGCATAAAGTGACACTTTATGCTGGGTATCACTCCTCCAAATGCCTTCTATGTCCCTCTTGCTTCTGACTGCGGCTGCTAGCGGTTCAATTGCCATGGCGAATAATAAAGGGCTTAAAGGGCAGCCCTGTCGCGTTCCTCGATGAAGCTTAAAATAGTCTGAATAACGACCATGTTCCTTATTTTAACCTGCATTTCAACTTTACCACAGGGGAGTTATGTGTTGAGGCGCTGCTCACATTAACAATCACTAAAATTCAGCCTCATGAGTTTAATAAATCCAAATCTTTGCGATGCCCTAAAACACAGGGCAGAAGTGGTGGATGGGCTTTCATTCAGTCATATGTGAAGGGATATGTCCACAAGCACTACGGCCCCCCATTGTCAGTCCTCTTATTTTATAGTTTATTTGGTTGGGACAGTACGTGTTAATGAACACATCACTCCGGATTGTAGCCATGGGCTAATTTGCATCCGTTGTCCCACATTCACACTCACACTCATTCACCCTGAACTATTGCACATGTTTTTAGTGGTAGGGGAAACCGGAGTACCCGGAAGAAACCTACGCAGACACGGGGGGAACATGCAAACTCCACTCAGAAAGGCCCTTTTTGACCGGGATTCGAACCCAGAACCTTCTAGCTGAGAGGCTAGAGAGCTATCCACTCAGCCACCGTGCCGCCCAGACGCTTTTTTCAAGTGTCTTCGTCTTCCTGCTCTAATAGTCTTGTGCCCGTGGCCAATTTGCTGCTCTCTGATTGGTTGGCGCACAAGTTGAGCAATGTTTAATTTCTGTATTTGCAGCATGTGTTGAGTCACCGTACCCACTGCCTCTGGCGCGCCCCAAAAACGTATCTGCCCACTTGCATCTAGACTCGCACCATCCGGTGTGAACATCCCATTATTCGGGCCAATAAATCTGATATATATTCTATGTTATGGGTGTTTTGTTACAGCACTTCTCTAGACCCCTTTACTGTTGGTATACAAGGCTGCAATCAGCCTTGTATACATGCAATCAGTTTGCAGAAAAAATTATACCCTTGTGATGTCTGTGCACTACAACAGTTCATAGTGATCAACTGTCTTGCCATTAATGTGTATTTTTATTAAAATAGTAATAGTATTGATGAATGGTAAATGGGGATGCACCAAATACAGATTTTTGGGGTTTTGCTCAATACCGAATCCACTGGTTAAGATTCTGCTGAAACCGAATGCCGAATTGGCATTGCAAATTGAACATGTGGTCCAGCCTCATTCACTGTATTTATTTAATTTTTGGCATTATCAGTTGTGACTGGGATATTAGTACTGGGCCTTTGTCTTCCATTCCTCCGCTGCTTGTGTCAGAACCTGCGCTGTGTGACTGTGACTTTCGTAGAGGGGGCGTGTCTGCGGTGATTAAGTTCTCCGTTCCGCTCCCGGATCTATTATAGGTTCCGCGTCCAAGCGTCAGTCGTGAGCGCAGCTGAGGATGCGCGTGAGAGTTGACTTTAGCCCGGTCTGACTGTGCGTAAAGGAGCTGCTTAAATGCCGCGGCAATAAGCGGTCGTTGAGACGCTTTTTTCACTCATGTCTTTCTTGTGCCACAGTGCTTACACATCGTGACAGTTTTGTCGAATATTAATTATCAGTGTAGTTACAGTGAAGCCAAAATGCTCTCATACTGGGGATTTAAATGACACGGGGCTTTCAAGCTCCTCCGTTCCTCTGCTTGCCATGACCGCGCTGTGTGTGGACTGAACAAAGTGCGCACAACTTTTTTTTCATAAATCAAACCGCGGATCACGTCTGTACCGAACCGAAGACGTTGAACCGAACGGATCACAGATCATTGATGAACCGTTGCACCTCTAATCCCTATGGTAAATAAATCTAGATGACCCCTGCGTGAACGTGGTGCATGGATGAACACACAATGGCCCAAACTTAGCTTTTATACTCACATAATTTGTTTATAAAAATAATTAAACATGGAAAGTTTTGTGCAAAGCTTTAGATGAGGGCAGAGAAGATTGCACAGGACCATTATGCTTTGCCTTGCATATGTCTGGATCTGTCAGCACATTAAAATCACTTTTTTTTTTTTTTTTTCTAAATAGACTCCAAGATTGTGGAGCCATTGTCAACAGAGTGTCTTCGAGAGTCATTGAAGAAGGAGCTTGAGTTTTATTTTTCCCGGTAAGAGGATGACAAGAGTTTTGAGGACTTTAATTTCTTATGTTCATGTTTGTTTTTTTTTTTTTTTTCAGTGAAAATCTGTCAAAGGATTTGTATCTGATGTCTCAGATGGATAGCGACCAGTTTGTTCCTATTTGGACTATTGCAAGTATGGAGGGCATCAAGGTCCTTACTACAGACTTGGATATCATTTTAGATGTGCTGAGATGTAAGTAATTTGTGTTAAAACAAAGTGATTGCTTTTTCTAACAATTTGGCTTGCATTTCTATATCCTTAGCTTCCCCAATGGTTCAAGTTGATGAGAAAGGGGAAAAGGTGCGACCTAATCATAAAAGATGCATTATAATTCTGAGAGAAGTTCCGGAAACTACCCCTGTTGAGGTAATACTTGTTACATATAATGTTTTACTTTTAAGATCGCAACAGATTTGATCTAAATTAATTCTCTCCAGGAAGTGGAGTTGTTGTTCAAGAATGAAAATTGTCCAAAGGTGATCAGTGTGGAGTTTGCACATAATAATAATTGGTACATCACATTCCAATCAGACACTGATGCTCAACAGGTAAAAATGATTAAATACACCCCCACACACAGAATTTTTACTTTAACAACATTTTTGCTTTTACAGGCTTACAAATACTTAAGAGAAGAAGTTAAAACATTTCAGGGAAAACCCATTATGGTATATAACTTTAAAAATTTGTTTTTTTTTTTCTTGGCTAATTTTTTTCCCCCTTCATTATAACAGGCCAGGATAAAGGCCATCAATACATTCTTTGCTAAGAATGGCTACCGTAGCGTGGACAGCAGCCTATATACCCAGCAGCCGCAAAGCCAATCTCAATTCAACACTCCGCTCTACATGCCGCATGTCTATCCTCAGCAACAGTACCCAGTGGCATATGGGATTGTGCCTCCCTCTTGGACGCAGTCACCCACGCCTTACTTCGAAACTCCTTTGGTAAAGAAACGTCTAAGCATAATTACATACCACAGTGATGCTAACACTAGTCATGATGAATGGGAAAAGATGTCTATTAAGAAGTCCAGGAATGCCACCATTTTTTTGTCTCAGTATTCATCTGCAGGATGCAGCAAAAGTTGCTTTAATCTTTAAAGAAAAACTGGAGCGACTGAATTTTTTTATCAAGTCTACCTGATGATGAGATCATGATGCGCATAGAGGGACAGTGGAGGGTGGAGTCCCTGGCTTTGATTTCAGTATCTTCAATCTGTTTTCTTTCTTCTCCTCAATCTCTTCTTTCCATCTTCTGTTCTCCAAAGCCTGAGTCTCTGCTCTCCCCCCAATGAGCGTTCAGATTATGAGATCTGAGGGTATTGCAGTAGACCTAAAGTATTAAAACATTTTTAGGAAACTTGTTCTTCACCTATTTAGTACTAAAAGTCTGTTTGTTTGCAGGCACCTTTTCCAAACAGCACGTTTGTAAATGGGTTTGGTTCTGGGGGTCATTACAAAACCACTTCTAGCTCCATGAATATTGCTCGTCCTTTCAACAGAAATCGGTATGTATGACCATCAAATGTATATTGTCAGAAGGGTTTTTCTTGATGATTGTATTTTGTATGTTTTTAGTTTACAACTGAAATAGTTATTCCCAATGTACAAGTCATTTATTGTGTATTTGTAAATGTATAAAAAAAAAAATACTCCTGATTGTTTCACTCCCAGTTTTCTTACTGTCCCTACAGTGTCCCCCTCTATTCAAGAAAGAATGTAATAAATGCCTTCAGGTACAAGTCTTAGTACTGCACAATGAGCATCATCCCTCATGTTATCATGCGGATGCAGCTAAAACCCTTAATTCATTCTCTTCAAAGACCAATATTTTGTTTGACCATTAGCTGGCAGCTGCATTCTTGTTTTGGTCTTGCCATTGGTTAAATGTAGCTTTGCCTACTGCTTTTTAAATTGAGCTGTTCTTTTCCAGTTGTCTACATTGGCTCCCATACATCTTATGTGGGCATATGTAACAGATCTCTGACTGAACCACCTGCTGCTTTCCAATAATGTATCTTCAATTTGCAACCACCCTGCTGTGTGGTACTGTTGAATTAAAAATGTATACATTTGTCGTTTTGGCCTTAATGATGATATCATGATGCGCAAAGAGGGCAGCTGGGCATGCATTCTTTGACTTGGATTTCTATCTGCTCCTGTGTCTTTACCTTGCTCTTCACTCTCTTCCTCCCTTTCCATGTCATTGATAGTGTGCCCCTCCCAATGAGCGTTAAGATTATGAGATCTGAGGGTCATTATTAGACAAAATAATTTTCCATGGTCCTCCTTTTAATTGAGCTCTGCATAACAGACAATGCATGTTTTCATTCCAAATGAAGGCGTTGCATGTTGTCTTCTTAATTAGGGTAATCATTGCAGGATTTGTTCAGTTCATATAATTTTTCTGAATAAACTACATTTTATATTTATGTAGCAAAAATACTAAAGATTTATTGGCCAATTGTGTATTTGGTTGACCGGGCAACAAGACTAATACAATACTTTAATTGCATATAAAATTGCTGCAGAAACCATGTGAAGCCGCAGGTGAGGTCCAACGACTCGACTTCCTCAGTTACCCCAGTCCCTCTGGAGAGTTTGACAGGACTGCGCAGCCCACAGCCTCAGATCCCAGTTTCAGCAACTAGCTCCACGCCCCTTCCCACGGCTGCAGACTTGAGTGTCGCCTTCTCCCATCTGTCCTCACTAGACCCGAATGATGATGGCAGCATTGCTGGGCGTGGGAGGTGAGTATCCTGAATATTCTTTCTTTTTTTTTCTAAACACATTTTAAAAACTCCTGTCTAACATGATTTCAGACGTGGTAACACTTACAGAGGAACGCGGCGAAGAAGAGATGATGATCGCCTTGCGGTAAATTGAGAGTTTGTGGTAGAAGACAAAGTTAGAATAATTAACGTAAACTCATTGCCTTCTGTAGAGACCTGTGCCGTTAGCAGAGGTGAAGGTTTCACCACCCAAGTTTGACTTGGCTGCTTCAAACTTCCCCCCACTTCCTGGTTGCGTGGTAAGCACACAGGGGGAACCCGTACTTGAAAATCGGATGGCAGATGTTGTACGCGGTTTATACAAGGATAAGGTATGGCAGCTATTGCATGTTTTTTATTTTTATTTTACAGCACTGCATATGATTAAATGTGCTTACTTTTTAGACGGAACAGGTTGTTAAAGAAACTCCTGTGAGTACAAGTTTTGTCCTGTCAACAGTCACTGAGGAATCTTTGACTATTTTGAGCCCAAGCATTATTACTGGAAAACCCTTGAAACAGCCACTTGGATCTATAGCTCCTAGGTAAGGCTCTCACAATATTTATGATAAAATATGTCAGAGTCAAAGAGTTAAAATTTGTATTGTAGTGCCCCTCGTCAGGAGAAGAGGATTGAAAGGGCAGAGGCTCCATCTCCTAAAGTCGCTCCTCGAGTTCCAGTCACCCCAGTCGACCACACCTCCACACAGTCAGTGCCTAACAGGCCCCAGCCCTCTGCTGTGGCTGCCTCCACAGCACAGAGGCCGCCGGCCGCTGCTACAGCCACTGTGGCTTCACCCGCACAGGTGACATATTATATTCACACCTTTATTCAGTGATTGACCCTAATGATGTGACGTATAGCACATAGACAGGAGGGTTTCTTGAAATATACTTAATTCTAAATTATTCGTTTTATATCTTGACTTTTTCAGCGTCTAAATGGTTTACCATTTCCCATGAATATAGAATATTTATTTGAATTCATTTGGAAAATCACTGTCTGGTATATTGCAGGAACCCCGCAAGCTCAGTTATGCTGAAGTTTGTCAGCGCCCTCCTAAGGACCCTCCTCCTGCCTCTGCTCCTGCACCCCCTGGCTCGTCAACAGGGCAGCCTCTGCGTGAGCTGCGGGTCAACAAATCTGAGGAGGGCTCCAACTGCTGTTCTGCAGAAAAAATAGAGAAAGGCCACGATGGAGAGGGAGGCTGGGAATGCAAAGAGAGTCGCTCAACCCGGGACCGTGACTCACAAGGCCACTATCGCAGTAACGGCCCCAGAGGTCCTGGTGGGCTCAAGTTTCGGGATCAGAGGCGTGCTCCTCAGGCTCGACGCAGCTCACCACAGGGAAACTACAGGCACACTGGCAAAGAACAGAATATACCCCCAGTATCGCCAAAGTAAAGACTAAAGAAAAATACAAAAAGATGTATGATGAATATATAAATATATATACACATGGATATATAAAAATGAATAACATAAAAGCAACAACATGGTACCCACCATTCAAATGGAACAAAACACTTAAGTTGGTGTTTGGACATCCAGGACTAATGGGATAAATGACATTGGAAGGACTGGATGATTTTGAACAGGAAACATCCTGATATGCTTAAAACATTTTACGTGGGATTTGTGAAACTAGAGCTTATATCATTTATGCTCTGCAGTGATGATGTGGGATTCTTGGCCATTATAGGTGGCCTTCTACCTTCTGATGTTAATAGATGACCTTAAAAGGTGTTGGTTTGCAACAAACATATGCACTAAGAAGAAAACATGCATATACGTCATGTAAATAATACCAAGAAATCACTAACACAAAGACTTTTTTTTTTGTTTTTTTTTTCTTTGCTTTGATTTGCAAGTACGATTGAACTGAAGGGTTGACTGATGTCTGTTAAGCAAAATGATTGCAATTCCACAGTTTGCTTTTGCACTGCACTCTTGTGGATATTTTTATGATTTTTACTTCAAATTCATAGACTGTCTTGAGCCTGGATAGTAATGGTATTCTTATGTATATTATTGAAATGTGTTGGTTTATGGTATTTGATCCTGGTTGATTTGGTTAAATATCATACCGTTTTATGCCATAGTCTGGTTTCCTTTGACACCAGAATTCAGTTTGGGGTACTCACTGGCCCATCAGCCAGCTGTAGCTGCTTGGCCTGGTATTTAGTTTTCATGTCATGTTTCTATCTAGCTTCTGAATTCAGAGCATCGTCTCCGTTTACATTTTTGTTTGGGTAGAAGGACTGTTTCCTAACTGAAATATGGGTTAATTGTAAGATTTGGCGTTATTTGACACAGGGATTCTCAACAGAGACATAGTCAAATACTATTGGTTGTGTTGGCAAGTGGGTGATGGCTACATTATTAAAGGCAGCATTGTAATGAGTATAAAGCTACTCAGAAATAATTTTCACGTGCTATGTGCCAGCTGCCTACATTCATAATGTGATTAGGTTTTGATTTATTTTATATTTTTGGAACAAGGGCTACTAAGCAATGATAGTCCTGTAAATCTGTTTAGCCCGGTAAAACTGGATTTGAAGAAACTAGAGGTGTAGTTGCCTTTGCTATATTAAAAAGATAAAAATCCATCCACTATAGAAGTGTATGGAAGAATGTAATTGTAATAGTGCTGAGACTTCAACAGCAAGAATCAGATTGTTTGTTTTTGTGTTTTAGGGTGAGTTTGCTGTTTTAATTACCTTTTTTTGAATACCAATTAATTTAGTTTGCAATGTTTGTACTGCTTTTTAATTTTATTTATTAATTTGTACGCGCAGCGCTTTTCTCCCAATCTTGGTAGGCTGGTTTCCCCAAAGTTGTGTGAAATCGCATTGGCTTATAAAATCACGCGTATGACCTTAAGTGTGATACTATTTGAGGTTAGAGCTGCAACAGTACTTGATGCATTGACCTTGGCCGTGGAAATGCATCTAGTCACAAATCACTGAGATGTTATTTTTCATTGAGTTTGAGCAGCTGCCAGCTTGTGGTTAGTCTAATATAATAAATGCACTAACCGGTTTTAAAAAAAACTTATGAGTAATGTGAAATCGTATTAGAAACAAAGATAAAAAAAAATGACAGGCTTGAATATATTGCAGAACATTTGCTTTCCCTCACTTTTTTTTGTTTTTAAATTTGGAGTTGGAGTGGAAAATATATATAGTAATGGATCGACAAAGTGTTTGAGACACAATCCTAGAACTGTATGAAATGTCACCAAAAATAAATTATTTTGATTTGGATGGTTTGTTTTTATTTAATACTACACATAATTATACCCTGACGAATTTATTTAAAACCAGAAAAGCTATGAAGGTTTATGGAAAACAGCTCCACACTGACATTGGGTGGTTGCCTTTAGTACTACAACGTTTAGTGACTTCACCATGGCTTTATAATGGGGTTAAGCAACAAAGCAACTTTTTTGTTTTAGAAATAATTTAATCTTTACAAGCCTCTGCTATTTGATGCAGATTTGTATTTGATTTATGGCTCATTTATTTTTTAATATTTGTGCTGTCAATTGATTTAATCATGACTGATCTTATGTCGAGGTTGACGCACAAATTATCTCTATTACAAATGTCCCTTGAAATATTTTTATTCAATATTTTTATTGAATTGTGTACCTTGTTATGAGTTAGACCCACGTTAATTTACTGATGTTTGTGACATTTTTCTGATTTGTTGGAAAAGTCAGCATCCAGCCTCCCTCACAGCAGAAGGGGGTGTTTTGTGGAACTTTTGGCTCTGTGGGGTGGCACTGAAAGTGGCAATATATAAGAATTTCATGTCAAGTCATTAAGTGGCCCTAATCCGTCAAAAGGCTTTAATCTGGTCTTTTCCAATACTTCTTTAGCTGATAACAATAGTTCAGCAGAGATATTCGAATTTCAAAATTGGATTTAAAGCCCCTAAATATTGTTTTAATTTCAATGTCCCTTCTTCACAGTTTTTGATCCGGGTTGCCAGAACTCACTGCGGCGTGCTAATCTTGCAGTACAATCGAAGGTCTCGTTATGATCATCAAATCATTAATGACAAAACAAGGATTTCTATTGGGGCAAAGGTGTTGGTTATAGATTTGTTTACAAAACTCTTGCTTTTTCAGCTATTATGGTCCTGGCAGGATTTGTCTATATATCTGGCAACCTGAGTCAGAGTGGGAGAGGTTGCGCTACCGCTTTTGGCCAGAATTTTACATATTGCTCCTTTAAAGCTGATCATGATCTGTGCCTATTGTTTCCTTTTCTATTTTAAGCAGTTATCTGTAGTTATTTGTATTTACATTTGCAAAGGAAACTAATGGCTCAATAATGTCTTTGGGGCTTGCATTGCTAAGTAATGCAAGTGAATAATATATTCATTTTTTTAGCACTGTATATTGTGAAAAGGTCCTCAGCAGAAACCATGAACATGCCCTATTCCCCGATATTGCCCTTGTGTCTGAATATACTCGTTGTATTTGTGCTTAGTTTGGACAAGTTACGCGTAAATTTCCGATGACTTACTTACTCATTATCATCATAGATAAACATTCATGATATAAACCCATAAGTCTGTGAATAAGACCCTAATATAAATAATAGATCCATGATAAGAGCAGAGGCGGTGGGCGTGGTCTGAATGACGTATGGAGTGTTTATGTCAAAGCGAGTGACGCTAGCAGCAGTCAGTGCCTGTCACTCCTATAAACCGTGGACCAAAAACGGTATGAAATATCATTAACACTTACTATTTACCCGAGAATGTTATTGTAAGCATTTTGGGACATGCTTTCAAATTCTTTATACACCTGTCATGCCGTTTTTACTTTCGTGTGAGTCGATTGTTCTTCGTTCCTCCATATTTTCTCTTATGCTAACAAGCTAGCCTCCGTGAAGAAAACAGCCTGTAAGCATGTTTATTATCTCCTCCCTTCCTTCAAGCACTTAGACTGAACCCAACTCGTCTTGCGACTGTGCAATTAGAAGAATATTTAAATGCATATCCTCGAAATCGATGACCGAAATAACGAGCATTATTTAGTCTTGTTTATTCTCTTCTTCACTATCTTATGATAATGTACCACCAGGGTGTCCTGCCACATCTGACTGCTGAAACATCTAAACTATATACATCCTGTGCATTTTAAATGTATGTCACATATTACACGTGAATACTAGCATATTACCTTACATATATAATATATAAATATATGTTCTATATTCTTTATGTGTTACCACTGTTGATTCTCTGATCTGTGTTGGTGATATCAATGGTTTTGTTAAGTTCTCTGAGATTCTGTTGTGATTTAGGGCTATACAAGAATAAATTGTATTGTATTGTGTATAAATTTATATATTGAACGATAGAATCGAAATACAGGTATTTTGAAAGTCTTATTTAATGTTTGAGTGGATTAATTCTATGCATTTCTGTTGCCAGCCGTTCTAGTTATAATGACCAATATAAATCAATGAACATTTAGTGATATTGCTTTTAGGTGAAAACTGTTGAAAGTGCAACTTGATCTTGTTTGTCTCACCTTTAATTGTAATCTCTATTCCACATTGTCAGGAAATGGGGTTTTACACCATATCTGTTTTTTGTATTTCCTAGAGTGCTGTTGTGCCACCCCTTTCTGGGTGCCATGCTCCTCTGTTACATATGAGCTCTACTATGTGGTACATCATGCAAAGTATTCAGAGTAAATACTCTTTGTCTGAGCGATTGATCAGAACCATTGCCGCCATCCGCTCCTTCCCGCATGACAATGTAGAAGACCTCATCCGAAAGGTAAGCCCTCGAACTCATCTAATCTAAAGAGTAATCAATGTCACAGTGCATCTGGGGCTGGGAGATGGGGGAAAAAAAATCATATTTAAGCCAATCATGGTGAAGGTACTTATTCAATTCATTTTGACAACCAATAAGAGAATTTTGTGCAATTCTTGAATTGAATTCAACTCAGAAATTGACTTTATACTTTGTTGTTGAGGCTCTTCGACTTCGCTGATCATTTTTTTCCCCACTGCTTTGTCCAAAGGGAGCTGATGTAAACCGAATGCATGGCACTCTTAAACCGCTGCACTGTGCCTGCATGGTGGCAGATGCTGACTGCGTAGAGCTGCTCTTGGAGAAAGGGGCTGAGGTAAGGGTTCATCTTTACTAATTTACAAAAAGGGGCAGAAAGATGAGTGACTTGCTGATAAGATTTTTACTCTCTTAGGGAGGCTGGATGTAGCCCTTTTTGATCCGTTTTAGTTTGGGAAAATGCAATTTTATTAAAACACATAAGTACAAAAGCTAGAATTTGCCAATTGGCTATATTTTGTCTATTCCCCTGGCCTCGATGTTAAAAGAGCCAAATGGAGTATGGTAATTATACTGTACTTTTACCAAACTACATAGTGAAAGCAGATTTCTGCAGATTTCATACTAACCAAAGCACACCACGCTGATGGTGCAGCCACTACACATACATTTATGAACTCTAGAAGATATGAGCTTTGACATGAAGCAGAGCCTTTCCATATGTATATATGAGAGTAAGAACAACCTTCATGATGTGTGTTCTGTTTTAAAACTGGCAGTGCGTTAACCAGGGAGAGCTTGCGCTACAGGCCCTCCCTTGAATGTGAACAGACTGGTGATGATCATTTATGGTGTCCCCCTCAGGTGAATGCGCTGGATGGGTACAACCGTACAGCTCTGCACTATGCAGCAGAGAAGGATGAGAGCTGTGTAGAGCTGCTACTGGAGTATGGGGCACTGCCAAATGCTTTGGATGGGAACAAGGACACTCCTCTGCACTGGGCTGCTTTCAAAGATAACCCTGAGTGTGTGCGGGCCCTGCTGGAGAGCGGGGCCTGTCCCAATGCTAGGGACTACAATAACGATACCCCCCTGAGCTGGGCAGCTATGAAGGGGAACCTGGAGAGTGTCAAAGTGCTGCTGGAGTATGGTGCTCAGGTGCATGTGACCAACCTGAAGGGGCAGACTCCCATCTCGAGGCTGGTGGCTCTGTTAGCTCGAGGGCTGGGCACTGAACAGGAGGAGGAGTGTTTGGAGCTGCTTTGCCGTGCAGCAGGGCGGTTTGAGATCCGGCGCGCTGACGGGACCCTCCCCCGGGAGCTCAGTAAAGACCCACAGCTGCTGGCAAGGTTGAGTAGCATGGTGGCCCAGGCACCCTCTCTGCGCTCCCTGGCTCGATGTACCGTGCGCCAGAGCCTTGGGGTACAGTTCCTCCCTGCTGCTGTGAAAGAACTGCCTTTACCTGAAACTGTCAAAGACTATCTACTGCTGAGAGACTGACCCTACATTTGCTCAAAATGAGATGGTGCACACATTACGTCAGCTGTGGCGTTTTGTTTGTCTGCATATTGTTAAATGTAAGATCTACACATTTACAAAGCTTCATTTAAATATTTTACTTTATAAAGCACAAAAAATATCACTTCCTTATGAAACTCATCTAGTTCAGACCTTCTGATTTTAGCCTTTTAAGTACAAAGTTACTTGACATCTGAGCAAAGCCTTGAGGGTAACTAACTTTACATTTTCTTGCTACTATTGTAAAAAAAAAAAAAAAAAAAGTCCTTACTTGTTCTGTCTGGTTTTCAATTACAAGTTCAAGTGATGACTTAAAAAAAAAATCTATGAATATTTGGTTATACAATCAAAACAATGTAAAAATATGTGTGATAATACTTTTCCTTCTAAGGTGCCGTTGCCAAGAACTGGGATCATAACGGATAATTTTTTGTCTGTGTTAAATGAATAATATTACTTTAGATGTATGTTTTGTTACATTATAACAGCATGAATACTATTGTGTCCATAATGATTGCTAAAAAAGCTAGAAGAAAGCTAGAAATGCGTATTTGTTATGTTTGCTTAAGACTACATTTGTCTAAAATTCAACACAATTTGTGTAATAGTTTGTGTTAAATGGCCTTCTAGTTTATGTCTTGTGAAAAACTAGTGCTTTATGTTAATAAAAGAAAATGCATTGCTATTCCCATGATGTTCTTCATGAGGACTTTGCTTCATTTTACCCAATCTCTAGATTTGTAATTGCGCTCACAAGAAAATTGATTCTAGACACTAGAGGGCTCTCCAGTCCATCTATTTGTGTGTTATAGAAGAAAATATTTAATCATTCAAATTTTATTTGGCCATCCTGCGTTTTGAGTTCAGGTTATGTTTCTTGTATTCTCATCACTTATTTGACCCCATTCATGCAGTCATTACGGAACCATGCTGTGCCTCCTTGTACTCAAATACAATAGAGAAAGAATTGCGTCCGTTTCCAGGAAGGAAACATGCTTGAATAATACATTTATATTTTTGAAATATACTGATTATCTAAATCATATTTTCGATGAACGCAGAACAGTGTAAACATCAAGCTGTTTTATATCTTATTATACACTTCAGAATCAAGACAATTAACGTAAAAGTATTTCAAGAATTCTAAGTACTATGTAATCTTATTGGGCCTTATAAAAGGAATATATTACAGAAAACATTTCACACTGGTTTTCAGTATTCGTATTCTCCACATGTCAACGGTACATTCAGAGAGCTATAATAAATATTGATCATAGGTGGTGAAATTATTAGTTGATTGGACCAGGAATGAGAAAATATTTAGCTTGAAACTAAGATCGGGAATCTTGAATTTTCAACAGGCGCTTCACCCAGAATACAAACATCAGATACTTTTAATATTAGATACTTTTAACAACCCTTTTAGTACAGTAAACGGTACTGTAATCCCATGCAAATGCTCCCCAAACTAATATTTACAGTATGCTCTAAACATGTACCATAGACTGTATACATGTATACGCATTAGTCTCGCACTGAGATCTCGCGAGAGTTGGCCGTTGAAGAGGGGAGTGTCGAATTCCAGGAGAGAGAGAGCAGCGGACCAGCGGAGCCGAGCGAGAGAGGGGCGCCAGGGTAAGTTTGTAAACACTTTATAACATTTACATTCACCACATGCTGTAATTTGATGTAAACAGCCCTTACGGACGAACGATGCACCTGAGTTTTATGCTTTTCTGTCTTTGAATCAAGCTTGTCTTCTCCATTGTCAGAAACTTCTTCTTTCGGGACTCGGGACAGGCTTTGGGTCTGTCCGCTAACCAAATACATGCAAGCCACCGCGCTGTTTGCGAAATGTAAACTAATAATACATCCACAACTTTCATCTGGTGCTTGTTTGTACTTCAATCGGTATTCTTCCGCTAGTGTCATGTTAAATCGTGCTATAATGCGTTGCTCACACACTTTTGGCCTGTTGTTACTGTGTTAGCCGCAGCTCGCCATCAGCAACACTTTTTTTCGTGGATACAAAAAGTTGATTTCGTGGTTTTAACCAATTAGAAAGTGCTTTCTGATGGTACTGACAGGGTCCATGTTGTCGTCCACAGTGATTGACGCTTTAATAGCCAATAGCTGAACAGAAAAGGCGGTCTAGTTACGGGAAAAGGTGGGGCTAAAGTCTGCAGCCAGAAGGTAATGGTGGCACTGGCACAAGAAACTTTTTAAACGGCATTCAAAGTTGTTCCATACTAAACTTTGGCACTTTTTAACAATTCTATTTTATTTTTGACGTTGACAGTGCCTATTACAGTACTATTCCTTATGAGTTTGAGAATTCTTAATTTCTGGGTATACCTGGCTGTAGGTCATTATGTACTACTTTCCTCATTGGTTTTTGGTGTATTTCTGAAGCCTAGTTATCAGTGATAATATGATCCTTACACAATTTAAGGCTAGGGTATTTTTTATTTATAAATAATACATGCTGTTTGGCCCAACAGAATGAGTTTTGGAAAAGCAAAATGGTGTGAACAAATCCGACATCATTATTCTGTCTATAGCTTAATATAAAGCTAGCATTTTTGTGAAGAAAGGTGGTCCTCTCGTTTTCACTTTTCTGACTGAAAAGGCTGATCCAAAGATGCATCAGAGCAATACATGCATGTGAAAACAAGGGATTTCACCTAACTGTTTTGAGAGTAAGAACATAGTAAGATGGATTTGATTTGCATAGTTTTCTTATTTTGTGATTTGAAAGTTGTCCTGAATATTAAAGCTTACACAGACCAAGTTACGGAAAAATGTTGCTAACAAAGATTAGATCTATACGAGGCACTGTGGCAGAAAGATTATGTTGTGATCATTGTTTGAGGGATGCTGGATTTATATGTATGTATATAATATATATATAATATATAAATATATATTTTAAAAAATCAAACTTAAGAAGACTTGTTTTCTTATCCCTGATGTGGAGATATATTAATAATTTAACCTTTTTAATATTGTTAATGTCACATCCTTATTTAATATTTAAGACATTTTTCTATGTGTGTATGTCTAATTAGCAAGAATGTATTTTATTCAATCCCTCAATATTTGCACTTTAAGGAGACATATTTCACTAGGTTTCCTCAGTTATCTTACTCAAAGTTGTAATGTGATTCATAAATGGATGGAGAGTTGTTTGTTTTTAAGTGTCATGTCAAACAAAGTATTTGTAATATGTATGTATTTTACATTCACCACAATTATAAACTTCACAAAGAAACGAAACAGCACCACACATTTGTTTGTAAGTAAGTACTTACTTACTTATTTACTATTACTACTTACCTACACACATTTGTTTGAATGAGAACATCTACTGAAAAAGGTTGTAGTTTGTAACGTTTCTAGCTAAACCCCAGCAAGTGGATTGCAGCAATAATCAATGCTTGGAAGCTCTGTCCCTCTCATTCCAGACAACAAGATTCTGGCAACAAAAGTTGGATTGTAATTGTAATTACAATCCAACAATCCACTAATACTGCATATTATATACTGTCCCAATATTAATATTATATTAATATATGTATTGCCTTCATGTATATAGTACATCATATTATCTACGTAAGTAAACTTAATATATTTCAGACTGGTATTGAGCCACAATGTGGCATTACACATTTATACATCATTCATTCACTTTAAAACACCCTGTGGTGGTAAGCTTCTGTGTTGTAATCTGGCAATCTGTGTAATCATTGGTCCCTCTGATCCCCACCAACGTACACACGCTAGTAAAGCATAGTACACCCTTTATGTATTTTATACAATGTGAAGTTACAGCTGTAAGTATGTGTGAAACTTTTAGTTCAACTGGTGAATATATAATGTGAATATATGATTTTTTGTTTAAAGCAAAAGGCCTGTGAGTTTGATTTTCATTTGATTGGACCCAGAAAAAGCTCAAGTAATGCACGTTTTTGAAATGACTCCATATTTGTCTGTAGCATTGAAGTTTTAGCTCCTGGAAGTACCACCGTGCAGCTTCTGTTTGTTGGCTTCACAAGTTGCTGTGGCGATAGTCTGGGTTTGCTGCAAGACGAGACTCAAAGAGACTCTTCGTCCCCTCAAGTAATAATGATATCCATATATTGCAACTTGAGCCCTTGGACGCCCCAAGATCCGCATCCCTGTGCATGTCAACACCTTCATTAGGAATGTAGGTCATGTTATTGGCAGAGTTGTGCCTCATTCCATCACATGAAGTGTAACACCAAAATGCAACATTGAGATTTATTTTTTTCAACAAAAATTGAAAGAGCTCAGATCACATTACACACCTGCTGGAAACAGAGATAGTATTTCCGCCCAGAAGTGTCAGCCTTTCTTCTCATATTTGCGCCCATTGGCTACTGTCACCCCTTGAAAGTTTGTCATTGTCATTGTTTTGTGTAATTAATTTTCCCTCAACAAACCCATGAAGAGGGAGACAATGCTCCACACCAAAGGCTTTATATTATTTACATGCTTAAAAACATCCATTGACTTTAGCTTTGTAGATACGGAACAAAACACCCCTCCCATTCTGCTTTTTAAATGTCTCAACAAATGTATAAAGGGCTGCCTTTTAATTTTGGAAATCGTCTTAGTGTATTGTGCCATATTGTTTGTGACGGTGTAGAGTAGCTTTAGCTCAGAGGCATTGTTAGTTATGCAGACACTGCGATTGGATTTCATGTGTTCCATTTACCAAATCTTAGGTTTACTTTGCTTACATAAATACATATTGGCAGCTGCCCACGCCAAGCTACAGCCCTCTTCTTTGTCTTGGGAGCCCCATTCGTTGCTGATAATTAATCTGAGATAGCAATTGCTGATGATATACTTTATAAGCAGAATGTGACTCATTTATTCTGCAAAACATATGCAGTTTTATTGAGAAGTAGAAAATAAGTAGATGCAGTAGAAGTGCTAAGTTAAAATAACTCTTTGCAAAAAGCCACAGCTGTAGCTGTATTTCAACATTTTAAAGAAAATTGACTTGTCAGTATTGGAGAACGGACTGCTTGATTGTGCTCTGGCCCTCACCCTCTGTCTGTTGTATTTCAGTTTGCGGGGTCTCCCCTTCCCTTTGGCAACTCAGGCCTCAGATTCCACCATCATGGCCGTCTCGGGAGCTATTAATACAGTTTGTTTAGTCAGTTTCCTAGCAGGCGGCATCAAACACTGGAGGGCTGTGGCCGATTATAGCCAGGACCCGTTACCCCTACACCTGCTGAGTCTGGTGAAACCCAAGTTTCACTTAGAGCATGTCACTCAGGAGTAAAGCAGGTGGAAATAGGTGGACCTCTTCAAGTTTGCAAGAAATATCTTTGAGAGACTACAAGCAGATTTATTTGTTGTGTCTGTCTAACCTACAAGTACGTGACCAAGAGTAGTATCTGCATTACTGTGCATCAGTGATATGACCACTTCCCCTCTGTTTGAATCAGGTTCAGTTATTTTCCATCTGAAATTAGCAGCACAACCCCTCAGCCTGCATAGTTGAGCTGCGTGCCATTTGCTCCAGTGCTGCATGTCTGCTCAGATGTAAACTCTGGGTTCCCCTCTTGGCTCCAGATGTGCCCATTCCCCTTCCACACCTGGGGTATAACGAGTGTCTCGTTTGCCCACTGCTCTTTGCACAAACACTCCGACCCGCTGGCTTACTGAATCAGGGGTGTCTGCAAGAAAGTACCCGTTCTGCCTTTTGTACAGGAAAATAAGTAAGTAAGTAAGTACATTTTATTTATAGAGCACCTTTCACAGATAAAAATCACAAAGTGCTGTACAAGGTAAAAGCAGATGTGAATGTACAATAGAAATAAGACAAAAATAGAAAACAACAGAAAAACAAGAAATCAACCAAAAGCTGCCCTAAAAAGAAGTGTCTTTAGTCCCTTTTTAAAAACATCGGCAGAGTTGACCACACGGAGGGACAGAGGCAGGGCGTTCCATAGAACTTTGGAATGAATTGGATACACATATTATCCAATATGACTGATAAAAATAATTGATCTATCCAACCCCTGTAGCTAATATTCTCACGTTTTATCTCCTAGCTTTGTCATTGGCTCCAGATGTAGATGTAGAGCACTACACTATTTTACCGTAGATGAAAGTTGTATTTTCTGTATTTATTTCTTTTTGGTCCAGCAGAGCAGAGACTACTCTTCCTGGGGTGCATAATGCACATATAGTATATGCATGTAGCTATTATCATTTTTTGAGTAACAAATATTGTGAGTGCAAATATTGCAATTGTACAAGAATTGATACTTTAGATTAGAATATACAGACTTGACATAAAACTTGTTTTGTTCGGTTCACTGATATTTCAAATGGTAAAGAAAAAAAATCCAAACTCTGTCATAGGGAAATTAAACTATGTTACTTACAGTGGGTCCGTGTATTTTTCGTTCAATGGTTTTTTTCAAATTAAAATCCAAATAGAAATATCTTAAAATGGCTTGAATTTGTCATTTTTCATTTTGATGAGGAAAAGGAAAAACGCCTACTTGAAACACCCAGACTTATCTTAACACTTAGCTCTATAGGTAGGTAAAGATTCCAACCAGCATAGATTTGTGAGAGGAAACAAATAAAACGGCTCTGACTGCCTCCCCCCGACCCAGAAATGGATTAAGGGGAAGAAAATGGATGGATGGATGGAAACGAATACAACAAGTTACAAAATGCTTTAATTGAATGCATTTGAAGAACGTTTTCATAATTGTTTTTTATAAAACAATACACTTAATGTGCATGAACTCTTGAAAACGAGTGCAGAAACCACCCTAAAAGGTTAAGTTTAGGCAACGTGTATATTGGCTTCCAACTGAAACAGAACTCTATACAGCCTGAGCACAACATGACCTGATTTTAGTTGTACCTTTGGGTAGCATTTTTAAAACAGTAACTAAATTAAATCTAACAACTAGGGGTGTCAAACTCATTCCTAAAGGGCCGCTGTGGCTGCAGGTTTTCTATCAAACCAAGCAGGAGCAGAGCAGACTCTGCCTATTTCCTAACATTTTCAGGTTAAGACTGAACTCACTTGAGGAAATGGGGGGAGTCTGCTCTGCTCCTGCTTGGTTTGATAGAAAACCCGCAGCCACAGCAGCCCTTTAGGAATGAGTTTGACACATTAGACCTTTCACTTGAACATTAAGTGCACTCAATGTGTGTAGTATGTGCCTCTGTAAACCACCAGATGTTGCCACTGACCCATTTCTTTATGAGCCGAGGACACTAGCGCCAACCGCTATTTCCAACCGAACGAAAATATGGGTGCACAGCCAACTTCAGGTTGTGCCAAATCGAAATCTTTTAAAGATATTTCATCTTCGATTTTGATTTGAAAAAACCATTGAACGAAAAAGACACGAACCACAGTGCTGTTTCTGAGGACAGTTTGACACATTTGTTCAGCTCTAATATAAACTGTGGAATTTGATTATAACTTTCATGTTCTGTTACAAACATCTTTTTTTACCAAAATTTGTTTTAAATGTGGGGTTAAAAAAAAAAGTGACGATAATGATAAAACAGTTAGGTGTCTAAATACCGTTATATTCGACTGCTGCGTTTACACTGAACACGGCTTGGCAAAAAGTTGAAAGTCAAGTGGCATTTAAATTGTAGTGCATGTGCAGTACATGTTTTAGCTCTGAGTTCTGGGTTAAAATGGAGGTATAGTTTGCAACACTCTCAGAAATTTAGGCCCTGCCAACACCATGAGTAATGTGTCTCAGTGACTTCTGCAAAGAACGAGACTAATGTCACTAAATATTTGGTAATTAAATGGTAATACATGTATTCAATTTCTATTGCTATGGGAATAACATATAATGACATGCAAGAGCTTAACACTTATTAAAAATGGCACAAATGCTGCACTTACTGTAGTATTTTTTTCCATATGTAGCTATGGTATTCTGAAGCTAAATAAAACACAGCGTAAAAAAACAGTGTAAGTGAGATAGTGATAATTGTGGCCAAAATCACTCCAGAGATTACCTGACAAAAAGCTGGGCGGTTTGGCAAAAAAGTTCAATCTTGAGTTTATTGCCCCATTTGGACGATTGCAATTTTGTTATATCCTTTGTTATATTCCTATATGACGTTAAAGCTGTAATAGGGCTTCAAAGATAAGACCATCCTGCAGCCGGGAGGATTCTGTCCAAACTTGAGCATGACAACTTTTTCCATATCTGAACCCAGCTAGAACCTGGCATTATTTTTGTGTGGGTGTGTGATGCGCTGCTGATCTACTGTGCGCGCTACTGAGGGGACCCATCACGGAGCAGATCAAACCCAGTCTTGGTCCTACTGTCCACAGCAGAACCATTACACATGCTGCACGAATCTGTCCATCATATGCTTTGTTGAATAAAAACTAAATATGGACAGCTTTGTCTGCAGATTTACAATTTATATAAGTGTTTGTATGGGTCAGGACGCAGGTGCCAGGCTCATGTGTAAGGAGAGAGAGTGTTCCTCTCCCTCTCTTTCCTCCAAGTTTTATTAGTTTTAGGGTTATTATTATTCATTTGTAAAAGATCATCAGTGAACATTAATTTGACCCGAGCCCCAACTGGGGTAAGGGCCTATTGCTTTTCCAACGAGTAATGCCTGGGCAAAGCTGCGCCTGAAGACTTATGACTTATTGTGACCTGACATAATTCTGTTTTGTCATCTGGATTCAAAAAGTCAATGACAGCATATGATTATTTTTTACCCTGTTGCCGTGGCGACAACAAACATGCTCCATTCTGTGTCTATGAGAAAATCTTTACATCTCTGAAAAGTACACCTCGCTCAATCATCAAACCAGCCGAGGCCGTTTCACTAATTTGGCTGAAAATCGCTCCACATCATCTCACCACATGGACCATCAATAGTTGAATATGGAATTTGAATTAGTCAAACGGTCTGCGTGTGACGGACTCCCAAAGTGTGATCATTTTCATAGAGAGGTGTGAAGTTCCCATGTTATCCAATGGACACACAGATTGTATGTGCAAACAGGAGCACATTTAGAAACTCTGATTTGCACTAAACTTGACTCGGTTGTTCAACTTCTGGGCCTAGGTCACATGACAGTGTCAACAATCAGGTTGAGTAAAGGTTTAGATGGGAATAAAGGTATTTAGGTTTTCTGTTGTTTGATCTCATATTTGACCCAGTGAACAAACATGAAAACTCACAATATTTTGCCACAAGTTTTTTTCAGGCATAACATGTATTAGGTTGGTGTTGTTTGGTATAAGACAACAAATTGAAATTGTAGGGGGCGCTATTGTACAACATTAAATGCCACCATTTGCACATACAAAGTCCGATTTGCACAACAATTTATTTGATTGTTCTACTCTTCGGTTTGAGCAAACTGAAAGTGTGAATCATGAAATTGCAGCATTAGTGCCCCCTACAGACTGATTCAAGTCTTACATGGAGAGAATGAGGTTTACCTTACCTTAGATGCACACAATCACTGATCATAGGAATTCAAAATATACAGTGTCTCTCCCGTCAGGGCTGTAGGACTATGGCGCGTCAGCGCCACCTCGTTTGCACGGTGCGGCGAGAGCCGTTCGACGCCGCTTGCGGCTTTATTTTGCTATTTGTTCTGGTGCGGTTAACCTATATTTCCGATAGAATCCAAGGTGGGTGAACTGTAGAAGCCCTGAGAGCGGAGATGGAACCTAAAAGGAAACATAATCCTGAATCCAATTTCATGTTTTCTTATGTTTTTCCCATGCCAGATAAAAAAAAAAAAAGATTATTCAGATAATTTGATATATTGGCCATCCCTAGTGGTGTAACTCAGCCCAGTCATTGCCATGATGGGATTTTGATTATTTTATTGTGCAGCCCTGCTCATGTATACAATACAAGACAATTTATTCTTGTATAGCCCTAAATCACAACAGCAGTCATCTCGGAGGACTTAACAAAACCATTGAAATCACCAACACAGATCAGAGAATCAACAATGAAGACACAAAAAAATACACATAGGTATTGGTCCATATGGTGAGACCAATGTCCATGAATGTTGATAAATACATACATGTTGTAGAATGTTAAAGTGTCCTGGATTATCCCCACAGTCCTTCTTGTTAGACTAACTGTCCAACAGACCCTCCTGCATCAGCAAGGAAAAACTCTAAAAACCCAGTGGGAAAAAAGTGAGAAACCTCAGGTAGATCCACATTAAGAGAGGGATCCGCTCCCTTGTCCGGACGGGCTATAGATCCAGGACCTAAGCTACAGAACGAGGACTGTAACTGGCGCTAAGGTTACCATGACAACTCAAGTTATAGCTGAGTATAACTGACGCTTTGGTTGCCATGACAACTCGGATCATTTTTTGCTGCCGTTTAAGTTTGCTTCTCAAAGTATAAGTTGAGAATTATTTTAAAGTATGCTGCTATAAAGAGACGTTTTTGCAGCTTGGAAAGAGTGTTATTCTACGATTGGTCTACTAAGGCGCACACGGTAACCTTTTTATTTCATTGTGTCTTTTATTTTGAGACCTGATTCTTATTGTGTGAGTTACTGTATGGAAATTTACTCTTCTCCTTTATCTTTGTAGTTTTCACGGTGTTCCAAATGCCTGTATGAAATTAAATGCTGCTGGACATCAGTCGAGGCGTTAAGTCCTTTATTTTCGGAGATCAACGGTCACGCAGTGGCCGCAGAACGTGGACAGGTCCGATGCAGGCACTGAAGCAGCTCCCAGGCGGTCGGGCAAGGTGTAGAGAGGGCTGGTTCAGAGGTTCCATTGCCACACCATGAAACAGACAATGGGACAGCGGGTGAATAGCAATGAACAGACTACAGTCAAAATCCTAATAATGCAGACGGATAAAGTAGGAAGGAGGAGAGGAAAGTGCTCAAGTTTGCACTCATTTTTCATTAGTAATGAGTGAATTGATGAAAAATACTGATATCATTTTTCAACATGTGTGTAGGAGAGTGCACATGCAGGACAAACTTTCCCACAAACAAATGTGGGAAAACACTGCACATCTTTTGAACTGCAAGTTTTATGTGTGTCTGACTGCACCAGCTGTTAATAACCGAACTCAAAGTGTACAACAAGAGCCAGAGGCTGCTGCTGAATCAGAGACAACTCAGGGGTGTGTGAGTGTGTGTGTGTGTTTGGGGGTGAGGTGGGGGTAGTCTGAGGCTGGGAGGTGTGCGAAAGGTGAGCAGAGGGAGTGGTTTAGCAGGAGGAGGGGTCACAGACAGACACAGAGCTGGTGAATGTTGGCAGAGGATTTTGTCGCTCATTGGCGGACCGGAACCCCCTGTGTGAAGGAAGTGTCACCAGGGAAACTTGGTCTGGCTCTCTCCGCCTGTTTTCCTCCTTGGCTGGGTTATTTTTGAATAACATTCAGCACCAGTCGCATTATCTTTTGGATTTGTCACTTCATTCACAGATTCAAGGAACGAATCAACAGCTATGTTCTCCTCCTCTGCTCTATCACAGATACACTGCAGGCTCTTTGGAAAGATGGGAGACGACAGACCTTTTGTGTGCACTGCTCCGGGCTGTGGACAGGTAAGTCTCCTCCTTTTATCTGCCATTGTTACAGGTGTAGAGTTTATGGCCTGGAAGTGAAAGGTTGTTCACAGGATACCCTTGTAATGAATATATAACAACAGCACAAAATAATGGGAGCAAACGAATGTGGGTAAAGTTACATTGAGTTTATTGTCAGTTGCATGGTCAATCATTGACACTTCCACTTGAATGCATAAACTTGAATGCATGTTTTCAATGTTTTATTATGCTAAATGATTTTGTTGTTTGTTTGAAGAGACGTGCAATAGGTTTTTAATTAGTTTAGTTATACATCATTGGTTCTCTATATATAGAAAAACAGTTTGAAAGATATTGATTTTGAGATCCAACCGTTGCTCAAAGCAATTCTTAATACACTTTGTATGTGATATTACTGAGTAATAAGGCAAAAACCTTCATCTGGATTTTTTCTTTTCTTTTTATAATAGGAATGCTTTCCGTATTGGTTGCTTGACAAATTAAATGAAGTAATTTCTGCCTCAACCAAATATTTTTGGAATGGAAAAGCTCCTAGCTACTACATCATTCATTCAATGAATGTTGAAGGATGATTAAATATTAATTCAGTTTTGGGTTATTTTGTATTTTAATGTTTGAAAATGTTTTATGTGAATTGACCTTTTGTGGAGTGGACCCCAGGAAGACTAGCGACCACTTGTGGAAGCTAATGGGGATCCAGTTAAATAGAGAATATTTAGTTGGCAATAACATATATTCCTGGAGCCATGAAATTTGAATGCATAAAAAGTGTATATTAGTAATAGTATCTGAAGATTGCACATGTACACATGTTAGCTCTTAGATCCACCTTTTAGTAAAGTATGTCTCAGGACATCAGGAGGTGTTTGTTAAATGAGCAGCATTTAGAAACATAAATAAATGAATCACAATTTTCACCATTATATTACATACATACAACTATGTTGAATTCACTGTATGAAGTTTGAACAGCACATGTTGTGTCTGCCTCTTTATGCAACAGTTTCGCTCACACAGACTGTCTCCTGGAGCCGTGAATCACAACTCCATGTGACTAATTTGAGCCAGTTATTGTTTGAACCTGCGCCTCTGACTCAGCCCACAGCTGTAGTGAGCACGCACATGCCAAAAACATGCACCAATGTCTGTGCAGGCTCCAATTATACCACATTATTATTACATCACAAGTGATCAAAGGCCCAGGAAGTACTTTGTATGTTAGTGTAGTTGATAATAGCCCAACTATACTCATTCTTCCTCAATACCCCAACCTCTTTGTAAATCATTTATTATCCACCCACAGTATTTAAGAATCTAATCTAATTATTAGGGGTGCAACGGTTTGAAAAAATCACGGTTCGGTTCGTACCTCGGTTCAGAGGCCACGGTTCGGTTCATTTTTCGGTTCATTTTTCAAAAAAAAAGTTTTGTCTTTTTAATAAACACAGCTCATGTGGACTCGGCTTCTGCTCTGACTGCCCCCACCTGCCCTAGAAATGAATTAAGGGGAAGGAAATGGATGGATGGATGGCATATTCCATCCATCCAATTATGTAACATAACATAACATAATTAATGAAAAACAACACAAAGTGCAACATAAGAAGGCACTTTATGAGGATATTTACCCTCATATATTAAACCACCTTCCTGATTCTCCCAAGGAGGCGCTCCATTCTGGGCCCAGCCTCATTCACTGCATTTATTTAATTTTTGGCATTATCAGTTGTGACTGGGATATTAGTACTGGGCCTTTGTCTTCCATTCCTCCGCTGCTTGTGTCAGTACCTGCGCTGTGTGACTGTGTGACTGTCGTAGAGGGGGCGTGTCTGCAGCGCCAGACTTTTCATCTCCCAGTCTGCGGTGATGAACTGAGCGGTTCCGCTCATGGATCTATTATTGAGAATGAGGAGTCACGTGCCGAGTTGGGGTGATTTGGGGGGGGCTCTGAGCCTGTCGGACATATTGGCTGCGCAACGGGGGCACGCCCCCAGAATTTCACGCGCTCCTCATATTCCAGAGCACTTTAAATTATACGCATTTACGTTTTCGGCGAGACAGAGACGGATCTACTGATACAACAAGGGAAAGGAAGACAGTAAAACAATGCTTAGAGATAAGGCGAAAGAGAAGGGACCGTACAGGAACACGTTGTTTTGCAGTGTTTTGTGTCCCTTTGCACTAAGAAAAGTATGACTCTTATGATCATTTTTGCCTATGCTGTGCATGTTTACATGCTGGAAACAGTACTTTGAATGCACACGTTGTTTAGCAGTGTTTTGTGTCCCTTTGCACTAAGAAAAGTATGACTCTTATTATCATTTTTACCTATGTTGGGCATGTTTACATGCTGGAAACAGTACTTTGACTGCACACGTTTGTAACAAAAAAAATATTCATTTCTCAATAAATATTGGTAAACCATATCAAGTTGTTTCATGCATTTATTTAAAAATAAAAGATACAGTAAAGAATAAGGTACTCAAACAACACTTTTGCACATGTTCGTTAAGGCACAGCAAACAATGACAATCTTATCCAAAGGCATTAGGTTTTCACCCTCACATTTGACAAGCATGTGCACAGGTACAGTTGAGTGTAAGAATTTGAATTTGTTGCGCACAACACCGATCACCCTCTCCACGTGAATTCTGAGATGTGCTATGGCCCTAGTCTCCTCCACATCTTTCGCCTCAAGCTGAGCACGACCCCTGGTGAATGTAGGTATTTTCACTTCAGCACACATCATGCCCACATTTTCTCTTATATTAAAGCCTCTATCTGCCAGCACAATGTCACCTGGTAACAGCTTGTTCAGGAAACCACTTTGCTCGGTTATATGCTTGTCGCTTGTGCGCCCACCCCACCCGTTCGATATGAAGGAAATAATACCCTGGGGCGTGATCACGATTAGGTATTTCATAGTGTATGCGTGTTTGTATTGAGAAAAAGTCTGTGCCCTTGCTAGTACATTGGAAGGTTTCTCGATGAACACCTCGAAGCAGTCCACAATGGCAGCCACATTGTTCCCAAATGACTCCACAAACTGGTGTGGCATACTGGTCAATAAGCATTCCCTACTTGGCCAGTGCACCAATGGACACAGCTGTGCGTACATCACACCAAGGGTATGGTGAAAGGCATCGGCGACTGTTGTCCTATGTACTCTAAACAGATGGCTGAGGTGCTGTATTGGAAGGTCCAGTCTGAGGCGCATTAAAGTCAATAGGACAAGCTGGAAGGGTGAGAGCTTCTTCATTCTACCTTGAGGCAGATCTGGAGTTAGGTAGAGTAGAAGTGTCTGGAACAATGCAAAGTTTGGAAGCCCCGTGTAATACTTCACTGTGTTATCATCACCACTCAGAAAGTTTTCATTCATCCGGTACGTATCAAGCTCACGCTTCAGCTGTCTGTTTTCTTCAAGAAGATTGTTGATAACATCTCGTCTAGATGTGCAGAGTCCACATTCCATGTCCGGGTCAGCTGGCGGCTGGTCTAGGGCTGGCGGCGGCGGCGCCTGCGGCTGGTCTAGGGCTGGCGGCGGCGGCGCCTGCGGCTGGTCTAGGGCTGGCGGCGGCGGCGCCTGCGGCTGGTCTAGGGCTGGTGGCGGCGGCGCCTGCGGCTGGTCTAGGGCTGGTGGCGGCGGCGCCTGCGGCTGGTCTAGGGCTGGTGGCGGCGGCGCCTGCGGCTGGTCTAGGGCTGGTGGCGGCTGCAGCTGGTCTAGGGCTGGTGGCGGCTGCAGCTGGTCTAGGGCTGGAGGCGGGCGGCGCCTGCGGCTGGTGTTGGGCTGGAGGTGGCTGCCGCTCCAGTGGCAGGGACCTGCGCCTTACTTGCCGCTGATATCTCGCTTCATCTGTTTTTTGTACATCATTGTGGCCTAACAACAGGGATGGTGTCCAGTCAGGGTGGTTCTCCAACATCTCATATGCTGGTTTACCTACACGAGAATAATAACAACATATAATTAATATAATAATTTGCACAATCTATGTAATCAATGCTTTAAACTGGCAACTATGTCATGAACAGCATCTCAAGTACTTTTTAGGTCACCTCATAATGTCATATGAAGGTTTATGTACAACAGAATAATTAGATTATGTGTACAATCTATGTAATCTATGCTTTACACTGGCAAAGACCTCGCAGAACACGTGCTAAGTAAGAAACAGCCTGAGAGGGTAACAAAGACACAGAGACAAAGGCACTACAGAAACCATAATAACATATGCTAACCTACACTTCCTAGCTTTAAGAGACAACTACATAAATACATTTTTAGAGAACGTACCAGAGTGAAAATGCAGAGAACACACTCTCGTCGACAGGGGTGTGTGATCGAAAGTAAGGTCCTTTCTTCTAATTGCAGCCAACCAAGCAATCCGACGTCTCCTTGTCAGGTCAGAGAATTGCTCCCCTTGATGCTTTTTCCATTTCGGTAACCTAAAAAACTGTATCCCGTTGTTACTAGGTTTTCCATATCCATCCTGGGAGGTATTGGAGCAGTTTTTAACGCAGCAGTTATTTCCAGGCATGATAAAACAGTGCGGAATAGCAAGAACCTCCGCTACTACCGCGTTCACAACACACGTAAACAAACTGTACTGCCGCCACCGGTGCGCAGCCAATATGTCGGCAAAGGGGGGATGGGGAGGGGGGACTCTGTGCCGTGACGTCAACTCCTCATTCTCAATAGGTTCCGCGGGACGTCCACGCGTCAGTCGTGAGCGCAGCTGAGGATGCGCGGGAGAGTTGACTTTAGCCCGGTCTGACTGTGCGTAAAGGAGCTGCTTAAATGCCGCGACAATAAGCGGTCATTGAGACGCTTTTTTCACTCATGTCTTTCTTGGTCCACAGTGCTTACACATCGTGACAGTTTTGTCAAATATTAATTATCAGTGTAGTTACAGTGAAGCCAAAATGCTCTCATACTGGGGATTTAAATGACGCAGGGCTTTCAAGCTCCTCCGTTCCTCCGCTCGCAATGACCGCGCTGTGTGTGGACTGAACAACGTGCGCACAACTTTTTTTTCATAAATCAAACCGCGGATCACGTCTGTACCGAACCGAAGACGTTGAACCGAACGGATCACGGATCAGTGATGAACCGTTGCACCTCTACTAATTATTGATTGAATTCTTATTCCAAAAACAATGAGCAGGATGGCTAAGTTCTATTATTTAGTTATCAAACTTATTATCCTCTCTCTTCTCAGCTCAGCTACATCAGTTATCAAGTGGGTTGTTGTGCTCATGAAGGATAGGGGTGGGAACCTAAGGGTACCTCACGATACGATACGATACACGATGCAAAGCTCAAGATAACGATAATATCAAGATAACGATATCAAGATAACGATATCACGATAACGATTTTATCACGATATGACGATTATTGATATATTGGTCAGAAATATTCAATATGCCACTTTATGGCATAAATAAAAGAAAAAATACTCTTTATTTCATGATAAATGGAATGGAGATGCGTAATGTAGCCATATATTGGGTAGTGATACAAATGAAATTTTTTTTTTTGTAAAAATAAAAATTAAGTTAAAAATATTAATGTTTTTTTTCTTTCAAAATCGATATTGATACTTGGCAAATGCATATTGATAATCGAATCGCGGAGAAAGTATCGCGATATATCAAAAAATTGATATATCGTCACACCCCTAATGAAGGATAAGGCTCTTGTAACAAAGGTTTAGATTGTATTTGTTAGTAGTACTGTTATAAAACCCAGTATGAGAAAAAAGCATACAGTATATATTCAGTTTTTTAAAATAAAAAGTATCTTGATTATTATTTATGCATTTATACATTTGACAGCATGTATCTTTTGTCCTTCTCATGTCTTGAATTCATGCTTTGCACACTCATTTACCTACTGTATTTGTTGATATATATTGATTTTAGTTGCTTATTGATATATTTTGTTACATATTATTTCTTTGTCTGGCCTCAGCCATCCGTAAACTGCAGTCAGTTATCATTTCCCTGCATGTATGTAATTTGTACAATGGTGTGGTGCGACCAGGCTAATTATCTCTTGGTAAATCGCGATCATTCAGCTAATAAAGTATAGTAGCTGGCAGGAAACAATCAAATAAATGAGACCTAGACCTACATGCTATATTATGACTCCGGGCATATTCTCCCGCATAGTGTGTGTTAAATTAGTAATTTCCCAAATCAAAGTAGTCTCAAAATTAGAAATAGTTACTTTAATACTTACTTAAACTTGTCTTTTAACAATGACTGAAACACAAATGTTTGATCCCAGCTGTTGTATCTTATCATTCCTTTTCGTTTTTCCTCCCATCCACCAGCTAAAAGTGTAAAAATATTGAGACCTTAATTTGTTGCGGGGAGTGCATTGCATGTTTGTGACATTTCTGCACATGTTGTTGACAGTGGTAGCAGTGCAGGCTCTTCAGGACAAAGTGACAGTTGATCGCAGACAGTCTCCCCGTCAGTGGCTCTGCGTTGTTTGAGTGTCGAGTGTTGTATAAACATGTCCGGGATCGTCGTGTGGTGAGACTCTGGCAGCTGTGTGATAGCCCCCTGCCTCCTCCCCTCTCTCAGCAACAACGGGACAGTCCCACACAGAGATATCCTGGATTCAGGAGGCAAATCCTCATTGCCAGTATCCCATGCATGAGATTAACTGTATATAGTTACCAAACTGTGAAGAACAAAAATGATACATGTGTAGTTGTGTTAGTGACGGTGCTGCCTGTCGCTGCTATAAATATTCAGCCAACACTTGACTGTTTCCACTGCTCTCTCACGACACAACGCACAACAGCAACAACCCAAAATAGTTTGCAGGAATGGTGAATAGGCGACTGCCACGGCCGGCATGTTCCTCCTACCGCTTTGACTCACTCACCTCTCCACTTGTAGAAACAAACATGGATGCATTCAAATCAGAAGAATGTTCATCATTAGTTGCAGAGGAGAAATATCTATGTTTGAAAGGATCTTGCAGAACTGATTGTTTTGGGGTCTTAGAATTGCACACCACCTTTGATGGTGCTGCTGAGGTTGGAACATGATTATACAGTTTTTATACATTTGAGATTTCCAATCCCCCCTCAAACATGAAGACAATAATGCAGACAGATCTGTAGCCTGAAGACCAGAGCGCAGTGCCTCAAAGTTCACCCGCAGTAGTTTTGTGTCTGCTTTCCCAACTAGGTGCGACTTGGTTTTACCAAAACAGAACAGATTTCTTCCCTCGTCATCATTTGTGCTACTGAAATACACTGATAAAAGGCCTAATGTGCAGCTGTAAGCCACTCCAAGAGCGTTTGCGGAAAACTGCCGCTGTTCATAGGTTTAGATCTAAAGATGTGGCCCATCTATTAGGTAGGTTTATAGTGACCTGGAATCTCACAAACGCTTTCTCGCATATTTATGTTATTTATTGTATGTACACTACCGTTCAAAAGTTTGGGGTCACATTGAAATGTCCTTATTTTTGAAGGAAAAGCACTGTAGATAACTTTAAACTAGTCTTAACTGTAAAGAAATACACTCTATACATTGCGTATGTGGTAAATGACTATTCTAGCTGCAAATGTCTGGTTTTTGGTGCAATGTTGTAATTGCTGCAAATGGAGGATTCTTTGACAAAAGCAAAGTTGGATGTAAAAAAAATCTTATTTCAAATACAAATCATTATTTCTAACCTTGTCAATGTCTTGACTCTATTTTCTATTCATTTCACAACGTATGGTGGTGAATAAGTGTGACTTTTCATGGAAAACACTTGGGTGACCCCAAACTTTTGAACAGTAGTGTATAATCTTTAGATAGATATCTCCTTCCTTATCCTAAAAAATTTACCTAATGAGACTATGTTGGTCCAGGTTTATTCAAGTAAACTGAAATACCTAAAATATAAAAGTGTTGGCATAAAAAAGTGTTGGTGCTAAATCTAATATAGATTCCAAATGTATTAAAAATGAGAATAAAGGACGGGAAGGGTTTGAGGTGTATTTGTTGAATTCAGATGCAGCAAGTTGTCTTTGCAACTGTCAGAAAATGGTTTCAGATTATTCTTATGTCTGGTTTGTTTCAAGACATAAAATCTTATGAGAATCAAACTCCTTTAGTCTGTAGCCAGCCTTACTACATTACTAAGATGAGGCCTAACATAAAATATATACTATATTCACTTTTTGTGAATGAAAGTCCGTCTGTCACTAGTGTCATGATACTTGTTAGGGCTGTAACAAATGCATTGGTAATAGAAATAGTTGTTGCTTAATCGATTACTGAATTAGGTTTTTTTTTTTTTTACCTTACATTTAAGCATGTTGACCAGAGCGTTTATGACTCAGATAATTTCATTATCACTGCAGATGAAAAATAGCCTAGTTGGCAAATTCTGGTGCATTTACAGAAATGTTTATTAATGCACAATGTCCCTGTCAAATAAAATAAAAATAAATTTATAAAGCATATTTAATCGAACAACCCACTGTGTCCCATCCCAGGGGTATCGCTTTAGCTTTGTTTTGGTCAAAAGCAAACATTTGGCCAAAAGGTCAGTGAATTTATTAATTGATTAATCGAAAGAATCATTTTCCAACTAATTTGAAGATTGAATTGTGCTGTTTAAAGTCAGTGGTAAAACATAGGTCATTTTCTGAATTTCTACAAAATATGTTGTGTATAGATATTCCAATCCAAAATCACCCGCTTAAAAAATATACCAATTTTATTAGATCAAAGATTACTCATGATCACGCAACTTCTTTGTACTCTTCTTTTGGTATTAGTATTTTAGTATTTCATTAATATAATTTTAATATCAGATTTAAAACCATCAGTTGTTTCATCTTCAATACATTTGGGTAATGAAGAAACAATGTAATGTTGCTCTTTCTTTTTATTACCTGACAAGAACTGCATAGTTGTCTAACCAATTATTTCATGTCTTGTTTGTGTTACTACATGTGCGGTGTCAGTGCTCCGTAGTAATTGTGATCTATGTGTAGTAATCTGAGGTGGTGCCCTGAGGCTGTGAAGTGCCTATACAATGCAGACATGAGCAAGAGTACACCACTGCTCTCATACGTCCATCACATAATGGACATGATATTATGTAGATGAGCAGATTGAAACTCTTATAACAGGATGTTTGGGATAAAGCATTGTTCTTCTTCAGGTCAAGTAGCCTTTTAAGACTTAAATGATTCTCCTGTTTCAGAGATTTACAAATGAGGACCACTTGGCTGTGCACAAACACAAACATGAGATGACGCTGAAGTTTGGACCGGCCCGGACTGACTCTGTCATCATTGCTGGTAAGTTCGGGTCTTCCTGTTGCATTACTTTTCAGACACTATGTCATGGTCGCTCTAGCCACAGGCCTCATGAAAGCAGAAGCATCAGTTGGTATATATAATGTTCAGTGCGATCAAAGTGTGAAAACATTATTTTGAATGATTATCATCTCACTCTTTTTTTTCTATTTTCCAGACCAGACACCTACTCCCACTCGCTTCCTAAAGAACTGTGAGGAGGTTGGGCTGTTCAATGAGCTGGCCTCTTCATTTGATCATGACGATGATGAGAAGAAAAACAAAAGCTCTGTAAGATAACTTTTATTTTAACTTCTAAATAGAACACTTAATGTGTGCATGCATGTGGTGTTTCATATTTTTAGTTTGTTAATATGGATTCTTCTTTACCTCTTCTTTGACTGTTTCACCGAGCAAAAGCAATTTCCTAGTCTGTGAATTCCTGTTACTTACATGGCAATAAAAATTATTCTGATAAATGTAAATGGTGCTTCTTATCACTGTCATGTTGTAGCCCCTTTAAAGAGAGGTACCGTTACCCATTTCCCTTTGATGAAGAGATTAGGTCAAGTTTCATGTTCTTAGTTTAGCTCACTATTGTCCTTTTATAGCAGCAGTCTTCAAACTCTGGTGCAGTGGACATGACTCTTCAGACACCGTCAGATGTGAAGGTGAAGGTGGAGCTTCCTGTGGAGGTGGACTCCTCTCCTCCCTGCAGCCCTCAGTCCATCTCTCCAAAACCAGACTATCAGAGAGAGTCTTACGCTAAACCTAAGGTAAGTTTTTACTCACCATGTTATAATCTGTTATTTTATAAGAAATATCTTGACACAAATTTCACTTCCGTGGCAAGAGCTCTGGTGTGTGCCGCCTCTGTCTGGTGCACACTGGGGTAGTCTTGCACAGTTTTTCCAATGTGGTTTTACTGCAAATGGCTAATAAATGAATCTGAATCTGAATATGACTTAGCACTGTGGCAAAAATTGAAAGAGTTTGGTAGATTGTAATTTTTGAAACTTGACATTGACATTAGGTGCACAAAGCACTAGTGGAAACTGAATTCTCCACCTCCTCCAATTTAATTTGATTTTTATCAAGACTTGCGGTTGAGCTGCATATATACATCTATCACAGTGTCTCCCAAAGTGGGGTCCGCGGACCCCTGGTGGGCCGCGAGGGTACTGCAGGGGGGCCGCGGGAGGTCATAAAAAAAATAAAAAAATAATATAATTATTTAATGTTAAATTTATAATGTTTTGTTTGTAATATTAAAATATTTGTGTTCATTATTTGACTTGAATAATCCACTGTAATCATTTTTGTATTACAATGTTTGTAGCAGAGGCTATTTCCCCAAAATAAAATAACCAGAAGAGCCTATTCTTAATGTTGTCTTCTTGGTTATTATTTTGGGGGGGCCACACAGACCCGACAGATTTTTAAGGGGGCCTCGGTGTTACTGAGTTTGGGAATGGCTGATCTATCAGATTGGAATGAGACATTGGGCACTGGCGTACAGGGAAAAGCCAAACTTTATTTGTATGTATTTATTTGGAAAGATATTGGGGCGGTTTTAGAACATACTTCATATCATTCTGTTTTGTAAATGCACTTGGTGTAAGTGGTTGAAGAGAACCTTCTTCCACACATTTTGATGAGTTAATCAGCATGTGATTTTACCTCACTCACCTCAGATACATATCTTTCCCAGATCACCAGCCCTAGTTTAGATATAGATAGAGATAGATACACTTATAGATATACTTAACCTCTGGGAACACCAGCCAGAGTGGGGCGGATGTTGTATCCTTAGGCAAGACACTTCACCCACATTGCCCTAGAATGAGTCTGGTGTGTGTGAATGGTTGGTTGTGGTCGAAGGGGCCGATGGCACATTCTTTTTGCCTCGCTTCTGTCAGTGTGTCCCAGGGCAGCTGTGGCTACAGTAGTAGTTTATCACCACTGTGTATGGAGTGAAAGAATAATTACATGTAAAGCATCTTTGAGTGTCCAAAAAAGCGCTATATGAAACCGATATATTATTATTATATAAAAGCCTTTATGATGGAGGGTTTTATATAATAATAATAATAATAAAAAACCTCCATGATTGAGGCTTTTGCCTGAAGCCCCCGCTGAAAGATCAAGGCTATGCCATAGAGCGGCCATCCTCCTGTGGACTCACCAACTGCAATCTCTGGTCACCCCCCCAACCCAGAAATGGATGTGGAAGGGGTAGAAAATGGATGGATGGATATTATATATACATGGTTAGATAGATACTTTATTTATCCCTCATAGGAGAAATTCAGGTGTCCAGGAGCAGCAGAGACACATGCATCCAGACAAATAAAACAAATAAATAGATTATTCTTAAAAATAACAGCAGAGACGGGTCTTCACTGGGTGGAGCAGGACAGGTCACAGGAGCAAAAGTGGTCTAGCCGCTGGGTGGAGCAAGACAGGTCACAGTTTTAGGTTTTTTTTCTCCTCAGGACACACCTCCTAGGAGTTCAGCTCCCACCCCAACAATTGTGCGGCCCGGATCACTGCCCCTCCACTTGGGTTTTGACGCCTTTCACCCCACCATGCCGTCACCCACTTCTGTCATCACACAAGCACCACCCTCAAATCGAACCCTAGGGTAAGAGATTCAAAGTTACTATATATGTTTTCTCTTTTTTGCCTTCAAATTAAGTCAAATTTACAATTTGAATATGAACATATTTTTGTGAATAAACTTTCAGGAATGTAGCTGTGGGCTATGCTGGTCTTAACATACCATAAGATAAGATAAGATAAACATTATTGATATCACAATGGAGAAATGTGTATGTCACATTTGGCATAGATAGAATCACTCAGATTGTGGAAAAAGACAGAAGTGTGCCACTTGTTAAGGTTAAATATAGTCTGCGCAGGATGTATTATGTATATATTACGTAAAAGTGGCAATAGCAGTGCTGGTTTTTCAGTCGTAGTGCAGGTCATTAGTGGGGAAGAAGGCCCTGTGTTGGCGCTCCTTCTTGTGCTACCACAGGGCGCAAGGGGGCCTCAGTCTTCCACTGAAGGAGCTCCTCAGCTCCTCTACAGTTGGTGGGAGGTGTTGTCCATGATGGTGACTTTGGCTAGCACCCTCTTGTCCCTCCCCTCCTCCAGAGTCCAGGGAGCAGCCCACAGCGGGGCCCAGCACACGGCAGCGTAGTGTGTGGCAGAGGCTACCACAGTCATAAAAAGTCCTGAGCAGAGGCCTATCACTCCGAAGGACCTCAGCCTCCTCAGAAGGGGAGTTGAAGGCAATGTCCACTGGGCTGGAGACATGTGAAGAGGTGGGGGCAGGAAGGGGGGCAGATTACTTTACTATCCTATTCTACACGGAACTAGCCATGCAAATAATCACACAAAAGGAACAGCTGAGATTGTGTTTATGTTCTGTTTCAATAGATCTCCCACAAGCCATTATCCGATGATGATGCTGCCTACAGGCCAAGCCATGCCTGTGCTGCCTGGACCTATGTCTATTCCCTCTGTAATTAATGTGAGACACAACATTTACCATCAATGCTCAAATAGCAATATTTATACATCTTGTCTTGCACTGTGTTTCTCAGCTGGCTCGACCCATTTGCATGGTACCCAACATTCCTGGGATTCCTGGGCCTCCTCTGGGGGGCAGCAGCTCTGGCTCCAACTCTCCCTCCGGCTACAGCATCCACTCAGAGGCCAGGATGGTCAGCATCTGATAAGTCCACTATACACTCCTCATCAGATTTTTCAGACCAGATGAAAAATGGCAAGAATTAACACTGTTTTATCTGAAAATGTTAAAAGGATAATTTGTAGGGATGTACCGACACCACTTTCCAAAGCAAGTACGAGTACTTATTTTGAGTACTTGCTGATACCAAGTACTGATGCCATCACCAGGCTTTATTTTACAGGGCTTTTAATACTGTTGTAAAATAAATTAACTGCATTTGTTTTTATATAATATATAAGAATAATATTGCACACATATATTTATGCATACTTTTCTTCTCACATTACTTTTATGAATGACTAGCTGTTTATTTAAACCTTTACCCTGTGATGCCACATTCACACTGACTCTGATATGGTGAGTTTTGCAGCTTTGTCAGTTTTTCAGATAAAACCCAAAAGCTTTGTGTGGTGTCCACTGATGCCAAATATGTTTGTGTATTCGAGTATACAAAATGGTTTGGTTACATTTGGCTTTTTTCCTTTTTTATTTGATTAATGTCATTATTTGGTTGTTAGAAAAAAAAATGTTTTCTGCTTTTCAGCGATTGAAGGCAGCTCTGTCCCAGCAGAGTCCTTCAGGGCACAGTATGGGGGTTATGTCTTTGGGCAGCAGTCCCATGGTGCCTCAGAGAGCAGAGCAGAGCCAGCTGCTGGTCCAGCATCCTGACGCACCCTCTCCAGCACAACCTCAGGTAGCTCCTAGACTCTGACTCAACTGCCTTTTATTTTCATCTTTCTTGTCTCACTGCACTGTATTTCTCCTGCCCTGTTTTCCCTCAGGTGTCTCCTGCTCAACCCACTGGGGGGCGGCGGCGGCGGACAGCTGACGATGACCCAGACGAAAGAAGACAGCGTTTCTTGGAGAGAAACCGCGCTGCAGCTTCGCGCTGCAGACAGAAACGCAAGGTGTGGGTCAACTCCCTGGAGAAGAAGGCAGAGGAGCTCAACTCTATGAACGTGTCTTTGTCGGTGAGTGGGCTTCAAGAGAGTGGGAAGTGTCATTGTGCATATGGCTCCCAGCTCCATGTCCAGGGATTGTTAATGTCTAATCAAGTAAACTTCTTTTCCATCCAACCAGAATGAAGTTTCCTTATTGCGAAACGAAGTGGCTCATTTAAAGCAGCTGCTGCTGGCCCACAAGGACTGCCCTGTGACCACGCGTCAGAAGAAGACTGCATACTTAGGTGCTGCTTTTTTGCCTAGTATAATGGTGTAATAATGTTTCCAAGACAAGTCATTTTATTAATGTTCTGTATTCTTTTTGGCAGCAGTTGAGAGCCTTAAAGACAGTTCAGAGCCCACAGGATCTCCGGCCCCAGTGATCCAACATAGTTCCCTAGCGCCCAGTCCGTCTGCCCATAATGGCTTAAGCTCTAGAGCTGCGGCGGAGGCCATGGCCATGTCAGTGCTTGCAGGAATGGGTCAGCATCAGCGCGAAAGTGCAGCCTCTCACATTATCATGGCTGCACAGTCCCAGTCGGCTGCTAGATGATGAGCACTGTCTCTTTAGCCCTGCCTGGGCTAGTCTCTCATGGAAACAGAGCAGTGGACTGCTAAGCGACCTCTCCCTGCGCTCCCTGGCTGTATCTGTCTCATGGGAGGCCATCCCTCTGTGGGACACTCAATAGCAGCCTTCTGGTAACGGACTGACTCTTTCAGAGCGCCTCACTCTGCGATAAACTACAGGGGCTGGACTCCAAACTTCACCTGATTTTCTTTTGTTTGTTATCCCCCTTGGTCCAAATAACTTGTCACTGGATTGTTTTGCAATTACCATCACTACATACTGTGTGGAGCACAGGGTTGGGAAACATGTTGTTGGTAATGTGTTGGAGTACTCTGGATACTTTTGAGCTACAAGCAATTTTGGTGCTGGTGTTGTAGTTCAGTAATGTTACTTTTAGATTAAGCACAGCTGGTCAGCGGCTTTCCTATCAGACACCTGTACTGCTGTGTTAAAGGGCATGCTGTACGCCTCCTCTCCACACGCAGACTTCTAGCCAAGACATATTTACATTTGCGTGAAAAGGAAAAGCTTGGTTGATGGGTATCAGCTTGGAAGTTTGTCCTGACTTCATGCATAGAGTCGCTAGTGTTTGCATGCTCAAAACTTTGTACAGATTAATTAAACTACATACATGAGTTTCTTCAGGTGGACTGCACAATATAACGTTCCTTTACCTCTTTGGTTTAGAAAAAGTAGTCTCCATGGTGCAAATATTGTGTAAATAACTCTGGAAGGGTAAGTTCTCTAATGCACTACTCTTTAAAGAAAAGTTCACACTTATTGTTTAAGTGTACTCTGTTCGCTTCAGAAGCAAATGCAACAGGCCTCACAGTGTCACGGAACTGTTTCAAAGCAGTGAGAAACTTACTACTGGACAAAGGCACACTTAGTGCTCTCATGTCTACAAGCACCAGACTCCACTTGAATTGTGTGAACTTCATGTTTTCCAGGACAGTGACGAGGTAGCTTAACAAGTTACTTTGGTAACACTACCCAACACTGGTGGAGCAATACACCATAACCCCAGCGATACACCACCGAGCATTGTAGTGTTTTGTTATGATTTGAAAACTGCCTACTTTTAGATATTCTTTGCGACATATTTTATTTCATCAAGTTTTTAAATGAAAAGAACTTAAAACAAGTGCAGCTATGTTTTTGGTAACAGGCACAGCTTTACATACAACCCTTGCATATTTAAAAATTTGGCTTTACTGATACCCACCATCTGTCTCTTTATGTTTTCTATTATTGTTTCTTCATTAACTGGTGGTTGCATTGAATCCCACTTGGCTCGACTAAATTTAACCTAAGTCATAGACATGATGCATAGGGATGCACAAATAACTTAAACAAAAATACATTTTTGTACTCATTTTATAGTTTGTCCTTTTTAATAATCTGTTGATACCAAGTATCAACAAAGCCTTCTGGTCCCTTGGACTATAATCTTCAACAGTCTTTCCACATCAGATAATCCAGTATTTGTGAATCAGTGTTGCTGGTTCATGCACTTGGAGTAACTCAGAATTTACATTTTTAGTGTGATGGAGGGGTGGTGCTGCTGATAAGCTTCTTGCTTCAGCCCACTTAATACTGTTCAAATAAATAAATTAACGTCAGTGCATCTAATTTTATTCAAGCCAGAACCGGAGTAACACTCTTTTTCAGCTTTGTTCCTGTCAACAGCTCTTTGCTTCTCTCATAAATTATAAATGTGATATACATCTGTCCATAAAAAGGGCATGTCATGATGCACTAATGAAATGCAATATGTTTGCTTTGTCTATTCTTTTATCTTGATGTCTGACTGTATTTACCTCTGTATCCTGTATGTGAGCTGTGTACATGAATGGGAATTTGCTTATTGACTTTATAAACTAAACTATCCTTTGTTAAAAGTTGTCACCCTAATGTTGTGTATGGACGCTGGCGCTATATTAGGCTTGCTGCCCCATAGATGACAGTCATATGAAATGAACATTTGAGACAATACTCTGTTTTATGTAACTGTCTGGCACCTTTTGTCTTGTTTTATATTTAGATTGATTTGTTTTTTTCTCCCATGTGCTAATAGTCCCTTGTAATATTAAGTATGTTTTCTCTGAGGAACATTTAAAGGAAATGGACTTTGACAGTCCCTGATTAACTTATTTGGCCTGTTGTCCTTACATTTGGCATACTTTAACAAGGACATGAAAAGAAGAAAGTGCAGATCCTTAGGGCACGTTAACACTTGTCAGTCTGTTACACTCTAACCAGACCAATTCTAGTTCACTTGGAGCAAACATGTGGATGTAAAGCCACCAGATTTGGTCTAGTTAAAGTGAACCAGACCAAAAAGTGTCAACGTACCCTAAGAGTCGCATGTAGCA